CCAGTTTGAGGATTTCGTACGGCAGCGCGTTCGGGCCAGGCGACTTGCGGCGCGCTGCTTGCTGGATGCTTTCGTAGAGCTCCGAGGCCAGTACCGGCGCCCCGAGGCGCTGGGCCATGTCAGTCGGGAGGCGCGTCTTGATCGTGGAGTCCAGGAACTGGTCGACCTCGTGGGCGTCCGGTCCATCTTCTGCGGCGTAGAGCGACGTGTAGAACCCGTGTAGGACCTGCGAGATCTCCCGCGGCGTGGTGCGAGCCTGACCGGTGGCGTCGCGCATCTGGTGGATCGAGTCCGGTCCCAGCTTCTTGATCGACGGAGACCGCAAGTGGTACTTGGTGCATCGGGCGGCTTCTGCGAGGTGGCGTTTCACCGCCGCTTCCGTCTTGTGCTCTTGAACTTGGGCATTGTGTTCTTCGAGACGCCGCTTGATGTCGAGGATGGCTTCGATGATGGCTTGGCACGGGTGGCGGTTCAGGTCCGCCAGCGCGACGGCGAGCTCAATATGCGCTAATATGGTTGCCTGTCGGTTCAACGCTGCAAAAACATGCATCGGAGCGTTCTTTTTAGCCAATCAGAAGCCGGCGCCACCGACTCGACGGCGCGTATCAATCCCATTTCCCAAAAGTCCGATGGCCTGCCATCCTGGACCGTGGCTCGCGCGCTTCGCCTCGGTCGTGGCCGTGCCACCCGTGCCCCGCCTCGCGACGCTGCGCCGCCACCTCCAGGCCGGCGACGTGGCCCGCGCGCTCTCGCTGCGGTCGCCCACTGCGGCCACCAAGCTCGATGTGCTCACCGACTTTGTCGCGCAACTCGATGCGCTCAACCCGGCGCTCGCGCAAAAGACCGCCGCGTTCTTCATCCAGCGCGACGTGCACCTTGCGCCAACGCTTCTGCGCGCGTACGAGACGCTCGATGTCACCTTGCCACCCGCCGCGCTCAAGGACATGCTCATGGCGCTCTCGCAGGCCAACGAAACCCGCGCCGTACTGCAAGTGCTGCAAATGGCGCAGGCGCGCAAGATGCACGTGCCGCCCGAGGCGCTGCTGCAGTGCTTCCTCGCGTGTGAGCCGAATGACGAGCATGGCCCGCGGGACCCGCGCCCCGCTCGTGCCGCCGCTGCTGGCGCTACTGCAGCAGCAGCGCGTCGACGTGAGCTACCCGTCGCTTGGCGCGTCCATCGTCCGCGTCTGCCTCAAGCTCGATGCGATCCCCGAAGGCCTAGCGATTGCCGACGCGCTGTACCACACGCTGCCACCGCCGCTCGCCAACCTCGTCGACAATTTGCGTGCGCTCCACGCGTATCCGGATTTCCAAAGTCTCTGGGTCCAGTTTGCCTTGTGCCACAACAAGGACGTGGCCGAGCCGCTCTTTCAAGCGCTGCAGAGTTCGCCCATCGCGCTGCACGCGTCGGCCAAGCTCCTTAGCGGCGTGGCCTCGGCGCTCTTCCGCCAAGGCAAGCACGGACTGGCGTGCGATGCGGTGGCGGCGGCCTTGCTCGAGGCGCCGGTGCCGTACCACGTCTTTGCGACGGGCTTCAGCGGCATGACGGTCTCGTCGTATGGCCTCGCAACGCTCCTCGAACTTCTCTGGTCCGCGATCGAGTCTGACCGTATCGAAGACGCCGCCAGCCTGCGTCACGTGGACGCCGCGATCCGCGCCTGCTTGCGGCACAATGACGTGGCAAGCGCGCTGCGCTTGTACGCCTATCTGTCGAAAGACACGCCGCCCGAGCCGTCACGGTACACGGCCACGATGGACTACCTCGCGCGCGCGCCGGTCGAATGCCATCACCACCTCCTCGCGTTCCTCGTACACCGGCGCACGGACACGGCCATGGCCCTCTTCGACAGCCTATTCGCGGCAAGTGTTCCCATTACGCCCAAGACGCTCAAGGACATGGTCATGGCCGTCCACCGGACACCGGGGCACGTCGTCGCGCTTCTCGAGTACGCTTTCTCCCATCGTGTGGCACTGCCCGTCGTGATGGCGACGACGATCCTCTCGAAAGGCGGCAAGGACGACCACGACGTTGTCGACGCTATCTTGAACCTCATGGAGGCCGACTTGATTCCGACCAATGGCATCGTGCTCGGTGCCACCGTGCCTGAGCACGACACGGCGTCCCACGCCGCGCAGCGGGCGCTAGCGCTCGGTCGCCGCCAGCTCGACCGTATGCTGGGTGACACCACCGCGTCACACCCAGTCGATGTCACAGGCATCGTCGGGTTTCTTGTGCTGCACGAGCCCGAGATCGGCATGGCGCGCTTTCGGCAGTGTGCGGCCGCGTCGATGGTGCTGACGCCGCGGACGCTCGTGGCGCTGCTGCGACACGCGGCGACGACCGTCGACGACGTCAACGCGCTCGTCGGGTATGCCAAGGCGACGCAGTGTGTGCTACCTGGTCACATTGTCGGCGAGGTCCTCGACAAATTCGGGCCGGCGACCGTCCACTGCCTCGTCGATTTGATGGCGTCGCGCATGGTGACGCTCAACCGCCACGGCCTGCGGTCCATTTTATATGCGTCGCAGGACCCGGTCCTCGTGCAAAAGTGCATGGAGCTCGGTCTCGAACGCGGGTTCGACTTGCCACTGCACCTTCTACACGCTTAGGAGGTCGTAATCTAGTTTTCTGAAATTTATGTAGCGTAGAAAATATTCGACTCGTCCATGCTGCTGTATTTCCCGTCACCGGCAGCGCACGGTGGCGCCAGGAGCCATGACAGAACAAGCGTGCGAGATGGACGAGATGGACGATATCGTCGCACGGCAGTATGCTTGCGCACAGCTTTAGCTGGACAAGCACAACGACGCGAGAAGGACAGAGCGAGCTACAGTGTACTACCTCGCACGTGCCGGACAGGATGACGCATTGTGGTGCGAACACACGACGACTCGCTATACGCTATAGGCTCGTGGGCGAAACCCTGTCGGTGGGTGGTGGTCGGACGGAGCAGCGTAGTTTGACCGAGTACACAGTACGATCTTGGCGCGAGAAACTGAGTCCGACCCCGTATACAGCGACAGCCTCTCGAGTGGCGACCTTGCCAAACGTCAAGAGAGTGGGCCGCACATCTGAAAGATGTACCGTGTGCCACGCAAGGGTCAATATAAAACAATGACCCTTGCTTGGCCACGTCAAATGCAAGTTGATGCTGCACGGACGTCGCCGTCGTGGGTGCCGCCACATGTGGCCTGTCCAAAATCTGGGCCAAAGCTCAATTTCTGGCAAGACGGCGGATGTGGCTGCGCGCCAAGCGCGTGGTGCAATCCTCCCAAGCAGCCCACACTGGATTTTCGTGCATTTCTGAGACGCGAAATGATCGCTTCAACCATCGCCGACCTACACGGTAGGTTCAGACGACGACAGCCAGCTCATGTGAAAGGGCCTGCAAGGCGAGAAGCCGGCGAGAACTGTTGAGTAGCCCGTGTCCTCTGCCGCAACTGCGGACCCAACTGCGCCGATGGCAGCACTCTGTCATCGGTGGACCTCCCCAAACATACTTGCTGATTGGTGCAAAGTCAAAATTGGGACCAATCACAGCGCATCGAACTTTCGTCGGAAAATTCGAATCCGGGACCTCACACATCCAAGCGCTCGTTTTCAGAACCCTGGACGAGCTGTCTCGGTGCTGAAGCTGGTATGGAATAACGTCGTGTCCATGGTTCTCGAAGGTCTTATGAACACGCATGGCAGCCATCCTACTAGCTAAACCTGGATGCTTTCTTCTGGTAGTAGAGTATGCTTTATCAAGTGAGCAGCGCCAGCCTTGGCGCATCGGGGCCGTCTTGCCAGGCGCTAATAGCGTTGCAGTCGGTAAAGCCTCTCGTCGCACTCGCTTCGTCGTGGTGGGTCGTGCGGCAGGTGCCAGCTCGGAACACGCCAGCTGGAAGCGAAGATCGAAGACGACGGGCCCCCTTTTTGTCACGATCGCGATCTTGCCCTTTGGTCAAGTCCCGTTGGGGTTTATTTGAAGTTTTGCGACGTTGAAGGCAGAAGATGTTCCAATCCCCGTCCACCGAGCCGCTCGCGTCGTCGTCGTTCCCGCCGACGCTCACGCGCGCCCAGAGCTTCCTCGATGCGCGCGCCGCCTTGGACGAAGGCAAGCGCAACCGCAGCCTCTCGGACCTCCAAGTGCGCGGCGGCGTCTTTCGGCGCGGCCCGATCGACTACAATGGCTGCGGCGCCTTCCTCGGCACCGCCGATGGCCGGAAGCGCGAGAGCCGCTGCGGCAACTGCGGCGACTTTGACCATATTACGGTCGACTGCACACTCCTGACGCTGTCGCCCGATGCGAGCGCGCCACCGCACAGCTACATCCAGAAGGAGCGCCGTCGGTCCAACTCGCTCCTCGAGATGTGCAAGGAAGAAAGCGACAAGCTCGCACTCGAGCAAGGCCCGAGCCACACCAAGGTGGATGCTGACGACCCGCTGGCGATCGCGTGAAGGCCGCAGCCCTCTTGTTTTATTTAATTTCGTATCCCACAACGGCGCGTCGTCGGTCGCGCTGGGCGTACACTGTATTGGCCACCGTTTTTTAAATTAATCATCTTTTGCTCTAAATCCTGGTGCCTCGAGATTTCTTGTGGCCTCCGCGGGCACGTTCCCAAGCTACTCCACGTGGCAATGGCGCTACCTGTTCGACTCGGTGCGATCTGGATCTGATTTTTTCATCCGGATAGCCCGCCACGTTCAAACAGAAGGATCGTCCGGTCGTACATTATTTGCCACGTATTACACAGCAGTAGCAGCGACGCATCACTCGTATTCAGCAAGCAGCTGCAGCACTGGTAGGAAGCAAGCATGGGTAGCAAGAAAACAAGCGTCGGTCCTTGTGTCTTGCATCGATGTGGCACCGTACCCTCGCCGTGATGGGCACGGCGCATCATGGCCACGGCAATTGAAAGCGTGAGCATGCGATTGGCGCTGAGTTGGAGGTCTCTCGACTGCAGTCACTCGATGGGCCAAGTACATTGCAAACCTTCCAAAAGACAATGAACAATACATGTCGCAGAAAGTGCCACGTCATGGTTCTCGAAACGCCTGATGCAATAGCTGTCGTTGCTTTCTACAATCTTTAGCTCCCATCTCTCCAGTACAGAAGGAGAGAAAAGTGATGATTTCCGTTGCTCGATGGACCATCGACCGCGTATTACGGCGTCTTTGCAGCCTTGCCGACGACAACGAGCAGCGACACGAGGGTTCTTAGTGGCCTCGCATGGAGCACGACATGGCGTCCCAAAGCCTCTGCATGTTGAAAACACTGTCATTACACCATTTTTGGCTGCTACAACTGCCTCGCACCGGTCCATCGATTGTCCCGACTTGGTGTCGCTGCCGCATCTCGACAAGTCCGTAGCCATGTGCGATGCTGCATGTACTGGTCCCCCATTGTGCGAGCCGCACGTCTGCGAATCCACATCCAGAACGTGCTTTCAAACCGTCTGGGTTAAAGCGCGTTTGTTCCAGAAAGTGGATACCAATATGGGCAGTGGACGTTGCACTGAAGACCCATTTCGACGTATTTACCATCTGAAGCTCATTTGAGCCGTTGGTATGACGTCGTTGTAGCACTTGGACTTGTTTCATTCCTGTTAGTGACCATCCTGATTATCCGGATCCGTATAAAGATACGTAAACACGATCGGCAACAGCGACAGGTGGATGCAACGATTGGCGGGAAAGATTGAAGCCACGCTAGACAGCAGCTCTTCATAATCACATCATCCGTCTTTGAGAGCGTCCTGCCTTATTATTTGAGGCATGCGGTCGCATTTTGGGCTCGCATGTTCGCTTTCACTTGTCGTGTCTGCGCTGCGACTGCGACGTGGACCTCATCACGGCAGTTTATTCACAGGCAGATCACTTCCGTGATCCACGCGAGTTCTGAGTGACAAGATGGTGACGAGGCGCTGGCGCCGGCAAAGTTACGCATTCGGATTGCTGGGAACAACAGCGTCGCGCCTCAACAAATGGGGCGCGAGATGGTAATCTCCCCTTACATAGTGAGCCCCACCTCGCCCTTTTACATGATTTTTTCACTTGTTTGCGCGGTTGTGATCGACGTACACAGCGTGCTCGCCTTGTGGCATACAAGGACTGCGACGCATTCCAAGCACTTCAAACTCTAAACTGCAGCAGGACGATGCACTTTTATGCCTCCATTTAAACAGCATCCAGGAAGGGAAACCGCTCGCCGTCACGTGACAGGACTTTGCGTGCATTCTTGCGACTTGATGTTTGCGAACAGCCGTGGTGCCGTCCATGTTGTCCAAGGCGGGCCTCGCATTGCCGGACGTGGGTCGAGTTGCGTCGTGTGTGCTCTTCGTTGCACCGTCTTTGCCCGTCGGCCCTTGCAAGGCTCCAGAGCCACCGGTGCCGGTCCGACGTTGTCCGAAAATATATAAAAAGAGCCATAACGAAGCGTCTGCCGCCAGTTGAAGTTGAAGGGAGAAGGCTGTTTCAACGTTGCTGCTGCTAGCTTAATAAAACGTGCACTCACAATTCATGTCCAATCGGCCAACGCGAGCGACGGCGCCTTTGCCCGTGACCGCGTCCATGGTCGCACACGACGCTGCGTTGCGTGGAGGGCATCCGACGAGCTCGTTTCTCAGGGTTTCACCCCTAGCAGCTGCCAAGCTCCCCGCGTCGCCCAAGTTTCGAGGCTGCCACACCTGTCGCGAGCCGTCCCACCGATCCATCGACTGCCCGTGTCTTGGTTTTATTCCAAACTAAACTGCGAAGAGCTCCCTTGCAGAGAGCGAAAGCTGCGCACCAATCAATAAGTCTGCTTCATGCGCTTACTCCTTGATAAGTACTCCAATAAAAAGGAGGAGGAGCACATAAAACTTATCAAGAAGACCTATGCATGACAATATGCGTCGAGTGCCATGACAGCAGTAGGACACGTACCTCGGGGCGCACTGGACAAAGCCAGGCGTCGGTAGTCGTCGTGCAGTGTGCACCGGTTGAACGACGGCATCTGCTCGTTGGTACCTACAAGCCACTACACATTGTCCATACTGTACAAAGTGAGCGTACCAGGAATACATCCTGTTGGTGCGCTGTCGGCGCAAGCAAATCGAGTGCACACTTCGTTTAGAAAGAGTTCATAGAGAGGCGTGAAGACACAAGTGTCGGCGATCTCGACGCACATGGAGCGACAGGGCGGCAGCGGTGCGTTCGGGCACGCATTGTTTGCTGCTGCCCACGAAAGGCAGTTGAATTTGTTTACCTATATACATGCAGAGGATGACAATGACAATTGTGTACACTGAAGTACCAGGCCACGACAGCCAGGCGTGTCCTTAAACTGATACGCCGACCCAAACACACCGAGACGCGCGACAGACGCATCCAGATCTTCGCACACGCCTTGCTTTTCGAGCTGCGACGTTGCATTCCTAGCCATCACAAACGTCATGTCGATACCACTAGCGAAGGCGGCGCACCGCGTGTACCCGACAATCGGGTCGGGCAAGGCGAGTCCGTTGAGCGTTGCGCAGTGTTGGAGCTGCCAGCAGGTCGTACACTGCGAAGCAACGTAGTCGCCAATAGCCCCCGAAGCGGCAGAGGCGTTCGAGCTCCAAGTGACGATGCATACGAAGGCCGCCACCCTTGAGCCCCCGCATCGAGTTGCTGATGTCTTCTCGTAACGGTTAACCAAAGTCTGTATTTGACCAGGTATTTGACACTGTATTTGGATGAAAACAGCGTTTTCTCTGTTTTAAAACACTGTTTCTCTGTCTTTTAACCCTCCAAGACCTAAAGGCGGACAATCTTCTTTAGTTCTGTACAATTCTTGGGCGAGTGTCTGAGTGTCTTTGATGGATGCATCGCACAACCACCGCCTTGAAAGACTCTAAAACTAACCAAGACGAGCTTGTCGCTGCTGCCTCTGTTGACCAAATTAGTCGAGACGACAAGTGGTCGCTGTCTACATTCGATCGAGGCGATGGTGATATCGCCGTCGACCACGGTCTCTCGGCGATGAAAAACATGCTGCGGGTCACCAATACGTACCTCACTCGAATCGGGAATGCGCAGTACGGTCTGCTCTTCTACTGGTTTGTGTCCCGCGCCGGTCGCCGGTTTGTGGCCCACAATTTTCGAACGATCGTTGTTCATATTGAGAGGGACAAAATCACGCGTCGGTCGTGCTACGTGCCGATGCACTGGGTCCATGTCGACGGCGACTATGTCGGTACCCTGTCTTCCGCTAGTGATGTTGTAAGAAGTCTGAGCCACGCAGTGTGCTGTACCGTGGCACGGTCGGAGATGTGTGTAGTAGAATGCAAATATGAAAGTGATATTGTTCGTTATGTAAGCTAGACCAGTGGTAATATGTGCATAGTAAGTAGTCTTGTTGGTCTAGATCGGGAGCCGCTGTGTGATTTCCAACAGATGTCTGGAGCAATGCTTGGATTGTCTTCTTGATCGGCCGTTTGGAGCGACCTTGAAAGCTGCTCCATATGAACGCGCGACGCTAGGACGGGCTGGACGACTTGGTCTGGTACCAAATGACGATTTGCTTGCTGTCGGCGACCACACTCTCTTCGCACGGCCACGATCTGATTTTGAAGGAACGAGAGCAAAATTAACCGTGAATTAGTCGGCGCCGGTGCGCAGGCCCTGTCTCAACCAGTGTCCAGTCTATCGCCGCAATAATGTCAAGGTACAAGTCATAGTTCCAACCATTGAATACAGCAAATATACAGTGTTCTGATCCCTGAACGAGGCAAGTGTCATCGACCACCGCCATCCTGTCGGATCACAGCCGAGCGCCAGGAGGAATACTATGGGCTTCATCGTTCGACTGCAATGTATAATGAAAGTGTGTCGAGGCTATGTTTACCTTTGATAGCGAAACGTGTCAAGAAAAGACCCATCCAAATTCAGCGTGTGTCATTGTGCGCGCTCCATGGCCCGCATTCGCGCTGCTCCACGAGCGGCCCCCCGATGCCATCCATCATTCCCACCGACGCTATCCCAACGTCGACATAGTATGAACCACGGCGCTGTCTTGTCCAACCTCTGCCTCGCCTTAGCGACCGTCGTCGCCTTCTGCACGTACTGCCTCCACCAAATCGCCAACTCGGTCGTCTACCTCGGCTTCAACGCACACATGTTTGACTCCTATCAGTGGCACGTACCCGTCTTCACGCTCCTCGAAGCATCGTCCTCGCTACGCTCCAACACGTCCCACGCACCTACAATCGGTACCGTCTCGCTCAGCGATCTCTTGTATAAAGATTGCGGCATCCGAGACACCGTGTGCGCCGATGCTTTTGTTCCAGAGACCAATCAGATCTGGTCCCACATTGGGCTCGCATTCTGCCAGATTCCAGATTTTAAGACGCCGCGCTTTCAGGACGCATCCGAGGACATTCGTTTCCAGCACGTCAACAGTCTCAGTGGTTGGAACAAGGCGCTCGTTCAGTACTATATTCCCGGGTACGCCACAGCAATCACGTGCATGGCACGGCGAGCAAGCATTTCGATCAATGGCGGCGCGAGCCTCGTCGACACGCTAGCGTTTTGCAGTCACCGGGCATATGATCCGAAATGGCGCTGCGAGAATGACGTGCCACTGGACACACCCGTCTATGTGCTACAGCTCCAGAAGGCGACAGCCATCTATTTGGGATCACTGCACATGCGCGACGTCTATTTGAACGGCGGAGCGACTGCTGTCGCTCGCAGCGACCGATATCGGCACGTCTTGCTTGGTCCGATTCCGTCGGTCGACGAGTACCAGGTTGGGATTGTGCAAGCCAGTACGCCGTGGGATATTCTGTGTGCATCGCGCTGCTACGACTACAACCCGAGTACGCGCCTTGGGTGGCTTCTGGAGTTGCAAGGCCGCGTCAGTCTTCGCTGGAAGAGCTCGTTTCTCATGCTCACAAACGCCATCTTTCTCTGGTGCGCGATTGCGTACTTTGCGATTCTTCAAAAGCTGTTTGTGAAACAGAGCCAAATTAGCCTCGTGGCCGTGTGTCTCTCGAAGAACGTGGTCGGGATTTCAATACTTTTTGTCACATTTTGGGGCAACAGCAATTTGCAGACGCTCACAACGTACTTTTCGCAGAACGATGTCACCTCCACCGAGGCAATGATCCTTCGACTCTGTGGCCCTGCCCAAGTCGCTTCGATTGTTGGTATCATGACGGGGCCGTTCATACAACTGTGCTTCACGCCTCGCGTCGTGACGCAGACGTGGCTGCTCACGCTCTTCACGCTCCTCAACTGCGCTTTGATCTTTGTTTTGGAAGAGTTTGTGTTTCCGTCGATGAACAAGAGCGTCCCCGGGCGGTGCGACTACGCGTCATCGACCAACTGCATTCACTTGACGGCGATTCCGCAGACGTACTACCTCTCGGCGGTCGTGGCAACTGTCGTTGTTGTCGTCGCGGTCGCAACGATTCATCTTCACGCGCGCTGGCTTCCCGACACGGTATCCGTGCCGCCGACGCACTCAATGATGCAGTACCTCTGTGTGCAAGACCTTCGAGACTTCGCTACATCAGGCCGCGGGTGTGTCTTTTATAACGTCCATGGCGATATCGTCATCGACCATGGTCTCTTGGTGATGAAGAACATGCTGCGGGTCACCAATACGTACCTCACTCGGATCGGGAATGCGCAATATGGTCTGCTCTTCTATTGGTTTGTGCCCCGCGCCGGTCGTCGGTTTGTGGCCAACAATTTTCGAACGATACTCGTTGTTCATATTGAGAAGAACAAGATCACGCGTCGGTCGTCCTACGTGCCGATGCACTGCGTCCACGTCGACGGCGACGAAATCTATGCCACAGGCTTTTGTTAATAATGTCTCGTGCGCTGGTACTGTGCTCGGTGGGTTTAATTTTAAAGGCGATTGCGAGGCAGCGTGATCGATCTCGCAGAATCACGTGACCGCGTGTGCATTTGTTTGCGCGAGTGCATGGCGATGTACCCCGCATTTGCAGCGCCACTAACCTCACCGCGCGTTGAGTGGTGCCCTTATGGGCCCACGTACTTGGCGGACAATCTGATTGGATATTTTTCCGTCGAAGCGAGCGCGGTACCTCATAGTGTCGTGCACTGATTGGTAGACCCCTCTCTGGGCGCCCAGATTTAACAGGATCCATCAACTTCAACGCACGACTTCGAAGGAATGTCGGAGGTCGTGCCACGTCACAGATCGTGGAATATGAAACCACCATATGGTCGAAGGTTTGAACGATAACTCTCGACTGGCGCATTTCGCATTCGTCATCGCACGATACCAGCACCCAGCGACTCGACGAGCCTGAAAAGATCAGAAATGCCGCAGCCAGACACCGCATCTCTGCTTCGCCCCAAGACGTATAGCGGCGTCATGTTTGCAGCCGTGTTGACCAAGACGGCGCAAGATGACACGGCGCTATATGGCGGCATTTCGCTCTACGACCGACAGACCGCGTGGACATGCGAGACCGCATCCAGCACTCGCGTATCGTCCGTGCAACAAAACCCGAGTGCCTACACCAAGCCGCCACACTTTCATACCAAGCCGCCACGCTTTCATTGCTGCTACAACTGCCAGGAATCGTCGCATCGGTCAATCGACTGTCCGGAGTTGAAAAATCTGCCGGGGTGGGAGGGTTAACAAGCGCGAATAGTTGGTATTTAATATTTAGAGCGAGAAGCAAAAATCTCATATAATTGCAAGAGTACATCCATTCATGTTCCTAGCCCGTTTGAAAGGAGCCAACGTCTCTAACAACCGCCCCCAAGACATGTACTGCGTTCGTGGTATAGCAAGCATAGTAGTCCATAAAAGATCAGCTCGTACCGGTTCTACTTTCATAGCAGTCCTTTTCAGCCTCTTGCTTGCCACGACGTCGAACAGAGTACGAAAACTTCGCTGCATACTGGCCGAGCTTCACCTTGGCGCATTCCATCCATGGTATCGACGGGTCTGTCACTACGACGGCGCATATGGGTCGCCAGGAGGAGATCACGCCAATATCTGCACCAGCTCTGTCCAGCACCGTTTCAACTGCCATCGCAGAAAAGACCTGCTTTGTGGCTAGAAAATAAGCTCGCGCGGTGAAAGGACACCGAACGGAGCGAGCGACACAACGACCCCCATCGATAGCCACAATGTACGTGCGTCACACGTTGATGCCGTGGACTTTATACGTTCTATCTATTTTGCCGCACACGTAGATATGCGTTCGTTTTTAAATCAACGCGAATATGCTTCTACTAGTGTACAACTAGTACACAGAGATCCGCTTACTGCCAAGGACGCTAGAGGTCTCAATGGCGCAGTATCGAGACCTTTCCCAGCGTGCTGCAGCGCGAAGCAAGGATGTACAGAGGGTACCTCTGCTCTTTTTCGAGCTGTAACCAATACGCATATATCTTGTGAAACGACAACGTCGACCAAAATACACATTAACGCTAACCCACCACGTCCGGAGGTGTCCCTTGCGATGCCGCGCATCAACGTTGCGTCCACGACGTCCTTGAAGCGCCAAACGCTACGCCGTGCGCTGCGGATGGGGCAAGGCGCCATCTTGTCCAACCTCTGCCTCGCGTTCGCGACAATCGTGGCGTTCTGTACCTATAGCCTCGAGCAAATCGCCAACGCCGACGTGTACATGGGCTTGGTGCACAACGCGTTCGATTCGAATCAGTTCCACGTCCCGGTCTTTACACTGCTGGAAGGAGCCTCGACGCTGCGCCTCGAAGGCACAACTCAAATTGCCCGCGGCTCGATCTCTCTGAGCCACCTCTTGTACCACGCGTGCGGGATCCACGACATGGCGTGCGCGACCGCGTTTCTTCCAGACACGAACCAGATCTGGTCCCACATTGGGCTCGCATTCCACCAGATTCCAGATTTTGAGACTCCGCGCTTTCAGGACACATCCGAGGACATTCGATTCCAGCACGTCAACAGTCTCAGTGGCTGGAACAAGGCGCTCGTTCAGTACTATATTCCCGGGTACGCCACTGCGATCACGTGCATGATACGCCGGGCCAACTACTCGATCAATGGTGACGCGAGCCTCGTCGACACGCTAGCTTTTTGCAGTCACCGGGCATATGATCCAAAATGGCGCTGTGAAAACGACGTACCGGACGATACGCGCTTCTTCCTCTTCCAACTCCGCATGGCCGAGTCCGTCTACTTGGGCTCATTGCTTATGCGCGACGTCTATTTCAACCCTGGAGCCACGGCAACCGCGGTGCGAGGAGCACATGGCGACACGACTCTTGGTCCCGTTACGGCCGTCGACGAGTACCAAGCGGGCGTCTTGCAAGCGAGCGCGCCGTGGGACGTGCTGCCCGCTTCGCGCTGCTACGACTACGACCCGAGTACGGGCCTCGGGTGGCTCTTACAAATGCAAGGCCGCGTCAACGTACGCTGGGCCTGCAGCTCCATCTTGCGCATGAACACGATCTTGCTGTGGATTTTGACGGCCTACTACACGACGCTGCAGTGGCTCTTCGCACGGCAGAGCCGCATCTGCCTCGTCGCTGTCTGTCTCTCCAAGAACGTACTTGGCATCACGGTGCTCTTTGTTACGATCTGGGGCAATGCGAATCTGCAGACGCTCACCACGTACTTTGCTCAAAATCCGATTGCGTCGACGAAAACAAACATTTTGGCCCTTTGCGGCCCGCGCTTGTCGCGTCCATTGTCGGTATCATGACGGGCCCGCTCATTCAGCTGTGCTTTACGCCTCGCGTCGTGACCCAAACGTGGCTCCTCACGCTCTTTACATTGCTCAACTGGGGTCTCATTTTTGGCCTCGAAGTGTCGGTGTTTCCCTACTTGAATTTGAGCATACCGGGGCCTTGTGGCTTTGCGTCGTCGACCAACTGCATTCACTTGACGGCGATTCCGCAGACGTACTACCTCTCGGCAGTCGTGGCAGCTGTCGTTGTTGTCGTTGCAGTCGGAACGATTCGACTGCATGCGCGCTGCTTTCGCGACACCTTGCGTGTGCCTCCGACGCACTCGGTGTTGCAGTACCTCGGCGTGCAAGATCTCCGAGAGATTGCCACGTCAGGCCGCGGCTGCGTCTTTCGCAACTTTGATGGAGAGATTGTCGTCGACCATGGTCTCTTGGTGATGAAGAACATGCTGCGCATCACGAATACGTACCTCACGCGCCTCGCGAATGCGCAGTACGATCTCCTCCATTGGTTCTTACCACGCTACGTTCGCTCGGCCCTGGCGCACAAGTTCCGGACGATCCTTGTTGTCCATATTGAGAACGACAAAATCACGCGCCGGTCGTACTACGTGCCGATGCACAGCGTGCATGTTGACGGCGACGCCGTGTGCGGGCTCGGGTTTTCTTAAGGCCACAAATTTCCTAAATCGAAGAGACGCTTAATAAATTAAAGTACGGGGTGCGTAAGCACGCACTTTCAGCAAGAACAACAAGCCATCAACCAGAGATACGCATTACAAATGAGCGCAGACCGGATTTAAAATGAAAAGCTGCAGAAAGGCAGAAAAATGAACGAAAATGCCCGTATTTACCCTTTCCCCGGGAGAGTCAGGCTTCGAGTCCTGGTTCGGGTCGCGTCCGCTCATGTTACCACCCATTTGGGCCTCGCTTACTTTTGGACGACCGGTCTCCATACCCTAAATAGTTTTCCCTTCGATGTCCACCAAAGCGGGCTCCACTCCGAGTTGAGAGTCGACATTTCGCTCTTAAGTACAACAGGCAGTAAAGCCTCGATCCATGACGATATTATCCCCCGCGGACATCGTCTTGCTATGTAGGAACGTCTTTTTCTTCTTGTCGTGACTTCGCAACCACGACCAGGATGGTCTCCATGTCAAATCCATGGCGCACGTCGTGAGGTGTTTCACTCTGAACTGCAGAGATCAGGTCCATGGGTCCAGAGGAAAATTAGAAAGGGTGTTTCGCGCCTGCAAGTTGTCAAAGTGGTCTCTTTAATATATAAGGCGGTCTCGTCCCCTCGGCTAAAGACGCAAGTGCATGGGGGAAACGAACGGGGTTTGTGTTGGGAGGCCGCCGCCCAAGAAGGGACTGGTGGGGGGTTAAAAGAGTGTTGAGTAGCTAAGAGGTTTGGAGCTGGACGAGCTAATTGTATACATGAGCTTGGAAGCTTGATCTTCGATCTCGGCAGTTGCGCCTTGCTATAATAAGAGAGCTGGTTGAGCTGCCGCCAACTTAGCGGTTGGGCCTGGCGGTTCAAGATGCCGCCCTTGCTTGACCTCGGTACAAGAACAACCCAGCGTCATGCGTGCCGCGAATAACTATCCATTTTTCTAACCCGCCCAGCATCCCACGCGGCGGCGGTAATGTCAACATCACGCGCGACGACGATGTGGTAGAAACCAGCGTATACCACTCCGCACCCTGGACTGGGCTCTGCGCCGTGCACGGGGGTCTGGTGAGTATCCCGTTTGTCGTGCGACCTCACCTGACGGTGGCTGAGCCTTGCGCGGCACAACTGCAAGCAAATGACATTGACGCCTCAACGGCACGAAAAGACGAGCGTATGTGTACTGAATTCAATCGCCTAAGCTATCTAGATATCGGTTTATAGCCGTGTGTCCAATGCCATCCTTTCGGATCCAGCGTTACGATCAGCGCTGGGATGGCCGCGTGAGCGGTCTGGCATGGGTGTTGATTCCGTCTCCTGTGACCAATTGAAAAGCAGGATCCTGACAAGGTATCACGATGATACGATTAAGATGGAAATGGCATCGGGCCGAATCGACGAGCGAATCGCACCGCTTGATCTGATGCACGGCAGCGAGGACTCTCTCAGACAGATATTATCGAGCGACCATCGATGGCGAATTCATTTTGGGGATCTTGCGTGCACCAACCAAACAGTCTATTGACACTCGGCTCATTTCCAGACGTGAAACGACTCACTGTGCATTTGGTTCTTGGAATGGGTCGGGTCTCCATCACGCCAACAACATCTCTGCAACGGGGCGCATCGATCGATGACATCCCACGGCGGACGCAGGAGCTCCACCACGGCACTCTCTTGTCCAACCTCTGTGTAGCTTTGGCGACCGTTGTCGCCATTTGCACGCACTATCTCAACCAAATCGCCAACTCGGTCGCCTACATGGGCATGAATGAGCACGACTTTGGCGCTCACCAATGGCACGTACCCGTTCTCACGCTGCTCGAAGCCACGTCTTCGCTACACTTCAACGCGTCTCTCGTCCCGACGACCGGCACCGTCTCGCTCAGTGACCTCATGTACAAGGCTTGCAGTATTCACAACCAAACGTGTGCCAACGCATTTGCGCCCGAGTCGGCTCAGATCTGGAACCTCATCGGCCTTGCGTTTCGCCAGATTCCAGACATTGACACACCTCGCTTCCAGGACGCGTCCGAGGATGTTCGCTTCCAGCACGTCAACAACCTCAGTGGCTGGAACAAGGTGCTGGCTCAGTACTACATTCCCGGGTACGCCACTGCAATCACGTGCATGGCGCGTCGCGTCAAATTCTCCATCAATGGCAATGCCAGCGGCGTCGACACTTTGGCCTTTTGCAGCCGCCGAGCGTACGACCCGAAATGGCGCTGTGAGAACGACGTGCCGCCTGATACACCTGTGTACGTGGTGCAGCTCCAGAAAGCGACAACCGTCTATCTGGGTGCCGTGCTCATGCGCGATATTCACTTGAACCCGGGTGTTACGGCAACTGCGGTCGGTGGTCCGCACGGGCCTGCATCGATCAGCACTGTACCATCCATCGATGAGTACCAAGTCGGTATTTTACAGGTCAGTGCGCCCTGGGATGTGTTGGCAGCGTCCCGCTGCTATGCGTACAGCCACGAGACACGCCTCGGGTGGCTACTGCACGTGCGCGGTCGCGTCAGCATTCGATGGACATGCGATGCCATTTTACTCCCAAATGCCATCACGCTTTTGGGCGCCACCTTGTACTACTGCATGCACCAATGGATTTTTGCGGCCGAGAGCCAAATTAGCCTCGTCGTCGTGTGTCTCTCCAAGAACGTGCTTGGGTTTGTGATTCTAGTTGTCACGTTCTGGGACAACACCAATTTGCAGACGCTCACGACGTACTTGGTGCAAAATGACGTCGAGTCGACGAACGCACAGATTCTCCGCTATTGCGGGCCGGCTCTCGTCGCGTCCATCGTTGGTATCATGACGGGGCCTTGTATTCAGTTGTGCTTCTCGCCCCGTGTCGTGACGCAGACGTGGCTGCTCACGCTTTTTACGCCGCTCAACTGGGCTCTGGTCTTTGCCTTGGAAGCATTTGTCTTTCCGTACATGAACAAAAGTGTGCCCGGGCCTTGTGGCTACGCGACGTCGACCAACTGCCTCCATTTGACAGCAATTCCTCAAACCTACTATTTCTCGGCGGTGGTGGCGGGTGCCGTTGTTGTCGCCGCTGTCATTACGATTTGTCTCCATGCCCGCTGCCTCCCCGAGACGGTACCGGTGCCGCCGACGCACTCGGTGCTCCAGTACCTTGCCATCAACGATATCCGGCACATTGCCACGTCGGGTCGGGGCTGCGTTCTGTCCAACTTTGATGACGACATCATCGTTGACGCTGGCCTCTTGATGATGAAAACATGGTGCGCGTCTCCGACACGTACTTGACTCGGATTGGAAACGCCCAGTACGGCCTCTTGTATCGACTCCTGCCTGCCTCTGCTCGTCGGCGCGCTTCACAAATCTGCCAACTATGCTGGTGGTGCGCATTGAAGCCGACCGCATCACGCGCTCTTCCTACTACGCGTCCATTGGAACCATGGACGCCGATCGGCGCGACGGAACTTGGCTCAAGTGATAGCTACATGCGTCGTTTACTACATTTATCAAAATGCTGTAATATTCCTCTAACACAGACCGTTTGTACCGAAAATGTGGCAACCCGTCACCATGGTACGCAAGTCGCATCGATGAGATCGTTCTGGTGCGCGCCATCCCTCGAAAGACGTTTTACTGGTCTTGCACGATCCGCGAGTAGGGTAAGATCTATTGATTGTCACAGATTCGGGGGACGCCACTTGCTGTGGGCCATGAAGCGCAAGAAGCTGCGGTCGCAGAGTCGATGCAAGAATGCAGATTCAAACCAGAAATGTCGTGGGCACTCGAGTGCTGCTCCATCGAGTCATGGGTAGGCAAGCAAAGGCGTTGGGACTGCGTGGAAGACCTGTCGTGCGCACATGGTGTGTGTTTCGGCTGCCTTGATTTGGCTCGCACGATACCGATGGCATTAAACAACAACAACGTTATTGTAGCCTTCAAGTGTCTGTCTCGGCAAGGGTGCTCTTCCCTCTACGGAGTACCAAGATCGCGCTGCTCTCCAGCGCCACATTCCACAGCTAACGACAAACGAGCTTTTGGCGTCGGCTGTTGTGACAACACATAGGGCGCCCTTGGCTGTGCGCGTCAACTTAGATAGCACCACCACCTGTACAGTTTCTTCGATTACGTGGATGGACTGGCCTGCGCGTATTGGTCGACTTGGGCAAGGAACGCGTCAAGTTTGGCGTCCTACGCATCGTTGTATGCATCAACATATCAAGTTGAGAGCGAAACCGGCTTGAAGAGGCTCGACGCGAGGAACTGCTGCGTCTTGTCGTGCTCGGCTTGGTGCCACTGCTGCAAGATTTGCTGGATTTCGTGTTGGTGGTCGTCTTTCAGCCGCTGGGCCTCGATCGCAAGCGTGTCGCGCTCCTTCTGCGCCACCTTGTAGCGATCGTGCACCTCGAGGCACTTTTGCTTGTACGCATCTCGCTTCTACTGCACTCGGTCACCATCATCAATACCAACGCATGTAGATAGGAACCTTCTCTGCTCTGTGGAGGGCGTGGCTGAGCTTGGACACGTTGGTTTTCAAGTCGTGCTGCAGACTTCGGCGCGCAGAGAGGGCCGCAGCAACGGACTCGTCGAGCTGCTGCTGGAGCTGATGGTGGACGCGACTGTAGTGCTCCTTTTCCATCTGCATGCTCTTGGTAAGCTGGCTCACGTCGTCTTCAAGGTATTCGATCTACATAGTAATGGTATGCCTTCTGCTCAATACCGTAGCGTTATGATTGGTGTACCTTGGCTTTGTACTGCTCGAGGACACTCTGGAGCTCTTGCTGCGTCTCCAATGCGTCGCTACAGAAATGGCAACGATGGATGGGACTTGACATCGACGTACCGATGCTTGGCTTGCAGTGTACGGTACTCTTGCTCCATTTCCTTGTGTTGGGCCCGCCACGTGAGTGTTTCTGCCTTGAGCTTGGCCACCTACATGTTGAACTCGCATCCAGTGGCATAGCCCAGCACACACCAGCTCTTGGTTGGTATTGAACTTGAGCTGCAGCGACTCCTTCTCGCCTTGTAGGCGTTGGCACTTCATTTTTTCTTGCTCGAGATCGAGCACCAGCTTTTGTCCCCGCGTCTCGAGATCTTCTTGCAGCTTGGCGACCTCGAGGTTGCGCTCACTGAGCTATGCACATCTCACGTGAGGAGAAACTCGATGCACGAGTCCATACCTTGGCCTCGAGCTGGCTCAGCGACTCGGCTAAATGCGTGCGGTCACTGGCCGCGGCCATTTGCTGCCGCGCCGACTCGATCTGCCACTCCTTCTCGCGCTTGGCGTAGGCGGCTTCGAGCTGGTCGTGTGCCTGCTGCACGTGGGCCATTTTGTCGAGGTATTGGGTCTCCTTGTCTTTAAAGAGATTTTTTTCGCTCTCAACGTCCAATCGGAGTTCACGGAGTCTACCCAATATTGTCCTGTTCAAGTAGAATAGTGTGCGTACTTGGTGTTGTAGAGCGTTTGGTTGTCGAGCAGGGCGAGATCCTTTTGCTTGAGCTGATCACGCGCCCGCGCTGCGTCGTCGTTGGCGTCACGGAGCTTCTTCTCAAGCTCGTCGCGCTGGATGATGCTTTTTTCGAGGTCGTCGGTCTGGCGCTGGTTCTATGGCAGACGAGACGACCGACATTGTGGGTTCAAGTCCTGTGCTGCCATTCGTTTTGTACCTGGCGCGTCAACGACTTGAGCTCGAGCTCCAGATTCGTGCGAGCGAGCGTCAACTCGGCAATCGACGCGTGGAGCTTTGTGGCTTGCGCCTCGGACGCATGGAAGAGGGCGTGTTTGGCGGTCCGCAGTTGCTACTGTGTGTTGGATTCGACCACATGGTTGTAAAAACAGCTACTTCGAGTTCCGCACGCAACTTTTGGTTTTCCAGCAAAATCGTCTCGCGTTCTTGGTCCAACTTGCGCACACGCTCGACCATGGTCATGTCATCCGCTTTCTCTTCGGCGACCTCGAGCTTGCGCTTGAGGTCCTGCGTCAAAATAGTGTGCGTCGCCATCAAGCTCTCGAGCTCGCTGCCCTACAAAGCATCGCGTCGGACTTCACTGCGAGGCGCGAGCGCGTCGTACATGCTGCATGAGTATCTGCTCGTGCTCGGTCTTGAGGATCTCGTAGTCGCGCCGAGCATGGAAAAACATGTCCCTGTACTTTTCAATGTCCATCTGCAGGCTCTGCACCTGCGTCACAAAATGAGCGCCCTGCTGCGATGGACTACCGGTACCCGTTGGCGGTGCGGCAGCTCGATGTCGTCCTGGATCTTCATCCGTAGCTGGTCGAGGTCTTTGGGCGGCGCGAGGCTCTTCTGTAGCGCCTCAAACTCGCGCGCCTTGGCTTCGAGCTGCTGCTTCCACTTGTGCATGAGCTGCTCGTGCTTGCGGTCGGACGCAACCTTGTGCTCGGTCTCGTTGAGTAGGATGGCGTGCATCTTTTCGCATTTGTCTTCGGCGCGCTGCAGCTCGTGCTTGAGCTATCGCAAGCGTGACGAGGCCACCATGGCCGACGTGACCGACCTTGTCGCTGAGCTCTTGGAGGCTGTCGCGCTCCGCCTTGAGCGACTGGCTCATGGCGACTGTCTTGTGGAGGTCCGTGTTGAGCTGCACGACTTGCTGCAGAAGGTACTCGTACCGGCCCGGCGCTGCCGCCGGCTCAGCCATCGTCGTCGACATGCCGCGATCTTGTCAAGCGTCGTCCACGTATCCGTTTGGTTATCCAGATACGGGTGGCACCCACTTCGATCCTCGCTTGAGTCTTCCCGCGTAATTTATTGAATAAATATGCTCGTGTGACGACACAAGTACTCAAGTAAGGTACCGGGTAGCCAACCCTGTCGACTCCAAGATAGCTTTACTTCCTGGGAGTTGATTATCTTCAGTCCTTTGTCAGGAGCAAAGAAACACTCCAACAACCCTAGCCAACTAGAGATGTTGCTCTGTCGCTACCACCCACACTACGGCCCAAGTCGTTCACAAGCTCTACAGCGCGAGCCGCATCGGCGTCAAGGAGCGACGAGTCGTCTCCGTCACTCTCTGGAAGCGACTTTCAAAATATGTTGTCGATGCAGTTCAAGAATGTCAGAATTACTTGTACACGCTTAAAACACTGGAGGCAGCCGCACTTGAGCGGTTCGCAGATAGAAAGCAGGTCCATGTGCAACTGTACTACCTACCGCGCGAGGCAATACTGTGCGGCCACATGAGGAGTTTCTCAAGCACCACGGCAAATCCAACCGATCAAAATTGTTGGTGGTGGGCTGGCGGTTGCAACCTTTGATCCGTTGCGCCCGACAAATGCGAGTCTGCTGCAGATTGCCGATCCAGTCTCCAAATCGAAGATGTCACAAATCGTCCTTAAGCCGTACAGCTCGGGCCGCGTTGGCTGGAAAGCAAGCGGCCTCGGCGTCAAGGAGTGGCAGATTGCCGAGTCGACGGCCCTCTGTCTCATCACTGATGGCACGTACACCACTGCTATGTTCAACGCTAGCTTGGAAGAGCTCAACGCCGAGTCTTTGTTGCACACGACGCGAACCATGCTGCTAATGCGATTGCAGGTCCAGTGGCCGCTCTGCGGCATCACGTTGGTATGTTTCGCGGGCGCGGGCCTCAGCATCCTGCTGCCCATAATATCCTCCTCCAACATGGACGACGGCCACAGCTTTGCACCCAAGCCGCACGGAACCATGGTGGTTCCGATTGTTCTGACTAGTCTTTGGCTCGTTGCAACCTGTTGCTTGCTGGCGCGCGCGCGCATGCTCATACTGGCGCTCAAGGACCAGCTCGATGTCTACATTGCGCGCATCAACGCCCGTGACAACTTGTATGGCGTTCAGTGGTTGTACCGTGAGATCCGCCACCCAGGCGCGGGCGACAATGAATGCTGGACCGAGCACGAAATCGTTGTCAAGCGGCTCGCGTTCGCGGTTCCCATCGTCAAAGTGGTCGCGTGAGCTTACGAGAGTCATCGTATCAATCAATCATTCAGTCAATCAATCAAACGTGTTCTCAAAGACTGCGTGCGAGTTGGCAGCAGCACTTGGTCGTTGGGAGTGAGCTGCGCACGGAGAGATCCTTATCCTGGTGGACCCCACTCGCCGAGCGATAGCTCGCGTGAGGTCGTACGCAGGCTTCTGAACTCGGACCATCGTTTCCACTATAGATTTACAAAAATCGAATGTCCAGGCTCGTGCGGCCATGTGAACTGAGTCAATGATGTTGTAAACGTTGTGGCGCGCAAGCGAGCCGGTGGGGGCGCCGCAAGGCAGATGACGAGTAGTCCTGGAGTCGACCACTTTGAGCATTGCATAGCAACCTCCTTGCAGTTGTGTCTGGTCACACAGAAAAAAGACATTGTGTCGTACTACCAAATTTCATAATTGATTTCCCTTATTGTCGTTGTGCTCGTGAAGTGGCGAAATCTGGTGTCGACCTCTGAAGTTTACGCCCAAGTTCTTGAGCTCGAATGTTTGGTATGCTGGCCGCTTCCACGAGCGGAAGATAGACTTGGAGGAACTGCTGGACACGAGGTGAGGCTCCTCGAACTTGTGGTTCTTGATCGGACTCATGATACGCTTCTGATGAATGGAGTCGTCACGCTCAGCAACGAAAGCGCACGTACTTGATGGCAAAATTGAAAGTGACAACATCATGGACCAGCTACTTGACGATGGACTTGCATCGAAATTCTAGAAGTGTATCGAAGCAGGTTCCGGCACACGCGTATCTCACTGCACCGATGGGCTTGCCAGCTTTCATTATCATCGCCGCCGCTCACTGCGATAGTGTCGACAGTGACGCCGTGTGTACACTCCCACATACGTCTCGGCTCCAACATGGACGCTAGGTCAAAAATTCTCAAAACCAACCAGCAAGATGCACGACAGGCTCTGTCATCGGTAAAAGCTGCAGAGTTGGCCATTCAGAAACCAAGAGATTAGGTTGCGGAAGAAAACTTAGCACTGCTCAAAAGTAGAGTCCTTGTCGCCCAAAGCACATCAGGGCTGACGATGCGATCTATCATGCGACCATCCCTAGGTTATCCGGAATGGCCCTTTTATCCGTATCATCATATGGGGTGTCGACAAAATGGGCTGGCGCAATGCTGGCGATGATGCACGCGTTCGGGCATGAATGGAAAGGGAGACAATTGAAATAATTGAAATTCAAAAAGCCTAGCTCGGATCAATCTAATCATGGACGGCGGCGCGTGCGACAACGTGTTTCTAGAGTTTGCGGGTATCGTCGTCGTCGCAGCGTGCGTCGAGGGCGCCTACTGCGGACTCCACCGGTGCAAATGGTTGCGGACATCGTCGACGCTGCGGATCTCGGTCAAGAAGGCCGAAATCGAGTCGAGCTCGCGGTCGTCGAGGTCGTCAATGAACGACGAGCACCCGATCGCGTTGCGCGGGTGGAAGAGGTAACTCATGGGCGAGTTGTCGATGATGACGCTTTGCGTAATGTCTCGGTCGATGAGCGAGAGGTCTTTGACGTAGCTGCCTTCGTAGTGCACGCAGTGCTCGCGGAAGAGGCGGAAGCGAATGACCTTGTGGATGTCGAGCTGGTCCAAGAGCGGATCCGCGTACTAAAGACAGCGCCTTATCAATACAGACCTTGGGCACTCGACCACGTACCTTGCTCAAGCTTGCCGTGTACACAACAATCTCGTAGTGTTCCGCGAGCTCGCGCATAAACTCGTCGACGCCGGGCCGCTTGAGGACGTAGACCTGGTGCACGTGGCCTTCAATCTCGACGGGAATGATATAGTCGGGGTTGTGGATCGGCTAGGCACAGATTGGTTCATCCTGCCATCGACTCGTCAATGGAGAGGTATGCTGCACCTTGAACGAGCTGTGCACGAGCGTCTCGTCCAAGTCGAGCACCAAGCACTTTTTGCCTTCGTCGCCCGGGAACGGCGTCGACATGATCTTGCGCACTTCAATGCTCTGGCGCGTCTCGTGGCTCTTCTCGACCTGGTGCTGCTGCTTCTTGAGCATCTGCGCCTGGAGCTGCTGCTGCTGCTCCGGCAAGCCCAGCGCCGAGCAAATGTTGGCAAACAGCTTCGAGATGCCGCCGCTTTGGCCCGCCGACGTGGTCGTCGGGCGCACCTTCGTGTCGACGTGGTGCGACGTGTGCTTGCCATGGCGATCGGTCTGGTGCACGAGGCTCGCCAGCGGCGACGGCGGTTCGGCGGCGCGCTGCTGCTTCTTGAAGGCCTCGGTGATCTCGCCGTCCGGACCATGCGACGTCGTCTTGCGCGAGAAGACGACGGTCTGGAAGGCTACAGATCGCATGAGCCTTTCCATCCTCCTCATCCTCATGGCGTACACGTGGGCGCCGGCGCCTTGCCGTGGCGCGGGCTGTTGAAGTCGCGGGCCGACGGCGCGGTCTGCTGCAGCGTGAGACTGGAAGGGGTGGCCATGGTCGAGGAGCTAAGCAGAGGACGTCTCGTACTGAAGTGAGGAGCGCAAGGCCAACCTCGACCCGGGACCCCATCTTGCCGCTATTAATACCGCAACGGCCGCGTCGGATTGGCTGAAAATTACATCTGTTTCGCACATGATTGGTCCATTTCTCTCAACGGCCCAGTGTCTCAAACAGTGTCTTCAACAGAGTTTATATCGGGGTTCACACCGTCTGCTGGACAGCGTCTCGTGGTGTGCGTGTAGTAGAGCGAGCTGATAGACGAAACAAACTACCTAGGTAGCACACAACGCACTATGGTATGAAGGCAGAGTGCTCACGAGCGATGCCGATATTGCTGCTTCATTTATCATTCATAGACACTGTGTTCAAGCCTTGCAGTGTATGGCGGCATGGACCTGACTCGGCCAAAAAGCAGTGAAAATCACTGTTTGCTGGCGCGCGTTGCCTGGACGCTGGTCCTAACGCATCGAGCAGGGTACTCACAGTGGACCCGCGGGAAGAAGGTCCAACCCCTTGGGTGGTGCTGGGTAGTTGTAGAACCGTCGACACCCATTTTAGACGTGATAACGGGAGGTGAAAGGATCCGCTTTCGGATCAAAATGAAAAAGATATACATCTACATTTCTCGCGGTCTCGTGGCCAAGCAGAAAGAATACTAAGGCCCATGAGGTTATGGCGATGACGTGAAGAGGCGGGTGTCGGCCACACACAAATGGTGTTGCGCGGCGTAGCCGACCATGTCAAAGTTGCTCCGGTGCGACGACTCGAGGTAAAAGCTGAGCTCGGCATGCGCCGCGTAGTGCCGCTGCTGGAGCAAGAGCGTTACATAGCGGTGGGTTCCTAAAAACCAGACACATGCGTGCACGGTACGCGAACCACGAGTGGAAGCGACGCACCCGTCGGCGGCAGAACGGGGAAGTACGACGTGACAATCGTTGGTGTCTCGTGAGCCGCGGCGACGTTGGCGACAAGATAGTGCAGAAACGGTGCATGGGACGCGTTAGCCGGGCTCGGCGCATCCATATCGACCATCATGACGCTGAACCAGCCATCGCCCGTGATGGTATATTCTGGCGCGTCTTCGGCCTATGCGGCAGTGTGAGCGCCCCAACTCGAGCTCGTTTATAATGAGATAGAATACCAGTCGCTTGGGCACATAAGTATTTTCTGCATCGCGACCAACGACCAAGTCGCCGTATTGAATCGTCAGTGAGCCGCGCGTCGCGCAGGGCTGCAACGCTGACGGGGGCGTCCACGGAGACGCGGTGGCGGGCAGCGGCACGAGGAAGCCACGGACGTCGGTGACGGACCATGCAGCAAGGAGTAGCAGACTCGGTCGCATGACGATGCTGCTGCCAGATTTGAACGAAAAATGCCTTGTCTCGGTGCCAACCGAATTTTCAACCATTTTCGAACATTTCCACTGTCTTTTCGAACGCGCTTCGTACACCAGCCGCGTTATACAGCCGCGATTATGTCGTGGGTAGGCGAGAGGCAAACTTGCTACTCAAGGAGCAATAAGGTGACCTTGAGCTAGTGTCCGAGGCAAGATGGAGCCGATGCATTCACATTGCAACGTCAACATATCTACTACAAGGCGTCGCTCCTGCCCACGAAAACATTGAACTCCGCACACGCAGCCAGCTGCCACACACGTAGGAACTCGTGAATGGAACCAAGTGCGCTCACCTACAGGTTTGTCGTTGGATAAATCATGGGGCTTGCGACTGACGCGGCTCGAGCTGAAATTCCAGTCGCCAACCCTAGCCCCAGCAAGAGGGAGAAGCCAACATTCTGGCACCCTGATGATTCCCAGCATTCGTCTCGTAGCGCTTTCGTGCAGGCACTTTGTCTAGTATGCGCATGAGTCTACCATCCAGCGGCGATAGCTGTGCTGATATTGACCGATGAGACCCGTGTCCGTGGCCGTTCCAGCAAAAACAGCTGCGTGATTCTAGACATACCGAATCCTGCCTTGTTTCAGCTGCTTGTTTGCCTAATTAGGATACCTAAATCCGGACTGCTGGCGGATCGCAAAAAACTTCGTGAGATGGCTGCGCCGGTGCTCCAGTTCCAGCCCTTTACGAGCTCGCCGCACGTGTCCTTCTTCCAGAAGCTCGCAGAGCTCAAGCTCAACACGTTCCAACTCAGCGACGCGCGCCAGGTACTATCCTCCACCTCTCGCGCAGTACATCCGTATGACCACAGGACATCTCGGGCTTCTTTGAGCTCTCGCCGCACGCCGACGTGCCTCCGCGCTTCATTGTCGACGACACGGCCTTTGGCTATGAGGCTGCGCTGTCGCCCGACCGCGCCAAGCACGAGTGGCGCCTGCCAGGCGTGCTCATCAACACCAACACGCTCGAGGCCTTCAAGACCATCGACAAGGCGGCGCTGCTCGACGACGCGCGGGCCTCGGTACACTTGGCGCTTTATGGCTTGCATCAGCCCTTGGACGGTGGCTCTTCTGGCTAGGTCGCGTCGTCGATCGCGGGCGACACTGAAAAGATGCAGTGCTTTGTACTTGTGACGTTTGCCGACCTCAAGACGCACACCTTCTGGTACCGCTTTGCCTTTCCAGCGCTCGTGCCTCCGTCGCCGTACCGCGTCCCGTACGAGACGCTTCTTTTGCTTCACAAGAACGCATCTTGCTGGCTAGGGCGTGGCAGCAGCTGACGACAGCGCCGTTGGCGCATGCGTCGTTCATGCAGCAGCTTCTCGACATGCGGTCGGCAACCGAAGTGAATGGCGTCACGCAGTCAAACTTTCCCATGCACTTTGTACTCGACACGCAGGCTGGTACCGTTTTGTCGCTACCGTCGGCGCCAGCCTCGCCCGAGAACCTCTTGTTTGGCATCGTCGACCCGTCGGCCCTGCCGCAGCACCCCGGCTGGCCGCTGCGCAACTACCTCGCGTGGATCCGCCACCGGTACCCGTCGCTCGTACGCCATGCACACCCGCATCTCGAACTTCATGTGTGGGCTACTCTAGACATCCGCGACGGTCCTGCTCTACCGCGACCCGCTCCACCACTTGACGACGGTCCCGGCCTCGATCGTGGCCAAAGCCTCGTTTGTTGCAACGATCAGTTGGGCCAACGATGAAGTGGCCGACACGAAGAAGGTTGTCGGCTGGGAGCTCAACGTCCAGGGCAAGCAAGGACCGCGCTGCATGCAGCTGGGCAGCCTCATGGACCCCCTCCAGCTGGCCAAGACGTCGGTGGACCTCAACCTCAAGCTCATGCGCTGGCGCCAGCTGCCGTCGCTCGACCTCGACAAGCTCGCTTCGACCAAGTGTCTCCTGCTCGGTGCTGGCACGCTCGGCTGTCATGTTGGCCGGAACCTTCTTTCGTGGGGGTTCCGCCACATGACCTTTGTCGACAATGGCCTCGTACGCTCACTCTTTTTCTAGTTGAAAAAAGACAATAGTTTCCTCGTAGGTGAGCCACTCGAACCCGGTGCGCCAGCCCTTGTTTGAATTCCACGATGTGGGCAAGCCCAAGGCCGCGACGGCCGCCAAGGCCCTCGCGCGCATCTTCCCACTTGTTCACGCCGAGGGCCACACCCTCTCGATTCCGATGGCCGGCCACGCCATGAGCAGCCCCGCAGCTCTCGCTGTACACACCTCGTTTGCACGCAGTCGTCCGTCATCCAAATGCTGCTGCATTAGGACAATGAGCAGGCGTTCCATGCGCTGCGTGCTCTGATCGAGGCCCACGATGTCATCTTCTTGGGCACCGACTCGCGCGAGAGTCGGTGGCTGCCCACCGTCATGGCCGCTGCCTCCCAAAAGCTCGTCATCAACGCGGCCCTGGGTATGTCGACTCGATTCTTTCACGGGTTGTGGTCAATTGCACCCATTCTCGCTACAGGCTTCGACTCGTACCTGGTCATGCGGCATGGCGTGCCGGTGCGTTGATAGTCGAGTGCCATCGATGCTGATGCTTCTGCAGGACGCGGTCGATCTCGGGTGCTACTTTTGCAACGACATTGTGAGCCCCGGCGACTCGCTCTCGGATCGAACCCTCGACCAAATGTGCACGGTGACGCGCCCTGGTGGCGCGGCCATGGCCGGTGCGACGGCGGTCGAGCTCCTTGTGTGTCTCTTGCACCAGCCGCTCGGTGTTGCGGCACCCGTCGCGACCGAGGCGAGCGCTGGTGCTCTTGGTGTTGTGCCCCACCAGATCCGCGGCTTTCTCCACTCGTTCTCTCAAGTACGCTCCGTGGAGAAGGCGTACTTGGTAAGCATGATTGTACCTAGGTGCTCGTGCAAGGTCCGTCGTTTCCTAAATGCACGGCGTGCAGTCGGCCCGTGCGCGACGCCTTCACACGCGATGGCTTTAATCTCTTTGCGTCCGTGTGTGCTTCCAAGACGTACCTCCAAGGTAAAATCAGTATCTATCCTGATGACAACTTGTCCATCTTCTGTGTTTTCATGGTTTTAGATCTCACGGGCCTTTCGGCGCTGTTGGCGTCGGCGGACGCCATGACGTTTGCGGACGACGACGTCTCGGATGATGACGACGACGAGTCGCTTTTGTAAAGTGTTTCAACCCACTAAAGTTGTCAACAGTGGTATTAAATATGCCACAGGTTGGTCGAGTAATGGTTCTATTAGTTTAAGACAATGCAGTCAAACTGGCCGAGGAGCGCGTTTAAGGTCGCATTGTTGATGGTGCTCTCGTTCATGTAGGCAGTGTACTTGGCGTTGTCGCCGCCATCGAGGCCCACCTGCGTGTACCCACGGACTTGCGCGACGCCGTCGCCGTCACTTTCAAAGACCCAGAACGCCGCAATATGCACGTCGCTCGCGTAGCTTGGGCACGCCTCGTCCTGCGACACGGTGCGTTGAAGAAACACCACGCGGTGATTTTCGTGGATGAGCTTGACAAGGGCGTGCCGCCGGACAGCCCCGCCCGCCGCGGCCAGCGACGTCACGAGCACCAAATCGTTGCCAAAGTTGGTGATCTACCCATCGAACGGTGAGCGAGACGCAGTGTCGTCATCGTCGTCCGGACCTGCCGCGTCAACGTCGGCTTGGTGACCATGGTCCAAAATGCCATCGCGACCTGGCGAAAAGGTGCGCGGAGTCGACCAAACTTGGCCATCTCCAAGTATGCAATGTTGGTGGACCCAGGAAGTCGACAGTCGTGGTCGGCGGCGAGAACGAGGCTAAAGGGCCCACCCGCCGGCGACGATGGCAGCTTGCCGTACATACTGGGTGTGAAGAGACGCTGCTGGTGCTCCATCATGGCTTGCGCGGCGTGGGATCGCGCCTTGGGATCGCGCTGGAGCGTGTGTAGTATCCACGGCTGGGTCTTGGGGTGGATGGCCATCTGCACGCGATGATCGCAAGACAGCTCAAAAGACACATATCCTACCTTGCACGGTGACGCTGACGGTAGCCACGACAAGTAGGATACGGCCCTCTCGAGCTGCTCGACGAGCTCGTGTTGGAGCCGCCTCTGGACCTTGAGGGCAGCTGTCGCGTCCGACTTGGCAGCGGCGGCGGCTTCCTGCCACGACGCGCTGCTGTTGCTTTTGCATCTACCCTTGCGCTTTCGGCTCAGCGTGCGCTCGAGGTCAGCCACGTGGCCCTTGAGCTGCTCGAGCTCGAGCTGGCTGCGCTCCTTGCTGCGCCGCTTGCGAAGACGGTCCTTGCGCAGGCGCTCTTCACGGGCGCTGACGACAGCAGCAACGTCGATCGTCGGCGCTGCAACGACGATCTCGCAAAGGAGTGCGACTTCTTCGTCCGAGAGTGCGATCGTATCGTTGAGTTGCGAGAGGTTCGCCATGCCACCACGATGCACGACTGCCGGCTGCCAAGTGCAAAGTCAGCGTTTGAAAAAGCACTTGGTGTTTGTATTGAGGTGGCAGCGGCCGCTCTGATTGGCCGACTTCCAGTACCAGCGATTGCGCATGGACAGGCGGTGGCATCAACCGATCAACGGGATCGGGCTGGTCTCGGTTGCCACGTCATCGGCGCTACGGCGGCTAGCGTAACGAGGAGACGAGCATGCGAGGTAATACCATGTCCTCCACAACCCCACAGAGCCCTCGAGACTCTGGAGACTCGAGACGCCGACAACCATGCACCTCACCAGCTCAGTACCGCCTCCATTATAGCAGAGCTTCTCGGATCCGGCTCGCGCTGCGCCAAGGCGCTACTTGAAGAGAGCTTGTCACTGCCTCGGACAAACTTGGTCTGGGGTCGGCAAGGACTGTTGGACGCGGGTCTCTCAGAACGGTGCTGGAAAGGTTGGCGGCGAGCGGTAGCGTGAGCAACCTGATCCGATGAATCAGATCGTGTCACCTGAGTCCAATGCGTACCCGTCTCAGCAACAACAGCCACCGCCGCCACGGCTTGTACCTTCCCAGGTATTACTAGTACATTTTTGTACCTTGCTTGGTTGACAGAATTTTGAGGATAAAATTACGCGAGATATTTAAGTTAACGAGAGCTACCACGACTGCAGTTGCACGCGGAAGAGCTTGTGGATGACGACCATGGCGGCGCCCGAGACGATACCGCCGACAAGGATCGGGACGCTGAAATCGGTGCCATTGTCACTGAGCACGAGCGCGGTCACGGCGAAATTGAGCAGTTGGCCAAGACACACGGCCGTGTTGAGCGCGCCAAAGTAGAGTCCGAGGCGCGTTGTATCGTCGGTTGACCCGAGGACCGCGAGAACCAGCGGAATGATGAGCGAGTAGATGGTCTGCTGCGTCACGGTGGTTGCAACGACCAGAATCACATCGACCCAGACGACGTGGATGAGCGCGAGCAGCACGAGGCCGAGCTGCGGGAGGAGCGCGTAGAGCAGGACCGTCCGCGCGCCAAACCGTTTGACGAGGTACGGGAGACAGCCAACGAAGAGAAGGCCGAGGACGTTGAAGAGGTTGTCGGTGAGGCCGCCGGCGAGGGCGACGCCGTCGTTGTAGCGTTGCTGCGCATACGTGCAGTTGGCGCCACACTTGTCAGCACCCGCCTTGGTGCCATCAAAGACTTGGAGGCCGAAGAACTGCCCCTTCACGCCCGTGTACGAGATGAAGCCATATTCGGTCAGGACAAAGGCGGCGAAGAAGACGAGGAGCTGTTTCGGGAGCGTCTTGACGCCGTAGACAAAGCTGAGGAGCACGTGGTGCGTGGGCGGCGGCAGCTCGTACTTTTCACGCGGCGTCTCTTGCACAAAGCGGCAGACGGGCCCGACCGTGCAGAGCATAAAGACAACGAGCATCGTGAAGAACCACTTGGTGTACCCGGTGGCCGGGCCTTGGGTCCAAATGAAGACCGAGACGCAGAGCTGGCCGAGGATCGAGTACATGGTCGCAATCGACGACGCAATCACTTGGCGGTCGCCGGCGACGTCCGAGATAAGAAGGTACGACGCGACTTGGACGGCGTTGACCGCAATGTCCATCCAGAGGTAGCAGACGACGGTGGCGACTGCGACGAGCGTCTGCTCGCGCTCGCTCGCGTGGTTGCCAGCCGCGACAATGCTTGGGATCATCGACATGAGCAGCCAGCACACAATGGTCGCAAGGGCACCGAAAAACATGTAGGGCCGCCGCTGCCCATAGCGCGACGTGTTGCGATCGCTGTGGGCGCCGACGGCGGGCGCCACGAGGATGCCTGTGATCGGCCCGATGAACTGGATGAGCTGCACTTGCCAGCTCGCGAGGAGGCTCTCCAGGAGCGGCCCGATGCCCGCCCACTGCGCCGCCCACGCCATCTTGGTGGCCATGATGGGCGCGCACACGAGGAGCATGAACGGGATCGAGCACCCGGGTCGTCGTCCGCTGACCGGCGGCGTTAGGCTATCGTGGTACATCGGCAAGTGCGAGGGTGCCAGTGCCTCCGGCTGCTGGCCTTTCTGCTGAACCGCTGTGTGAAACCCATGTGTAAAACGTGTGCAATCCTTGGATTGGCGGACACGAATTTAGAAACACCAATCAAATGGCTGTTTTTCCGAGGAAACCAATCAGATGGCGTGCGCGATTGACGCGCCCTGCACCCGTGGTATGCTCCCGCAAGTCGCACTGGACCAAGTACAGTGCAGAAAAGAACCCTTCGACCGCTGCTCTTGTCCGAGCGTCAAGCAGACGAAGAATGACCAAGCGCTTCGACAAATGGCGATTTAATCCTGGTGTATGCAGTCGCGCGGTGACTCTACGCCAACACCGCCTGCTGCTTGCGTCCCCCCCATGCGTTGGCGTGCATTACAAGTTTACAAGAGCGTCCGGAAAGGGCAAGTCGAGTGTCACGGAATGCCAGCGGCGGACTGGCGGCCACCGCCATGCCGCGCGTCCACAGCGCGCAGAGGCATCACTATTGCCAGCAGGCTGGGCGATGCTCGTAGTATTAGTAGGTGCCAGACAGGCCGGTCGCCGGAGCTAGTGACGTGTTGCGGTCTCGGTGTCGGTTTCCTTCGATCCAACGCGACAACACGTGCTGTGTGAGCAACTTTTATACGCAGGAGATGTCCCACAAACGGGCGACTAACTAACTCGAAAACCCCTCTAACTGGCCACATTGTGGTTCAACATGACGCTACAAAGTGCGTATATGCGTGCTGCAAGGAGTCGGTTGTTGTTGAAATGGGTCAATTTAATTTAATGAGCAGAGCTCGCTGGCAGCAAGGAGTCGGTCCATGAAGGTATTCGATGCCACGGTAGGTTCGCCGCGCTCGTACGCGTGCACTTGCACTCGGTTGCTGCACTTAGTCGATATGGTGTAGTTTAGTCGATGCATAGTCGGTCGATGGCCGATGCTGCTCGATTGTAAAATAGACTTGGTGTTTGTATCCCACATCTGGCGGGTTCGTTGATTGGCTATAAAGCGAAGCCTGCATGCATACGATTGGCTACAATGCTTGCCATGGCCAACCAACTCAAAAACGAAGTTCGAGGCAGCGACGGCAGCAGCATGGACCAGTACGATGAGCTCTACAAGGGTACGTCGTCGCCGCCGCCGCTGCCATGGCTCATGGGAACGACCTGCTCGCAGTCGTCCTCGTAGGCGACCCGGGCGTCGGGAAGACCAACCTCCTCGCCTACTTTACAGCGACGGAAGAGGAGATGGCCGTGGACGCGTCGACGAACGCGTCCAAGATCTTCAGGTTTGCTAGCCGTCGATCGATAGACGCGGCTGCTCACAGCCACATGCAGTAGCTCGGTCCGCAAGCCCACGATCGGCGTCGAGTTTGGCACCAAGATCATTACGCACCCGAACGGGAAGCGCATCAAGGCGCAGATCTGGGACACGGCCGGCCAGGAGCGCTACCGTGCGATTACGAGCTCGTGCGATCCATGGAACGCGTCTCGGATTGCTCATGCTTAGACCTTGGATAGGCACTACCGCCGCGCCGCCGGCGCTCTCGTCGTCTACGATGTCAGTAGCCGCGCGACCTTTGACAATGCCCAGACGCATTGGCTCAAGGTGACGACCCCGCGCATGCTCCGAGGATCTCATCTTCGCCAATAATGACCAGGAGCTGCGCAACTCGGCCGACAACAACAGCACGCTCCTCTCGTGCTTGATGCTGGTCGGCAACAAGATCGATCTCACCGAGGGCATCAACGGCGCCCCAGTCGTCGCGGCTGAAGAGCACGACGCTGCCATGGCCGCGGCCGGTGTCCATGGCGTCCGTGCATCGGCCAAGACAGGCGAGAACGTCGTGCAGGCGTTCGAGAACCTCATCATCGAGGTGTACAACCAAGACAAGGCCCGCAACACCCCCGCACCCATGGAGCCCGTGGTCGACCTCACGGCCAAGCCGCCGACCAAGAAGAAGCTGCCCGCATGCTGTAATTAAGACTCGATGTAATAATACTCCATGTTGCTGCACGAATACGATACAAGAATCATCAATAGATAGGTGTCGTTGGGCTTCAAGGCAACGCGGCCAGAATAGCGGGTGTAGGAGTCGCAAGTGACCGCCCGACGTAGCCAGAGCGTCACCACGCTCGCCCTGCATCCGGCCAACGTGTGCTGCCAGCGCTTGTGTTGCCAAGCGTGTGCGTGGCAGAATCGAACCGTAGGATGAGTTCTCCAGAAGCAACCGGGGGTGCTGCAGGGTGCTCGCCTCTCGTCGCCGCCCGTATTGGCTGCACATCTAGTGCCATGGCATGGTGCCATGGCTTGTGTAGTACTAGTATTTGATACCCGATCAGCACCAGATCCAATTGCCACGTCCTGACCAGACGACGGGCGGCAACCTGCAAGCGACGGCGACTGCGATCTGATTACCATCGAAGCAAGCTGCATCGAAGTCTACAGTCGCCAGCCGTGCGCATCGTGCATACAAGATTCAAATCATTTATCGCGAGATTAATCTGGCCAATCAAATCGCAATATATCGAAGTTCGTAGATCATCGACGCTGCAATCACGCAACTTGTATGGACTCGCATGGGGTGTCCCACCTGCTCGATGCTGCGATTCCGGTGAAGCTTGGCCACACATGCATCATGCGCACGACCACGCTATCTCTCTCGTATGCTTTGCCTTGGAGCATTCTGTCGCCAGCGCAGGTAGCAAGATACAGAAAAGGTGGTGTGATTTTAGACTCTTGCCAACACCCACGGCAAACCAGTTGCAAGTGCCATTTCGCATGAATCAGGGTGCTACCAGTATGTCGGTCGTCTCTCGGGCCATGTCACTCTACCATTCTCATCGGCCTCGGCGATACGTCGATCCTCATGGCCTCTCGGCTGCTGCTGCTCGCGGCCTCGGCCATGGCGCTCAACAGCACCTGCCCTTTCCAGCGCCCCAACACGGTCTTTGACGGAGCCGACGTCGCAACAACCGTGCAGGCCAACGCGGCCGACTGCTGGACCGACTGCGTCAACACGACCGACTGCCGCCACTACGTCTGGCTGGCCGACGTCTGCCATCTCAAGCATACGCGTGGCAACGTGAGCCACGCCGCCGGCGCCATGGCGGGCAGCATGTACGCTCCGCTTTGCACGGCCCCGGTCCTCGACATTGACTACGTTGGGTACGACGTGGCCAACACGACGCGGGCGACGTCGGCAGAGTGCTGCAGCGACTGCGATGCGACCGCTGGCTGCGCGCTGTACGTGTGGCACGCCGACACGTCGACCTGTGTCCTCAAGAGCCAGCGCGGACGCAAGGTAATCGCGCGCGGTGCGAGGGCCTCGCGTGTTGTGGACGAGCCGACATCGTCCACGTGCCCCATCGTCGTTGACGACGTCGATTACGATACGCCTCAGATTGGGTTTGCGCTGCCGCGGCGAGCGATGGACTGCTGCGCCGACTGCGTCTCGATGCCCGGATGCAGCCACTGGGTCTTTGCCAACGACACGTGCTCGTTTCGGAACGGCACGGGCGCCGTACGCGCGTCGCCGGGGCTCCTATCGGGGTTTCTCAACGCCTCGTCGACTTTTGCAAACGACGAATCGGTGAATGCTACGCCAATGCCAACGTTTCCAACGCTCCCGCCCAAGACGACGACACCGATCCCGACATTCCCGACGTTGCCGCCCAAGACGACGACGCCGATACCGACCTTCCCGACCTTGCCACCAAAGACGACCCAACCGCCGACAGTTCCGACGATGGCACCGACGACGGCACCGGCAACCGCCAAACCCACCACGAAAACACCAGCACCGACGACTGCACCTACAACAGCGTCGCCGACAAAGACAACAACACCGTTGCCGCCAGCAACAACGTCACCAGTCCCGACGACGGCGACGACACCGATCACGACGACACTGCCTACAACGACATCACCTACAACGACGCCGGTGCCGACATTGAACACGACGTCACCGACGACGACGACGTCACCACCTTCGTGTGCGTCACCGCGCGTGCGTGTCTCGTGGCAAGTCATGACGAACGAGGCTCGGCTCGTGTACGTGAATGCGATCGCGGCGGCCATGGACGCAGGGCACTACGCGTCGTTCGTCACCACCTTTGCGCTCAACAACAAGGCTGCGTTCGGGTCGTCGACGTCCTTGCTGTGGCGCCGCCACCTCTTGCTGGCCTTTGAAACATGCTTCGGAGCCTTGGGCCGTCGTTCGCGTGCGTGACGGTCCCGTATTGGGACGTTGCGTCCGAAGCCAACGCGTGGGTGGCCGCGCAGTGTCGGAGCGTCGACGAGTGCGCCGAGATTACCCGGGCGCTCGGCGGCGTCCGCGACGGTGTCATCGGTAGCAACGCATCGCTCTTTGGCTTTGCCCGCCCGGACCTCCGTTGTGTCGACGGCTTCCCACTCAATCACCTGTGCGACGGCGACGCGTGCTGCGTGCCCCGAGCCGACTGGCGCACATCCAAGTACATTGCCGAGGTGTCGCCGCCGCTCTTGAAGCACTTCCTCTTTCGCCGCAGCACGGAAAACATGACGTTGGCCCTCGAGACGGCGCTCGTACCCGCTGTGCACTTATGGTTGGGCGGTGCGATCGCCAACAAGACGCTGGCCGTGGTCGATCCGCTCGTCTGGTCGCAGTTTGCAACGGTCGATGCGTTGTTTACGATCCACTACAAGTGCGTGGTGGAGCCTCGCGATGGCAACTCGGCGTACCTCGCCTACCTGCGCCGGGACGCCGTCGACCTCCAGCGACCGACGAACGCCACGGCGACCACGTGGTTTGGCAGTGTACCGGCCGAGTTTGTGCAGCTCGTCGACACGAACCGACTCAGCTACGGATACGATCTCTCGGGGCCTCTCGGAACGCTCTACGACAAGTGCGAGAAGACGAACATGCCCTCGAAAGCCAACCGGGACGCGGTCGCGGCTCGCTTCGCCAACACGACGGCGCGCAGCGACCCCATCATGCCGACGCTGCAAGTCGCCAATGACCTTGTGGCCAACTACGTAGAGCAGCTGTACGCGCTCGGCATGCTCCAGGGACTCTCGCCAGCCGTCATTGACGTTGAGATTCAAAAGGTCATTATCGTCGCGATGGTGCAGTGCCGCAAGGCGACGATGCTAACGTTTACGCCGGCCTTTGCAGCCGACTGGCAGCTGCGCGCACCTGCGTACGCCTCTACCCTCTACGAGAACGTTCGCAGCGGCGTTGACCCGATTCAGCTACGCCATCACAACACCATCACAGCCCACTTTCTAGCGTGTTGACGTGCCAGCGAATAAGCAATGTTGTTGTATACTTCTTTGATTTGTGGCATTTGATTGGATGAAATGATAACCAATGGCATCGCGGCGTGCACGGCGAGAACCAAGGGATGGCCGACGAGGCCAAGGCCGCGCGCATCACGGCATTCTACGAGCAGTACAACCCCGAGAACGTCAAGAACATGTACGCGCGTGTGGCGATGCACATGAGGATGAGGCTCCTGCTGCGCTAGTCCCGAGATCCTTCGCGTCTTTGCGGGCCGCGAAGACGTGCTCTGTGCCAAGCTCTTGAAAAAGTACGGCTGCCAGCCCGACTTGCAGAGCCTCGTACGCACCTTGCCCCGTTGTACGCTTCGTGCATCCTTCTATGTAGGTCATCAATGTGCCTGAGCCCCAGCACGCCTACGTGCCCGGCTACGAGCCCTTTGTCGCACCTCCGTCGACGCCTTGCGACCACCGCTCGGCAACTTTTGACGCTGCGGCTGCGCTACGCGAGCACGAGCGGCTACCGCACACGCAGCCCGTGCACCCGCTCGACAATCTCAACAAGTGCCGCGCGCTGGTATACCATGGCGCTTCTGCTGCAACGAGAGTAGCATGGACGGTATGGGTAGCTGCCGCCGACAGACCCGCACTACAACGCGAGCGTCGGTCAAACCAAGCCCAAGCCAGCGATGCCTGCTGCAGCCAAAGGTAATACGGCACTCTCGCCGTAGCAACAAGATTGACAACGGTTGTTACTAGTGGCCCCGCCGCCGGCCTTGCTCGACACGATTGGAGGTACGCATGCCTTTCGATGGCATTGTGCGGAGAGGAGCCGTAGATCAGTTTGAAGCGGGTCCGCTGAGCGTGCTTCGCGCCTGTTTAAAGGCCAAGGCCAAGGTTTGTGTCGTCATTCGCCGCGTCAATAGCATCCGGGGCACGTGCACCGGGTTCCTCAAGGGCTTTGACAAACACATGAACGTCGTCCTGATCGACGTGACCGAGCGATATGTGCCACTGCTGCGTGCCCCGGAGCATCCATCGGTGCCCCCGAGTCTTGCTCAATGGCACCGAACCGACGGCGTCCAAAAGCGATTTCTACGGCAGCTGCTCATCCGCGGCGACAACGTCGTGCTCGTCTACCCCACCAAGCCGCTGCCATCAAGCGCTGGATAGATCGATGATACTACCTTCCATCGATAATACTATATTTGCTATTGGACAATCGCGTCGCTTTATTGTTCGTCTTCAACTATCCACCTATTCATCTATCCCACGTGAACAGCAGTATCGAGTTCAATCCAAGAGGGGGTAGGCAGCGTTGAACGCCGCAGCCATGCCATGCGTCGATGGTACTTCGCTCTGTGGAACGTCGAGTACAAAGGTGCGCCAGCTCTTAATGTCCAAGCTGTACATGCGCGACCCGATACGGACGCTGAGGAGACCAACGAGCGCAGCGGATGCGCGATCGAGGTAGTAGGCCCCGTTAAAGACACGGCCGTCGTGCCGATAGAGGTACTTGGCGCCCGACGAGAGGAAGAGCGACGTGACGTGGCTCGGCGCTGTGTTTACGCTGAGTTTGACTGCGTAAAAGCATAGCACATTGCACAAGAAGACGATTCCGATCAACACTTGCAGCCGCGACACGTCGCCGATCGTGATGCCGCCTGCGTCACACAGCACGTGCCAATCCACGTGGGCGACCACACATTGCAGATCGATGTTGGCCGTTGCGCGGACCGGTGCGAGCGCCGTGAGCACCGCGACGACGAGAACGACAACGAGGACGTTGAGCACGACATAGTAGGCCGAGAGTTCTCGCGTCCATACGAGGCAAACGTCATTGAGGATCGAGACGAGCCACGTGACTTCGTTGGCCGCGAGCAGAGTCTTGTACCATGGATCTTGCAGCGTTGCAAAGGAGGTCATGTAGCCCGAGTGCTGGAGCTCCAAGGTCGCACTTGAGAGCACGCAGACCGCCGTCATACTCCGTAGAACCAGCAATGGTCGGCCGACCCAGACGACGCCACCGACGCGCCCGAGCTCGAGCATGTTGAAGCCTTCACAGTGCCCGCGGCTGAGCAGAATGTAAATGGTCAGGAGAATCGCAACGGCGAGCATGACGCAGGTGACGTACGTGACGCCGGCGCGAAGGTACTGGGCGGTGTTGGCTGTGACTTGCCACGCTTGCGTCTCCTGCGCGAGCGGTGGCCGGTGGTCCGAGAGCAGCGTCATCTGGCCGAGATCACCGACAAACGAGATGACTTCGCGGCTGCCGAGGACCCAGTCGTAGAGAAAGAGCCACGCGAAGAAGTGAAAGTCCGACTCGGTCTTGTCGAGCAAGTGGAGTGTCTGGATCGACAGCGGCGCCGTCGCCTCTGTGTGCGTGTAGATCATGAGCGAAATGTTCCTCTCTGTAGCTTCTGCCGTGGCCGATTGCATCGATAACAATGTCGCAGACGGCAGCGGCAGCATGACCGAACGAATGTACCATAACGTCTGACGCAGGTAGTGCTGGCACTTGGTCGGAAACGTGGGTTCATGAGCGCACACGTTCGAAAAGTCATCTTCAAATGGCGATTCGTGCAGTCTCGCCAAGAGGGCGCTGACAATATATTGCTGCCGTGTCGGCTGGAACTTGGTCATGCTGCCCGATGCAAAAACGCAGCTGCCTTGGAACGACGGAAGACCCATCAAGCCGACCGACACGGCGTAGCCGTATGCAAGCGATTCGCAGAGCGGCGAGCCGCCGTATGACACCAGGTCCTGCGCCAACCACCGACCTGGCACGGGGAACGAGTCGTCTAGCGGTGTGATGTTCATATACATGGCTTGCGCGGTTAGGTTGTGGGCCAACGGCAGGCGCGAGAGCTCGATGAGCGAGGCTACGAGGTCGCGCAACGCCGTCGGCACCGCCACGTAGATCATATCGATGGCGCCAAAGGGGCCAAGGAGCGACTGTACGAGGCGCAAACTGGCCGGCAGCGGCGACGGCAGCGTCCCGTTCTGCATGTAGATGGACTCGAGCGACGTGTTGGCAAAGGCAAAGCGGGTGCTCGATCGAAGCAAACTTCGCCCACCCATCGTCGTCGTGTTGGATGTGAGCGCGTGCAAGTCGTTGGCAAAGGCCCAGTACATCTTGAAGCTGGTTTGACTCTCGATGCGGGACGTCCCGTTCTGTGCTGTGAGTGTCATCGGGTACTTCACGCCGTACGCATTTGCAATCGAGTACCGATTGAAGACGCCGAGGAGCTTGTAGTTTTGCCACTGCACCTTGTAGTGTCGGATGCCATGCTGGCGCCAGAGTGCCACCTCGCTGGCGATCGCGACTTGGGTGGCTGATACCGTTGCGTGTAGCCAAGCTGTGCCAGCGTTGGACGCTAAAAGCTCGTCTGCAATACCCATCTGGAAGGCGTTGCCCCAGCACGCGTTAAAGGCGCCAAGATCAATGTTGCGCAGGACTGACTCGAGGTACACGGCGCCATTGTGCGCCATGTCTGCACACCGAATCTGTCGCTTGGCCGAGTTGGCGACCTGCCATCGTTGATCAAAGTCCAGATAGCAGTAAGGTACAAAGATCCATGGTGCGTTGCAGCCGTCGGTTTGGCGCAGTCCTTGAATGACAGCCGCGAGCTCGCTAAGTGGCTCGTGCTGGAGGTAGGCGCCGTAGCTGGCGGACGACTTGACGACGGCGGTCGGCGCTGCAAACGAGTGGGTCGAGACGAGACTGGGTTCATCCAGCAGGAGATGTGGCATCGACGTTTTGCCAAGGACGAGCTGCTCGTTGAGCCAATTGGCAAAGAAAGCATGGTGACCCGTGACGTTGAAGCTGGCCCAGAAGAGGTCGTTGGCCAAGTTGACGCGGGAAACCTTGAGGTACGAGAGACTGCTCGTAATGGACGCCCCGATGTAGCAAACACCGATGACCATGCGAAGATGCCGAAGCCACATCGCTTTGTTGCCACTCGACCGAACGAGTGGGGCGTTGAGGATCTGCGAAAGCGTCGAGGCGCGGCGGGGGCGATGGCTGCGGAAATCCAATGCCGGCCGGGGCAGTGTTTTTAGCAACGATGCAGAGGACGCGTTGTCTTGAAGTAGAACCCATAGTTTCATGTCGAGGGTGTACGAGATGCCTCGAAAGCGCAGGGGCAAAAGTCCGCTGAGGAGACACGCCACGAGATCGATGGTACAGTCGTCGGGTGAACTCTCGATCGACTGAACGTATGCGTGCGCGATGCTCGAGAGAAGTAGACTCGCTTGGATCGATGCGCGTGCTGGCTTGCGCACCGATGCGAGATAGCCTAGCACGAGGCTGCTGGATAGCACCACAAGGATCTGCACGCCAAGGATGAGCCCCACGCGCTCAAAGCTGCCAATCGCGATTGTCCCGCTGGTGCATGCGACGGCGTAGTCCATGTCCTGCCCAAAACACGATCGACCGAACGACGTCGTCACCTGCACCGGCATGATTGCTTCGATCCAAAGTAGCGCGAGCCACGAGATGCCAGAGGCCATCGCGTCCAGCCAGCGCGGCCCCCCATGCGTCGCAAGCAGGAGCACCTCGCTGACGACATACGTCAGCCACGTGGTCTCGCCGCAAGTGACGACCGATGCGAACCACGGTCGCGGCGTCTGCACCAAGCGAACATACCCATGTGCCGTTCTCAAGGTGATATTGGTCGAGCTCAGCAGCAGCACAGCGGTGCAGCCTCGAAGAAACAGAAGGGGGCGGCCGATCCAGACGCCGCCGACGATGCGGTTGAAGTAAAAAAGGTTGCGCCCGACAAAGCGCAATCGCACGTGTCCGGCAAGCAAAAGAACGACGACGCCAACGACAGCCAGAACGACAGACGTGAGAACGACGAGATACAACACGATCTTGGTCGCTGTCTCGAGCGGCTGCGCGCCGGTCTGGTACAGCTGCGGTGAGTACGCGTTCGAGATGAGGGTGACGGTGCCCGCGTCGCCTTGAAACGAGACGACTTCGCGGGCCCCGACGACCCAATCGAGAAGAAGGAGCCACCCGAAAAAGCTAAAATGGGACTTGTCGAGCAGTGGTTGCTGCAGCAAGGTCCAGGACCCGTCGGCCGTCGTAGCAAACTGCATGAGGCTCAGATTCATCGCGTGAATGACGATCGTCACGTTGGCCATCAACGCAGCAACTTGGTGCGGCGTCGCGAGGTGGTCGAGCAGTTGCGACGTCGAGGCGAGACCCTTCAAGCACTCGGCCCGCGTGGTTGTGAGGGCGCAGACACCTGCAGCCGTGAATTCTGGTGGCATCACAGTGCGTGCGAGGAGCGCCGACGTAGGATACAGCGGAATTTCCAGTGCTACTGGGGTAGAACAGTCGTCGAAGAAATCAAACGACTGCTGCACAAACGACGTGGGGGGCTGTGCTGTACACATGGGGTTCCCGCCATAAAAGACCGATGCAGATGTCCACGTCGGCGGCACGGGCGACAGTTGGATGGACGCCGACGCGCTAAACAGTGCCATCGCGGATGCATTGTTCAGCAGTTGCTCGAAGAGGCTGCTTTGATACGTCATGTAGAGCTGCGCGAGCGCGGGGGGCACCCCTTGGTAGAGGCAGTCGATGCTCAGGAACGGTCCGATGCTGCTGCGCACGAGAAATGCAGGGCCGGCAAAGCCACCCGAGATATCAATGTTGCCGTTGAGGACTTCTAGGTTAATGGCCGGCATCGACGCGCTCACATTGGCGCCAAAGTACGTCGACGTATCTCGGACCATGCTCCGGTTCGCATCGTAGCCAGTCCAAATGTCATTGAGTGGCATCCAGAAAAAGTTGAGGGACGTCCAGGGACCGTTGGTTCGCGGAACGTTCTTGAGCGTCACGACCTGTTGCATCCCAAGGGCATTTTGGACGAAAATGGTTTCCGAGATGCCGGGTTGCCACAGGTTTTGCCACTGCAGCTGAAAATGGCGCATGCCAACGCGGTGCCAGTAGTGTATCTCGTCCTCGATCGACGTACTGTGGCGAGCACTGGCGAGCGATCCGAGAAAGGCAGCGCCTCTCGCCGACTCGAGGAGCGGCTGCTGGATCGATTTCGTGAATGGTCCATTGTCTCCACCCCAAATTTCAACAAAGTCGGCCCAAACCACGTTGCGCAAGGTAGCCTCCATGTAGACAGCAGCATTGGTTGCGTGCCATTTCTTGCAGCGCGCTTGTCGCTGACGCGAGTGGGCCACTTCAAAGAACTGGCCAAAGTCGACGTAGCAGTGCTGGACGTTCATGCGCATCGACCACGACGCGCTGAGAGTGCGTAGCTGCGGCACGGCGTACGCGATCGACGTGAGCTCGGTCATAATGGCGCGGCGCGCGTAGGTCGGAAAGACAGCGGTGAACGAGACGGGCGCTGCATACGACGCTTGGACCGTCGCCGACGGCGCCAACACATTTAGAGTGGATGCGGCGGTTGTCGTTGTGGCGAGGTGGCCATTGACAAGGTCGATGAGAAAGGCTTCGTGGCCCGTGACGTTGTACCCGGCCACCAGCGGTCGTTGGCAAAGCTAGGGAACAGCAGCGAGACGTACCAGACGCTGCACGCGAGCGACGTGGCGAGGTAGCCGAGACCAAGGACAGCTTCGATCAAGTGCCGATTGGTAAAGCGTCGACGGACGATTAGCCACGAAGAGGGTGGCCCCACCGGGCTCGGGGGATCTGGTACAATTGGCGCGCTCCACACCATCTTCTGCTTTGCAACTGAGTAGAATGAAACGCAGTAAGGGCTTGCGTATGCATACTAGTTGTACGAATAGTATATCCTTCTATCCTTAAATGCTAAATGCCGATAGTGGCCTCTCGTAGAGTAGCCACATTCGGTAGACATGTGGATAGCTCCTGTAGCTCACTTCATCTGGGACTACCTCGAAGGATGTGGGGGGAATAGAGACTAGGCATTGGCTATAATTCGGAAATGGGACGACTACCGCATAAATTGTGGGGACCTAACAAACGTGCCTAATAAAAGCGAAGAAGAGAAGAAGAGAAGATCGACTTTCGAAAGACGTTCTATCGTCCCATCGTTTCGTCGTCCATCGCCATGTCCTTCTAAAGTTGACCTTCTTGCGCCGTTGAACAATAAACAGAGATGCTATATAAAATACACTTGACTACGGTTAACCCCGTGTTTTCGTGGGGCAGGAGCTCTTTGGTTGAGGTTTCGCATTGGGGTAGCGTGCAATCTAGCGGTGGGATCGTGTACTGCGTGTGTCGTAGTTTGGACTCGTCGGTGTACGGAATCATGTGCATTGAAGCTTAGCGTACCCTGCCCCACATCCGTCGGTCGTGCAACTTTCGGGGGTATTCGACGACCGGCAGCCCGACGCGACCGACTGGAGCCTCTCTTGGGGCTTGCACGACTCGGATTATGCGCGGGGCGGTGAGCGAGGGTGCCTTCTTCGTGTACTCGCACCATATTGTGTGATCTCTGGGGCGTCGGAACGACGCGCAGACACTCGCGACGTCGATGGCTGAGGCTTTTGGCTCCTAGATTGAGCGGGCCGTCCAGGTTCGATCACGGGGCGCGTCCCATGCAAGGCACAAGGCGAGATTGATGTCGAATTTGCTGACTACGAACTTCGAGTGTTATGGCATTGTTTGTTATGGAATTATTCCATTTTAGACCAATGCCTGTGCGGCAGTATGTGCCTCATAAATAAAAATCAGCCAATGTCTGTGCTCCTAGAATGAATTATAGTCAATGCCTATGCTCTATTCGACCCACATCCTACGAGGTAGTCCCCCTTCATCTTTGCCTTCGTGGTGTATATAGATATAATTGCCTGTTTCACGGGAGACGGCTCTCCCCACGCTGCTGTTTCTGTTTGCACCGCGGACGCTAGTATAGGTACCGCGTCCTTCGTGTTAATATTGTTAATATTGCAAGCAAGGAAGGACATTTGTAATGCTAGTCCTATCTATCGACTAGGCTTCGTGGGTCGCTTGAGCGTCCAGAGCCATTTGCTTCCAGTTGACGGTGAAGAGCCAGTAGATGCCGTACGCCGCGCAGACAATGTAGCCGATCGACGCACCGAGCCAGAGACCTTCAATACCCAGGCTCAACGAACTCGCCAAGTACCACCCGAGGGGCACCCCGAGAAGGAGGATGAAGAGGCAGTTGAGAATCGCACCCGTGTGCGGCTTGGCACTGCCACGAAAGACACCGAGGAGGACCATCCAAATCCCAAACACGACCTGGAACGGCGCGTTGACGAGCATGAGGTGCGCCGCGAGCCTAGCCCATTGAGGCGAATAAATATCAAGAAAAATCAAGAAAATGCGATGTACGCAAGGGTGTCAGGGTCGGTCGTGTAGGCCTGCGGGTAGACAAAGCGGACGCTGGCCATGACGATCGAGGTCAAGAGCGCCCATGACGCCGACAAGCCGACTGTCTGGAACGCAGCGACTTGGGCGCGGTGCGGGTCGTTGGCACCCAAGGCATTGCCCACCCGCACGGTGCTACATGAGGTGTGAGTCCTCCTTGACGCTTTAAACAAGAAGGATAGATGACTCGTACCTCGCAACGCCGAGACCCATGTACACCATGAAAAACACTTGGCGAAAGCCGAGGAAGATGTTGTTGGAACCGATCGCGAGGTTCGAGTGGGGCAGGAGTCCTAAGACAAGGTACATACCATTGGTACGGAGCTAGCCTACTGTTGACGCACCGGCAAGCACCGAGGTGAGCGCGACGCCAGCAAACTCCGAGACAAACATGATCCAGCCAAACAAGCTACGAATGGAATGAGGTGTCGGTCTTGTTTGTGCTAGGAAGCGGAGTACCTTAACGAGAGGAACCGAGGCAGTTGCGCAAGGGCTTCGGTGAGCTGCCAGCCGTGCCACGCCAAGTGATCTTGTTGGTACACCTAACCGTCCGTATAAGTGGTGGTACACCCCGTCTCAACGCTCTCCATACAAAGAAGGACGTCACGCCGCAGTAGGTCGCGGATGCGAGCGAGAAGGCGACGGCACTGCCCTTATAGCCCTACATACGATCGTGTTATATCATGTCCTTGATGGTGTAGCATCGAATACATGCAGAAAAGCAGCGTACCAAGGAGGTGTGGAACATGAGGCCATACGCAGCGACCGCGTTGACTAGGTTGCCAGCAACACCGGCAATCACCGCAGGGTACACGACGTTTTGGCTCTGGAGAATGCGCTTGTTGATCTCGTAGCCAAAGACGAAGGGCACGCCAAACATCATGTAGTAGAGGAGGTCGGCGGTGACCGCCGCGGTCTCGGCTGGTTGGCCGAGGAAGCCAAAGATGGATTCGGCAAAGAGGCAGAGGAGCGCCATGGGCACGCAGAGGACCGCGCTGCAGAGGACGGCGGTCTGGAGCAAGACGAGGATGTCGCTGACCGCGTGGCGGCCGTAGGCTTGGGCACACATCGCATCCAGTGCGGTGCACACACCGATCGCGAGGCTGTAGAGCAAAAGCACGTAGAAGAGGTACGCGAGCCCGTTCGAGGCGAGGAGCAGCTGGACGGTCGCGCTCTCGGACGTGAGGTGGCCCGTGTACATGGCGTTGACGCTATTCGCGACGTACTCGCAGATGGCCGTGAGCACAAGCGGTCCGGAGAGCAGCAGTACGTGGCGGAACTCGTCGCGCGCGACGTCGCTTTGCGCGTACTTGGCCAGCAGCGGCGCGGACTCGTCTCGCGAAGCCATTGCTGTTCCAAGTTTGACATGGTTGCCGCCAGAAAGGCCATCACTTGTTGAACTGCACCGGCTGTGTTTAAACGTCGTTCTACCGACGTTAAATGAAAAATCGAAGCCATTGATATGCCGCGCCGAGCTGGCAACACGTCTGCTGCGGGGCCAAGAGCGTGGACAGAGCGAGCCACGGCGCTGCATCCGCTCATAGATGGCGGACGGCGTCGATAGAATCGTGGAAGCGTTGCGGCTTGATGCTTCACGTTAGCGTTCGAGTGGCCCTCGCCACCAGTTGGGACCAACAATTCATGTAATGTTATTCCCTTGGCTTCTGGACGCTGCATCTACCGAATATAATAACAAGAAGAGCGCGCTCGGTCTGTCGTGCTCGCGAGCGAGCAGTCTCGTCCTGGATCGCGGTATGGCGTGGACAGTTCAGCAAGCTAGTTTAAACGCGTTTAAACAGATCAGGTGGTCGGCTATCCGGCGTCGTCCGGATATGAGTCAAGCCGGGACCACCACACAACCAAACGTACCACGACGAAGCGACGACCGATCGATGGGGCAGAGCCCATGGGAGATGATGATGACTGTGTGTGGAGAGATGGAGTGTGTGATGAAGGTGCTCAGGAAGCTTCTTCTGCTGCGTGTGCATCGATAGCTCTGCTGCGCCCTCGGGCAATGCGGGCTCGGTCACCGGTTGTTTTGGCGAGCAACCGTCATGGCGCTTGTTGCCCTGAATCTTGATGGCCACGCTGCAGTACGCGTGCTCATTGTAAGTGGGCAACGATATTGTATATCTCCAAGAAATTAGGTGGCGACGACCAAGCTTCCTCGTCGCCCACAAAGGCTCTTGGTACAGGGTGACGGCTGGTCCGCGACAGCGAAACTGCGCCGACCTCGCCCATGGTCGGCGACAGCATATCCGCGGCCCGCAGTACCTAGTTTCGTGGCGCCTGCGTCTGCGGATTCCCATGGATCTGGCGGCTCGCGCCACGCTGCATTTGTCTGTGACTGCCGACGCGACGTCGCAGCGGCTTCGTTTGCGAGCGCCTTTGTCCTGCCATGTGCATGATCCATACTATTATCTTTAGTAATCTGATCCCACACTCTGCCTCGAATCATGATAGCCCGTAGCCTGTAAAGTAGGAATGCAATCGCTATGTTTCTTCTTATAGGTCGACAGCCTCGCCGACGAGCGCCGGCATCCATGCCCAAGGCAACGACGGCGCCATCGACCAACGTATACAGTCACCAATCTCTCAATACAAGTGTTTATGTGTACCCTCCGCGATGTATTCTGTTTCCAGACGTCTCCATCGACTTGGATTCAATCCCGTGCTGATGTCGCCGCCGCCAGCCGCCGCTTCGCCCATGTACCATCATCCATGGGACCTCGCACGCAGCGTTGGTCTGCGCCAGCGGTGAGGACCGCTGGTTTGCGCTGACTGGCCTGCGATCTTGGATCTGCCACCACGACGCGCCACGTCATGCTTTGTAACCGTCGCCCAAGCGACCATTGAAATCGGAATGGACGCTGCCGCCACGAAGCTGCAGTGCATGTACCGGGCGCGCCTTGCGCGTCGGGCGGCCTGTGCCAAGCTGCAGACGGTCGTCCAGCGCTACTACGACGCCGACTCGGGTGCGCCCTGCTGGTGTAGTAACCACCCGCACCATCGTCTCGTAGGCATGTATTACTACTACAACGCGAGCACGCAAGCGAGCACGTGGGTCAAGCCCAAGCTGCTTGGCAGCGACGACGCACCGCTCGGCGCAGTTAGCCAAGGTCATTTGTCCGAGCTTGTGTCTCCAGCTCACAGTCGGTGGCGGCTAGACCTCGCGACAACTATCGACGAGCCCACTGCGCACGTCGGTGACGCAATTGACGCTGCGCCAACGGAAAACAACCGCGCCGAGGATGGACCACCGCCTGGACATGAGCTCGTTGCGGATCGACCGCCGACCGAGAGCGAGACACACGGCGGTGCGAGAACCGTCTTGAATGCGACGGAGCGTAAAAGGGTGCGTGTGCAGACGCGTCCGAGGTCGTGCGTACGACAGAGAAGGCCGCGACGTCAACCGACGACGAGCGCCGCAAGTCGCAGCACCTGAACGCCAGCGCTGCCAACCCGTACTCGGCGGACGAGTTGCGCATGATTGAAGAGCAGTTCCGCAAGGTACGCACGCCATGTTCTCCTCCATTGTACTACAAAAGGACATGTAGTTTGATACGGACGGCAGCGGCGAAATCAGTCTCGACGAGCTCCAAGCCATGCTGCATTCGTTTGGCGACATGGTCACCAAGGACGACATCCAGAGTTCGGCCATGCTCTCGTGTGCGATGCGAGGACAATCTGTCCATTGTCGTAGCGCTTGTGGACACGGTGGGCATTGCCAGTACCCACATCAACTTGTCGCAGTTCATGGCCATTTTGCATCACCAGCGCGAGCACGACGCGTACTGTCCGTCGATCGAGCTTGCGCTCATGTTTGGGCCCGACGAGATCGCCAACCTTCGCGCGCAATTCCAAGCCGTTTGCGATACTTCAATATATAGATAGATATGCACGGTTGAAAGGCCGTGCTAGATTGACGCGGATGCCAGCGGCGAGATTGACGAGAGCGAACTCGCAACGCTCATGAAGAACCTCGGGCAAAATCCACGCGCGATGGACCTCAAGGCCATCATCCACGAAGTGGATCGGGACGGCAACGGCACCATCAACTTCAACGAGGTATTACAGCATTCTCTCGTCCAATTTTCACGCCTTTTTAGTTTGTCATATTGTCTACAACATGCGCAATCAATCCAAGACAAGTTGTCCACTGTACGCGAACATGCCGGGTACCATCGCCAGTGCGTAGAATTCGCCGCGCTTCTGGCCCTCGGCGTGGCCAAGGGCCTTCTCACCGACCTTGGCGACGTACGACGACGATGCTCTTTTGACCACGCGCCGTATTGACAAACAAGGTCTAGGTGCTCGCCGCCACGAAGAACAAGGTGTCCATGTGGTGGTATCTGTCTCTGAAACCTATGACAATATTCTCCACGTCATGAAACCAGGAACGCCAATCGGCTGGCCGAAGAGAGGCGGCTGCGGGCCAGACGCGAGCGCGAGCTCGAACTCGAACGTCAACGCCGCGAAGCGTACGAGTCCATTGTACGAGTTGGATCTATCGTCCACTTCGTAGCGAAGCGCGCGAGCAGCAGATGTATCAAGACGAACTCGACCGTCTCGACGCGCTTGCGCGAGAGCGTCTCACCATGGTGCCTGGTCTGCGCCACGAAGTGCTTCTCGAAGGGCACGCCTTCCTGCAGTACCCTACCCATATATGACACCATGCACACGTAGCGACAAGGAAAACTACCCGAACCGCGGCCAGTACGCTCGTGTGCACTACGTTGGCGCGGTACACGCCTCGGTGCCATCCATCGTAGTATCAATGTATCGAGTAGTTTGAGAACGGCAAAGTCTTCGAGTCGTCGCGGACGCGGGGCGGGGCGCTCGAGTTCAAAGTGGGCTGTGGCCACGTCATTGAAGGTACAGGCCTCGCGTCGTGGTACGAAGACACTATGGACCTCGGTAGGGTGGGATGTGGCGCTGCTCCGCATGAGCGTCGGGGAGACTGCTCGCATCACGTGCGCGCCCAAGCTCGCGTACGGGGTCAAAGGTGTGTGAAAATGGACAAAATGCATTTAAATGGAAAAAATCAGGACTAAACGAACCACTGCCTAGGGCGGCCGCCCAAGATTCCGGGCAACGCCACGCTCGTCTTCACCATCGAACTCATCGCGATCAAGGAGAAGGTCGTTCGCAGCGGGGATGACGACGGCAGCGACGACGACAGTTGATGCTCTACGATGCAAACAACGACGACTGTTGCTGCTGCTGTTGTTGTTGTTGTTGCTGCTGCTGGCTCCAGTAGTACATGAGCGCTTGTTCTTGGAGCTTCCCGAGGCCGCCGACGCATTTCGCCAAGAAAAACACCGCCCCCGGCGACTAGGTGGTATGCTGAGCGTCTCCACGAACCATCATGCGAGACGTACATATTGCATGGCCGTCTCGAGGTTCGACGCCACGGCCGGACTGTTGCAGAGCGGAAAGTCCGAGAGCGGGCTGAAAAGCACTTGGGTCTGCGACAGGTTGTCGGTTGTCTCCTTGTAGAAGCCGACCTACGCCCATCCATCAACATGACCATTTCATGACGTGGCGTACGAGTTGCTGAAACTGATTGAAGGCAGGCAGGCCCATCTTTTGTCCCTAGTGGACAACAAGATAGTTAGCGTAGTCCCTACGAACTGAGAGGGCCATACGTGCATGTCGACTTGCATCTGCGCGAGGATCAACGAAACGTACTGCTCGTCGCTCGGCGGCGTCGAGCCTGCGAAGAGCGATGACGTCGTTGCCGCCGTCGACGTGGATGCCATGTTGAGCGTGTTGAAGGACCAGTCGGTGGCGTCCGTCTCGGTCGTTGGTGTCTACAAAGTACACGTGTCAGAAGAGGGTACACGATGGCAAGGACGGCGTACGTTCATGAGGCCGTCCATGGTAAGGTCCGTCATCATCATATCGGTGGCCTCACGCGTCTCGGGCTCCGGCTCGCGCTCCGTCTGCAGAAAGATATTCTCGGTCTTGAGGACTGCGTTGTTGTTGTTGTTGTTGTTGTTGTTGGGCAGGTTCGAAGCGGCGGCCGACGGCGTGAAGGCCTGCTGCGCCGACGATGGCGTGTACGCTTGCATGTTGTTGTAGCTCATGCTCGCGGCGTTCGTCGGCGTGTAGGCGGCGGCGGCGGCGACGGCGGCGGCTTGGTACGCGGCGGCGACCGTCGCCGGGTTGTAGGCCGCGTGCGACGGTGTGTACACCATATTGGCATGCGACGGCGTAAACTGCTGCTGCGCGTGGTGCTGCGGCGTGTAGTTGGACGGCGTGTACGGGCCATACATCTGCACATCCATCGTCGGCCTCTGGACTGCATGCAATCCATGGTACCTGGGCCTGCGGCGTCGCGCGGCGCGCCTGCTGGTGCTTGAGAAAGCCGCACGTGGGCGCGTGCTCGCCCGACTTGGTCGCGTCCGAGAAGCGCTGGCAGCTCACGCAGCGGTAGAGCGGCGCCTGGTGGTTGGTCGAGCCATCGCCGTGGATTTCATACCCGATGAGCTTCCACTCCTGCATCGTGTCGGTCCACGTCATGCGCGCTAATAGCCGACAAACGTCCGTTAGCCTCTTTTTCTACCCGACGATGGAGAGCGTACGTCGTGGCACGTTGTGGGGCGTGGCGCCTATAGAAACACGTATCAGTGTCGTGTACAACAACAAGGCAACGGCGTACGGCGCGAACCCGGCGTGTACGCATTGCTAGTTGGTGTCGCGCCGTGCGTCGGCGTCGGGATCATGCGCGGGCGCTGGCACGATGGCGACATGCCCGTCATGCCGCCCATGTTGGACGGCGACTTGAGCGAGCCTAGAATGACCGTGTCGGCTAGGAAAACAGGATGGTGGCGTCGACCGTACTCAAGCGGCGCTTGTTGCGCTTGGAGCGGATGGCGACCGGCTGCGTGTCGACAGCCGCCAAGTCCTCGTAGACGTTGGACGACTGCGGCGCAATGCGGAGGAGAAAGCAGTGGTTCTGGTGGTTCTTGGACACATCCTCGATGCGGAATTCGAGCTTGACGTGGCCGTTGGTGATGTGCGGCGGCAGGTCCGGGTACAGCTTGAGGATGCTCGCCGCCGTGTTGACGCTGGGCACGGACGCGTTGGGCACGGGCTCGCCCGAGTCGTACAGCAGCTGCAGCGTCAGCGGAATCTACAGGATGTCATGAGGATGCGGAGACGACAGTGGAGATGACACGGTACCACGCGGTCAATGACACTGTGGCCCGGCGCCGCCTGCACGTTGACTTGGACGCAGATCTTCTTGTCCTTCCCGCCCTCGTCCTTGAACCAGACGTCGGGCGGTTGCTCCGACACGACGAGTTTTTCCTAATGAGAGCGTCGCGTGAGATGCAAGAGATATAGGCATTGGCGGCTACCTTGACGATCGAGAAGGGCGACGTGAGCGTGGCCAGCGACGTACAATCCGTCGACGGCACAAAGCAGCGGAGGCACATGTTGCGCAGCACGTGCTGGAGCGAGAAGCGGAAGGTGCACGTCTCAGAGGTAAAGATGAGAGGCGTCGTCGGGTCAATCGTCTAGATGGCAGGTCATGGCATCGATGCGTCGAGATGAAGGTGTTGGGCGTACGAGATGCGACGATGTCTCGGTCGTGAGCTTCGTGTCTTCGTGCACCAGCGCCACCTGGAATGGCAGCGAGAGGCCGCCGCTGGAGATTGCCATCATCCGCATGAGCCCATTGCAGGCACAGGAAAAGGAGGTAGACGTACTCGCTTTGCTTGGGCAACAGGTCGTAGTGCTCGATCACGAGCGTGCACTCGATCGACTCGTCCACGAAGGCGAAGCGGGGCATGGGCGCCTGCGCGACGAGGACGGGCTACGCACGCAGCAGCATGAGCCATGGGCGCGAGGCTGGCTCCAAGTACCTTGCCGCCCTTGGGGGTGGTCCCGGCGCGCGTCTCGTCCATCATCGGTGCACCCATGGTCGCGATCTGGCAGTCGGCTGGAGGATGACGGAATAGACCTCCGAGATGGCCCGAGCAGTGGCATGTGGCAAACCTCTGCTGTCTGGATAGCTGGTGGAATCGCACCAATCAGCGCACGGTATAAATATGGGATACTCCCTTCTTGCACAGTTTTTCAATGTTTTGATGGAAATGTTCAAGGGGCATTTGGAATGTGTATGCTCCAAATAGCTCCTAGCGATCTCGCAATGAGGGAATGACGCGGAGACTCTCTCAAATACACGTTGCAGTCGTTGTATGGGAAGTGTGCGGCGACGCCGTCGGTAATGACCTGCGAAGCCAAAACGAACGCGACGTCACGCGCGCGACCACCCACGCGGCCCCTTCGAATCCGCCGACGACGCCGCCGAGCGACTAACTAATTATATTACTATATTGCTATGATACGTAGACGACTACGTCATCTCGGGGTGACCAATATGGCGCATTGAAACACCGCCGTGGATCCAGTGCAGCCCTTGCAAAGCTACATTCCTGAACGAGCGCTTGCTCTGTCAACTTGGACCGACCAGCTGGACGACGTTGCTGAGTACGTTAATGACGCGCAGTGACACGGCGTTGGAACCAAGCGCCGACAGGTTATTCAAACGTCGGATCGTCCGTCGCGCATCGTGGGCCCTTCAAAGGCGAGATCCTAAAGGGACGTGCGGACGTCATCCGACCTATCCACAGCGAGCGAAGCGCTCACAACCTAATGCGGAGCCTGATGCGTGCGACTGTCGACGGTGTCAGAGCTACTACGTACTTGGTGAAGCGAAGGTTGCAGTGCATGGAAGAAAAAGCAAACGGGGATCGAACCCACGTCCGAGATGCTCGCACCCAAGAGCGCTGACAAGCAGCGCCGCGATCCTAGGCCGATCAACTCGATACCAGCGTTGGATTGGCCAATTCAAAGTTCGATTTGCACCAATCCCGTGCAGTGGTACGACGCGGCGCTGCCACGTGGAATCCGCGGTGCCAGGTGCAATTGACGAAGGCGCGTGTTGACGGCCGCACGCAACGGCGGTGGCTGGCAGAACCTCAGGACATCCTCTTGGCCCGTCGTCACTGCGAATATGTAGCTGCTTGTCGGCGGTCTTGCCTTCATGTATCGCGTGGGAGCCGGGTTGTAGACGTGCGGGCGTCGGCGTCTCTGCCGCGCGGCTATGGCCCACAACCCAGGTATGCATCGTCGTTCGCTACTGCCGCACTAGCTGCGCTGCATCGTTACTTCGGTCCACCGCAAGTGTACCTACCACGTACCACATTTGATCGGCTGCCAATGTTCATGAGAGGCAGTCGACCTTGTGCTTGCGACGAGATATATGTAGACCCGATTGTGCACTGCACGCAAACGAACGAGGTACAATATTGTCTTCCTGTGCAACAGCAGCTGACGCTTCAAAAGTGCAAGATCCAAATGGCCCAATCAGCGTTCACACGCCTTCGGATTGGCTATAATTATACAGGTGGAGCCAATCCATGCGCGACAAAAAGATGGACGCCTGCGGATTGGCGCAAACTCGGACACGACGCAAGTTTCGGACGCGAACCGACGCGAGATGGCGGCGACCGCGACGGCCGCGATGCTCGTACACCGCTACATGTACGGGCTCAAGGGCAGCGTGCGCAACAACGTCGCCTTCTGCGAGGAGAACACCGTTGTCTTTCCTTGCGGCCACAACCTCGTGGTCCACAACATTGAGACGAAAGAGCAGCAGTTCATCCATGGCATCGAAGGCAACGCGGGCGGTATCACCGCCATGGCCGTCGCTTCGAGCCGCAAGTAGGCTTTCTTTTATGCATTATTGGCTCTACTTTCATGGCGTAGGTACGTGGCGGTCGCGGAGCGCAGCGAACATGGGCTCATCCACGTCTACGACCTCTCCACTCTGCGCCGGAAAAACCCTTGTCCTTTCCCGATCTCGGCTCAGACGCTTACGTACGTGATCGCGGAGCACTGGTAGTCAACTGCATCGGTCATCTCGTGTAGGTGAGCCTGGCCTTCTCGGCCGACGGCAAGTACATCATCGCGCAGGGCGGCAGCCCGAGTGGAACCTCGTGTTGTGGTCCTGGGAAAAAACCAAGTCGTCGCGACCGTGCGCTCTGTGTCGCAATACGGCAGGTACGTACTTGCAACTCTTCAATGCAATTTGGTAGGCTCACGTGGACTATTTAGTACGGTCGTCCAGGTGGACTTTAGCCCGACCGACAACAACACGATTTGTGCGAGCGGCGCCAGCACCATCAAATTCTTCAAATTGGTGGATGGTACTTTGTAGTGCATGTACCAAAAGGTACAAATATTCAATTGGTGAATTAGGTCAATTGCGCCAACAAGTCAATTCGCTGAAACGCGAGCCCGGCAATTTTCTCTGCCACACATGGCTCCCGGATGATCGACTCGTCGCCGCCGCCCTCTCGGGCGAGCTCTGGTAAACCGATTCTGCCTTTTCGAACCGAGTATTTTAATTCCATGGCGGATGCTGTAGGCTCTTTGAAAGCCTTGAATTCCGCATCGTCCTGAGCTCGTCGCCGTCGGACGGTCAATATATCTCGTCGCTTCTCGCGTACACCAAAGGTACACAAAACCTATAAATTTTGGTATGTCAATATTGTCCTCATACGACGCAATGGGAGTAGGGTTTGTGGGGGGCGGGCGGGGGGTGTCATTCGTATTTACGAGAAAAGCGACGACGCCCGCGAGCAGTACAAGCGCACCAAAAGCTTTACGATCGACGGGAGCTCGCAAATCGTTCAGAACCTCGCGATCTCCCCGAGCGAAGACATGCTCGTGTGTTCGCTCGAGAGCAACCAGCTGTACATGCTCACATTGAGCTCTACGGACATTCTCAAAGAAGACGCGATGAACTTTGAGCTTGTCTCGACGCCATTCCATCGGCCGGGCGCCAACGGCTCGTCGCACATTACGGGGTAGATGAACGGCATATGGACCATAGCACATAACTTGAGGACTAGGCTCGATGTGTGCATTCGCAAGCCGCTCATTGTCACGTGCGGTGTCGACAAGTCGGTCCGCGTTTGGAACTACAGCGACAAGTCCACCGACATTCTCAAGTTTTTTAAAGAAGAGGCGCTCGCGGTTGCGTTGCACCCGTCCGGTCTGCATGTTGTCGTCGCGTTCACAGACAAGTTGCGCATGCTCAACATCCTCATGGACGACATTCGGCCGTACCGCGAATTCCGTACACGCGACAACATATATTGTCTATCAGTTGGTGGACGCTCATGGTGGTGGTTCGTAGCGGTCAAGGCGTGCAAGGAAGTGCGCTTTAGCCACGGCGGGCAGTACTTTGCAGTCGCCAACAACAACACGATTCAAGTACGACGACATGCACAAATGGAAAATAGGACTATCGCAACATGACTAGATTTACGGCACGTACTCGGGCGAGCTCAATACGGTGCTGCGCGGCCACACGAACCAAGTCAACGCGATCGTATGGAAGCACGGCGACCGTAAGCTCGTCTCCTGCGGCTCGGACGGGTCGATCTTTCAGTGGGACGTGCGCAATGCAGTGAAAGTCGGCGACGGTCACACGCACCCGCGCTGCAACTACGCGGACATTGCACTCGCTGCCGACTCGACGCTCTTGTACGCGTCAGGCACGGACGGCACGCTCAAGGAGATCGACCTTGTGGCCGGCGCGCCGCGGGTCGAGCACGCGGCCAACTGTCTGTACGGTAAGTTGTTTTCTTATCATTTTGTACCATATTAACATGGAATGATGGACAATATTTGATAGGACCGGTCGCAATGACCACGTCTCAGCAGCTGCTCTTTGTGGGCACGATCGAACCGCGCCGACCCGGCAGTATTCGCGTCTACAAATTGCCGCTAGAGCCGGAAAGTCCGTATTTGGAGTACCAGTGCCACGACTTGCCGGTGGCGCGGCTGCGCTTGTCGCATGTAGACCCTTGTTCTCTCTACTAGAATTGTGCTGTGACAAGGAGTGTAGGACAACCAATACCTCTTTTCTGTCGGCGAAGATGGCTCGTTGTGTATTTTTGAGACCAAAGAGTCGTCGCTCAATTCGAAACTCAAAGGTACTGTTTCGAGTCCAACCCAATCCATTGACAATCGCGTATTAGGCCGCAGTGAGCGCGATAATGTCATGCAATTTGCGGAGGAAATTCTCGTGACCAAGTCCGACTTGGAGGAGAAGAACCGCATCATGCAAGGTTCGATCAGTCCTAGTTATCGACATGCGAACACGGAAGTAGAGCTCAAGGCCAAGGTCGACGAGCTCACGCTGCACAACGAGTACCAGCTCCGGCTCAAGGACATGAACTACAAGGAAAAGATTCAAGAAGTCAGGTACAAAATGTCACACCGTGCTTTCAAACTTAGTACATACTATGGAAATTAGCGATAAATTCTCATCCGAATTGACCCAAGACCGGCAGCGCTGCGGGGACCTCCAGGAGGACAAGCGTGAGATGGAGCTCGAGTACGAGTCCAAATTCCACGAGCTCGACACCAACCACCAGCGCGAGATTGACGAAATGCGACGGACGTACGTCCATTCCACAACGGACAATATTGAACTATACCTTTGGAACACTAGGTACGAAGCCAAAATCAAGGCCGAAGTCGAGCGCTACGAAGCGCTGACGCAAGAGCGCGACGAAGAGAACGCGCGCTGGGAAGAAGAGAACCAGCTATTGGTATCAACTTGAAACATGGAACCCGCTGCGCATCATGGCGTATGATAGGTTGAGAGCCACACGCAGTTCTTAGCGGAAATGACCACCGAGTACGACCACAAGGTCGAGACGGAGCAAGTCAAGCAAACGCAGCTCGGAAGCGAGAAGGAAGAGATCATGAACGAGTTTGAAGACAGCAAGAAGCAGATCGAAGAGGACGCGGATCTCGAGATTGAAGAAGTAAAAGCCAAGTACGACGCCAAGTTTCTTGAAGAGCGCGAAGCCACGCTTCGGCTCAAAGGTACTACGTCTCAACCGACCAAATGCCTCCAACTGTGTTTAGGCGAAAACGGCATTATGAAGAAGAAATTCACCGCGCTTCAAAAAGATATCGAGGACCAGAAGGAGGAAATTCGCTCGCTGCAAGAGAAAGGCCGCGAGCTCTTCGAAAACATCAAGGGCCTCGAGAAGGACATCCAAGGCCATAAGAAAGAGATTCGGGAGCGCGAAGAGACGATCCAAGACAAGGAAAAACGCATTTACGACCTCAAGAAGAAGAACCAGGAGCTCGAAAAGTTCAAGTTTGTGCTCGATTACAAGATCAAGGAGCTCAAGCGACAGATCGAGCCGCGCGAAGTCGACATCGCTGACATGAAGCTCCAGATCGAGGAAATGGACCAGGAGCTCGAGCATTACCACAAGTCGAACGACGCACTGGACTTGATGATTGGCGAGCTCACGCTCAAGATGGACGGGATGCAAAAGGACATCAACACGCAGCTCCTCGAGATCAAGACCGGTCGGTCGCTCATCAAGCAGTTCCAGTCCGACTTGCACGACTGCGCCCAGCTCCTGGACGCCAAGAAGGCGCTCAAAGCCAGTGTCATTGGTACGCGATGGCCGATAATTGGATAGAACGGTGGACAAAAGACAATATTGCGTAGGGCTCTATAAAAAGTACGAGCACGGCAAAGTGGTGGCCGACGTCGGCGGCGACCTCGACGCGCAGCAAGAGTACAACCGACAGCGCGAGTACCTGGAGAAGGAAGTCGAGAGCATGAAAAGCAAGCTCGTCAAAGGCATGAAGATGAACCACAACGAGATGATGCGCCTCAAGCGTGAGAATGCGCTCTTGACGGGCCAGGTATATCCACAATCTCGACGCCATTTCCACACGAAAGGAACCGATGGCATAGGTCAATGACCTTCGGCGCGAGTTTTACAGCGTCAAGGCAAGCCAGAGCGAAGTCAACAGTCTCCGGGCCAAGCAGCGGGACCGGCGCGTGCTCGACGAGCGCGACTCGGACCTCCGGCGCGAGTGCGACCTCCAAAAGGTTCCTCCCTTTGTATTCATGTGTGTACTGCGCCGCCTCATGCATACGGCGTCTAGTCGCAGATCCAACAGCTCAAGCAGCAGCATGCGGCGCTCGTCAAGGCGCTCGGAGGCAACCAAAGCAGCCTGCCGTCGCTCACGCGGCGCAACACGGGCGGCCTCACGAGCAAGCTGCCGCCCATCGACGCCTAAGCGCTTTGCCAATGTAGTACGTTGCAGTGTATATCGCTCGTCGTCCATGCAGCCTCCTGTTGACGACGTCCTGCCACCACCGCATCGCATCCTTGTGCATTCGTAGGCATCCTCGCCGGGCAGGCGCGCCCGGCGCGTCGTCTTTGGTCGATGCTAGCCTGCCATGTCCATTGCCAAGGTCGGTCCATGGCGCCGCCCTAGCCACCGTGGAGCCCTTGCACCCATACCATGACCATGGCTAGGTCGCGACGGCGTCGCCGGCGGCTGCCGCTTCAACGTCGGTGGTCCGCAGTAATGCTATGGAATAAAATCCAGCCTATGTATATACAAAGACCGAATCAAATTAAAGCCTGGGGATTTGAAATACGGTGGGCGCTCGGAAGGCGCGCTCATTGGCTGAAATCTTTCCATGATGCGCGGGGATTGGCCATAAAGATGCATTTGCGTGCAAAACGCAAGGTGATTGGTGCATAATGAAGCCGACGCCTTCAGTCACCAATTTGCTGCGGAGAAGGGACGACGATGGCAGCGCCGACGACGACGATCGCGGTCGACGAGCTCAACCACAAGGTCCTCGACGAGCAGATCACGCGCCTGCGCACCAACACGCCGGAAAAGGGCATGCTCTCGGAGGTCGAGGTCATCGACCTCTGCAAGAAGGCCAAGGAGATCCTCGAGAAGGAGTCGAACGTGCACGAGGTGCGCTGCCCCGTGACCATCTGCGGCGACATCCATGGCCAGTTCTACGACCTCATCGAGCTCTTCCGCATTGGCGGCCAATGCCCGGATACCAACTACCTCTTCATGGGCGACTATGTCGACCGCGGCTACTACTCGCTCGAGACCGTGACGCTGCTCGTGGCGCTCAAGGTATTCCATGTACCACCTATTCGTCGCATTTGCGTAGCGTGGCCATAGGTGCGGTACCCAACGCGCGTGACGATCCTCCGCGGCAACCACGAGTCGCGCCAGGTCACGCAGGTGTATGGCTTTTACGACGAGTGTCTCCGCAAGTTTGGCACGGCCGCGGTCTGGCTCACCTTTATGGACCTCTTTGACTACCTCCCGATGACCGCACTCGTCGAGAACAAGATCTTTTGCATGCACGGCGGCCTCTCGCCGTCGCTCGAGACGCTCGACCACGCCCGCGCCGTCGACCGCGTACGTCCATCTCGCACGACGATGACGATGATGCTGATGCGGAGGACGCTGACTAGTTTCAAGAAGTGCCCCATGAAGGGCCCATGTGCGACCTCGTGTGGTCGGACCCGGACGAGCGCGGTGGCTGGGGCATCTCGGCCCGCGGCGCTGGCTACACGTTTGGCGCCGACATCACCGAGCAGTTTACTCGCGCCAACGGCCTGAGGTAGACGCATCTATCTTCCAAAAACAGGCTGACAATGCAAACGTAGCTTTGTCGCCCGTGCCCACCAGCTCGTCATGGAGGGCTACCAGTGGATGCACCAGCGCGGCGTCGTCACCATCTTTTCGGCGCCCAACTACTGCTACCGCGTCGGCAACCAAGCCGTACGACATCGCTCGCATCCTCGGCCTCGTCGCGACGATCTTCTTCGTAGGCGCTCATGGAAGTCGACGAGATGTTTGCGCAGACGTCGGGCGAGAAGGTCTACGACGCGTGCAAATTTATCCAGTTTGACCCGGCGCCGCGCAACTTTGCGGGCTCGTCCAAGCCGCGCGCGCCCGACTACTTTCTCTAAGTCCTCATTCTCGTCTCCGTAATGACGACGACGACGACGACGCTGGCTCCACTTGAGATGACACTAGATTATTATTCTGTAGCCAATATACATCTTTTGCGATAGGACAATATTACCGGTATGCTGGGGACTGCCCTTTCTCGTAGTATACCGTTTGTGCTCATCGCATCCCCTTCTGCGACAAGCCACCGCGTCCTGATCACGTCACGCGTGCCCACCGCTGGAGACGCGCAAGGGTCGCTTTCGTCCAGAGGTTCATGGACGGGGCCCAGGCTCGCGTGCTGTAGCGACACTGCGGTCTTGTCGTCGCCGCGACTTCAATTCCCGCGACATATGTTTGCAGTTGCTAAAGCAAGGACCGTCGTGTTGCGACTTAAAGCACGAGCATCCCGTCGCCGTACGAGTACCAGAGGTACTCCTTCTCCATCGCCTCCTTGTAGATGGTGTCGAGAAGCACTTCGCGGGACCCACAAAACGCTGCCGTCAGCGTCAGCACCGACGTCTTGGGGTAGTGAAAGTTGGTGAAGAGTCCGTCGAGCACTTGAAAGGTGTAGGGGGGGTAGATGAAAATGCCGGATTCGCCCTCGAGCGGCGCAGTGGACGCGTCATCAAAGCCAGCGCCAATGGTCTCGAGCACGCGCGTGGCGGTCGTCCCCACCGCGATGACGCGGCGGCCCTCGGCGCGCGCCTTGCGGATCGATGCCCGCGTCGCGCTGCTCACGTGGTAGCGCTCGCGGTCCATGCGGTGCTGCTCGACAAACTCGCTCGCAAAGCTGCGGAAGGTGCCGTAGCCAACATGAAGCGTGACGCAGACGTGGTCGATGCCGGCGTCCGAGAGCTTCTGCAGCAAGGCCGGGTAAAAGTGCAGGCCCGCCGTTGGCGCCGCGATCGCGCCGGGTGTGCTGGCCACCGAGGTTTGGTAGGCCGCCTCGTCCTCCTTGTCGGGCACACGGGCGACGTATGGCGGCAACGGCATCTCGCCGACGCGCGCAAGGTACGTATGCAGCGGCTCGTGCGTCAGGCCAAAGAGCGTACCTGTGTGCACCTCGGGCACGCCACCGACGAGCGTGTCGACGCGGAAGGTGAGGCCATCGGGCAGCGACAGGATCGTGCCAAGCGGCAACGGCGCGCTGAGGAGCACGTCCATCGATGTGTGCTCGGCGCGGAGCGGGTCGAGGAAGAGGAGGCTGGCGCAGCCATCGACTGGCGTCGTCAAGCGGACTTGCGCCGGCACAACACGCGTATCGTTGAGCACGAGAAGGTCGCCGGGCGTGAGGAGCGATGGCAGCGCCTCGAACGTCGTGTGCTCGATGCCATGGTTGGCCTTGCGGTAGACGAGCAGCTTCTGCGAGCCAAAGGGCCGCGGGCGCTGCGCGATGCGGTCGGCCGGGATGACGAAGTCGTAGCTTGCGGCGGTCGCCATTGCTTTTCGAATGGCTACGTTGCACATCACCGCAGGTGGTGCTGTAGCGTCATCCAAGGACCACTGTGAAACTTGATAGAACGTCGACGATGGCGGTGAGGACAGAGGGTCGCAGCGAGGCCCGGGGCAGCGCCTGTATGGGCCATGACAGAGAGCACGGGTCATCGGTGGGCCATGCTTGGCGAACGAGGCTGACCGCAAGCGCCGCACCGCGGCCGTATCTTTTGCTCGGTATGGCTTATCTAAGAAGCTTGATATACGTTGCTCGTTAACTATTGGCCAATCCGAGGCAGGAAAATCGTGACTCAGGCGAGCTGCTGGGCATGTCCAGCGTACGTGCAGTGTCGCCGAGGTGTCACCAAAGAGAGGAACCCTATGGTCCACGCCGGCCTCGCGGCAGCACTGATAACACCAGGCATGGTCGTCGACCGATGCGGCCGTGGTTGTCGTCGTTGCCATTTGGGCTCACGAGACGAAGCAACCAACCAGCAAACGATCCCAGTACTGAGAAGCGATGAAACGTGCTGAAAGGACCAGGACCACACGCGAAATCGCTCTTCGAGCAGAGGCTTTGAAGTGAATGCGCTCGCAGAAAGCGACGGGGCCGGGATTCAGCGACTGCATGTGTCCAGAAGCTCAATATCGTCGTCTCGAAAACACAATGCACGTCGTCGGAGCTCTCATTGCGCAGCTCGGTGCGCTCAGTACAGTGCAGTGAGGGCGACATCGTACCACGGCCTTAACCGCCGCCAGCGCGGACACTCGCGAGCCCCTTCAGCTGGGGGTGCGTCGGCTTGGCGACCGTTGTTTGGTCGTCGTGGTAGTCGCGTCGGAGCTGCGCTTTTACTTCTGTGCGCCTGCCTTGGACGGGCGCTTGTGGACCTGGACGAAGAACGGGCAGTCGTCCGAGGGGCAGACAAAGCGCCGTATTCTCGCCGCCGCTGCGAGGCGCGCGCGCATGCTTGTTGTGCTCGAGGGCGTAGTCTTCAACTCCATCTTGAGCCACAGCGCTTAGCCCGATTGCTGCCATGGCGATCTCATTTGTATCCGGCAGCTTTTCCGGATCGTATTTTCCACTCATTTACCGGTGTCATTGAGCGCGTGTGGAGATATCATGTCTGGTTCCGCTGACAATATAATGCGCATCTCGCAGCCAGAGGCCTCAACGCTGTATAGAAACCTATCTGAAAACCTATTACTTAATACGACGAGGTCTTTACATTGGGAGGTCGTGACGATCGCCTGGCTTCAGCACACACCCGCCAGCGTCTTCCGCGTACTTTTTCCGGTCGAGCCCGTCGCAGCGATGCAAGAGCTCCAGTTGTGGCGACGGGGCGAAGCGCGACTCGAACACGGGCGTGCCCACCACCGAAGCAAGACCCTCGGCGCCGTCTTCAAGGTCATCGACGCCCACAAAGCGAGACGCGCCTCGCGCCACCTTGGCGCCAGCCTTGACCATTCCTTCGAGCGTCGTACTGGGCGGCACGTAAGACGAGTACGGCTGCTTGTAGAGCTTGGACCACGCGACGCACGTGTGGAGGTAGCCAGCATGCAGATCGCTGCCGCCGACGCTGTCGTCGTGGTCGAGCACGCGCTTGGCGACCTTGGTCGTGTACTTTTGGTAGGCCAAGGGGTGCGTCTGGTGCGTGTGCCAAGCGAGGTCAATGTCGATGGTGGGCACGATGCCAAGGCCTTTCTTTTTTGTTGTCTTTTTGTCATGCACAAGCAAGTGCACAAACTGCTCGTAGCGACGGATCGACGCGCGGAGAATCGTCGGGTTCATCCAGTAGTCAAAGTTGGCGCAGACTTTGGTAACAAAGCTGAGCTGGCGGTACATGCCCCGGACGAGGTCCATCGAAAACGCCCCCGGCGGCTGCGACGAGATGCCGATGCGATGGGCGTAGACAACCTCGCGGAAGCGGTAGACGCCCTCGGTGTTTTGCGTCTTTGCAAATTGCGCCATCGTCCGTCGCAGCTCGTTCGTGTAGCTGTCCCAGCGGCCATCCGACGGGATCTCCTTGGGCATGTGGAGGCGTTTCTCGACCTTGGTGCCTTCGCGCATCTCGGACTTGTACGTCATCATGGGGTATTCGTGGATGAAGGTTGCGATCTGGAACGTCTCGTAGCGCAGCGTCTTGTTGCAGCCGCCGCATGCAATCGGCTCGTCGACAAGATGCAGCTTGAACCTCTCGGCTTTGGTCAGTTGACGCCGGCACGACCGGTGCGGGCACTTGCTCAAAATATCACGCAGAGGCTCGTCAAACGCGGTGGAGCCTTCGTACCGGGTCTTGTAGTTGGACCACGGTTCGAGGTCGTTCATGCAGTGGGTGCACTGCACTTGCTGGTGTTGGAGGTACATGATGGTCGTCAAGTACGACGGCAGCTCGCGCTTGCAGACGACGCAGACGCCAATGATGCTCCGGATGCGCTCGATGTCTTCCCCCTTTGGCACGAACGGATTGGTGCCGAGGAGATACAAAAGCGGGTGCAGCTGGTACACCGTGTGCGGGAACGACTCGGTGCGCGGCCCGCCCGCCGCATGCAGCTGCCGGTGCTGACCGACGTACACCGCCTCGAGCTCCAAGAGGTATTCGTACAGCGCTTCCGGCGATTCAATGCAGCCAATGGCGTCATAGATCGTCTTCATGCCGCGCAAGTGGTCTTGGATGTCGTCGACCGTCACGCCGCACGGCTCACATGACGACGGTGACGAGAGGACGGCGTCGGCGACGGCCAGCTGCATGTCGAGACGATACACAGGCGGGAGCGTCCACGATGGCGAGGCAGCGGCTGCGCTGACGACGGCGACGAGCTGCGACTGCAAAAAGCAGTCGTGACCGCGACGGTCAAGGTCTTGTTGCTTGAAGCTGGCGAAATCTCGACAAGGTGCGTTTGCTTGGGCGTCGCGGGGAGCGGGCGGGCGGCAGCGACGCGCAGCGTAGTGATGACTTTGCCCTTGTCATCAGCGAGCGTCAGAGTCTGCTCCTGGAGCGTGAGCAAAGCAGGCTGCCACTGCTTGATGAACCCGCGCAGCGAAGCAACCTCCACGCGATACAAGGACATATTAATGGCGAGGTCGTGGCGAAATGCAGAATGATGATATGCTGAAAAGGCAGTCGGGGTCAAGAACTCCATTAAAGTATTCTTCGTGGGAGGGTCGCGTCTCTGGGCATCGATCACGCGCGCCGACGGGGCAGACGCGGCCTTTCTATGCCTCGCTGCACGGGCGCGCAGCTTTGATTGCTGGAAACGTCCACGCGACAAGCCGTGACCACGCAGAGGGCACATCCAAAGCTACTCTACGGTGCTGCGGCAGTGTCCTTACCACGCAGCAGCCTTTGTCGTATCTTCCACAGCGCAGAATCCCAGGCATCCTCCGAGTCGCCAAGGTGCATGTTGTATTTCTGTCGTTTAGAAAATGACGCGTTGAGACCATGGGACTTGGATAGCCGGCGCGGCAGACGCGATGCGATTCCTTTTCTCGCTCGAGCTCGCCGCGCACCAGAAGTCGTCGACGCACATGTCGCATAGGTCGCGAACCGTTCAAGGAGCCTTTTGCGTCCGTGGCTTGCACTTTTTATCGCTGCATTCGTGTACATACATTGTGAGCTCTACATCACACAAGAGACGGAATCGATCAAGCGGCCCAACAAAACACTGCGGGCTGCCCTCTCTTGACGTGCTCGCAGACGCCATCGTCGGGGCGACAGGGGCAGTCGTCAAATTGGGAGTTTGGTGCTTGCGCACGTGACTTTTTTCAGTACGTCGGCTCTAAGCACGGCGGTAGTAGCGCAAGCATCGATAGCCGAGGTGAGCTGTGCAGCTCATGGCTTCGGATATGCCATATTCAATCGTTCGAGCGGGCGACGGGAGGTTATGCGATGTCGTTGCACGCGATCCGAACAGCAGCAGTTGTCTGTATGACACACACGAGAAGCTTACGTTGACGGATATTGTCATGTCGTATTGATTTTGACATTAGAACGAGATGTTCTGGCAGCCACCCGACGCACAGCCCTTCAGCACACACCCGCCAGCGTCTTCTGCGTACTTTTTCCGGTCGAGCCCGTCGCAGCGGCGCAAGAGTTCCAGTTGTGGCGACGGGGCGAAGCGCGACTCGAACACGGGCGTGCCCACCACCGAAGCAAGACCCTCGGCGCCGTCTTCAAGGTCATCGACGCCCACAAAGCGAGACGCGCCTCGCGCCACCTTGGCGCCAGCCTTGACCATTCCTTCGAGCGTCGTACTGGGCGGCACGTAAGACGAGTACGGCTGCTTGTAGAGCTTGGACCACGCGACGCACGTGTGGAGGTAGCCAGCATGCAGATCGCTGCCGCCGACGCTGTCGTCGTGGTCGAGCACGCGCTTGGCGACCTTGGTCGTGTACTTTTGGTAGGCCAAGGGGTGCGTCTGGTGCGTGTGCCAAGCGAGGTCAATGTCGATGGTGGGCACGATACCGAGGCCCTTCTTGGTCGCGCCTTTGCCGATCAAGTGCACAAACTGCTCGTAGCGACGGATCGACGCGCGGAGAATCGTCGGGTTCATCCAGTAGTCAAAGTTGGCGCAGACTTTGGTGACAAAGCTGAGCTGGCGGTACATGCCCCGGACGAGGTCCATCGAAAACGCCCCCGGCGGCTGCGACGAGACGTCGAGTCGAGCTGCGTAGACGACTTCGCGGAAGCGGAAGACGCCTTCGGTCGTCTTGGTCTTGGCCACCTCACCAAGCGCTTCGCGCAGCTGCAGCGTGTAGCTGTCCCAGCGGCCATCCGACGGGATCTCCTTGGGCATGGCCACACGCTGCTCGACCTTACCGTTGGCGCGCATGTCAGCCTTGTACTCGATGGCGCCCTGTTCCTGGATAAAAGCTGCGATCTGGAACGTCTCGTAGTGCAGCGTCTTGTTGCAGCCGCCGCATGCAATCGCCTCGTCGAGAAGGTGCAGCTTGAACATCTCGTCTTTGGTCAGCGGACGCTGGCACGATCGGTGCGGGCACTTGCTCAAAATATCACGCAGAGGCTCGTCAAACGCGGTGGAGCCTTCGTACCGGGTCTTGTAGTTGGACCACGGTTCGAGGTCGTTCATGCAGTGGGTGCACTGCACTTGCTGGTGTTGGAGGTACATGATGGTCGTCAAGTACGACGGCAGCTCGCGCTTGCAGACGACGCAGACGCCAATGATGCTCCGGATGCGCTCGATGTCTTCCCCCTTTGGCACGAACGGATTGGTGCCGAGGAGATACAAAAGCGGGTGCAGCTGGTACACCGTGTGCGGGAACGACTCGGTGCGCGGCCCGCCCGCCGCATGCAGCTGCCGGTGCTGACCGACGTACGCCGCTTCGAGCTCCAAGAGGTATTCGTACAGCGCTTCCGGCGATTCAATGCAGCCAATGGCGTCATAGATCGTCTTCATGCCGCGCAAGTGGTCTTGAATGTCGTCGACCGTCACGCCGCACGGCTCACATGACGACGGTGTCGAGAGGACGGCGTCGGCGACGGCCAGCTGCATGTCGAGACGAGACACAGGCGGGAGCGTCCACGATGGCGAGGCAGCAGCCGCGTTGACGACGGCGACGAGCTGCGACTGCAAAAAAGCAGTCGTGACCGCCACGGTCAAGGTCTTGTTGCCCGAGGCAGGCGAAATCTCGACAAGGTGCGTTTGCTTGGGCGTCGCGGGGAGCGGGCGGGCAGCAGCGACGTGCAGCGTAGTGATGCCTTTGCCCTTGTCATCAGCGAGCGTCAGCGTCTGCTCCTTGAACGTGAGCAAAGCAGGCTGCCACTGCTTGAGAAGGCCGCGCGGCGTGAGGATGTCGAGGACGTAGGACATTTTGGTTGGTTTGATGGTTTGGGAACTCGTCGAATTGAAGAATGGTGCTATCGTGCGGTGGCGAACACTCTGCTTCGACGTGCACTTCCTCCAGTTGGTGCCACCAAAGGCGACGCCACGTCATTTCTTTGATACTGTAGCATTGTCGTCTCTCTCTTGTGTAGAAAATGCACCCAGATGTATCGACACCGCATGGTCGAATCTGCCACGTGAGCGGGCGTTGTCTCAAAGACCGAAGAGCATGTGGCAAATAGCAGGAAACATAGCATTCTCCTTTCGTTGTCGGGCTACTATAGCGAAGAGTTCTTCTACTCTTAGATCGAGCCGATGCTTCTCTACCTCGTTTCCGCAACGACCTACGTACTGGTAGCGCTGCAACCTATCCGTGGACGAATCGATTCCACATGTTCATGACATCTGCCGCGTGTGGCGTCAATTCACATCATGTCAATCGTACTGTACCTTGTCGACTCAGATGAAAAGATTAGAGCCACACACCGTTGTTGTTGAAGTGGGTCGTCTATTACAATAGATAAAACTATGCTAAATAAAATTGTCGGACTTTCTTCGTTGTGTGTACTCGGTTGAGGGACTTGGTTTAGGCAGGCGGAGGTAGGAGCGCGATCCGCGGGACGAGGTGACGTCGCGGCCACTCGTTAGCGCAGTCAATGTCAATGACGACGAAGAGCAGGCTGCTCGGGCTCTTGTACGAGGCTGTGGTGCAAGTGCAGTTGAGCGACACGCGCCGCCTTGACGGCAGTCACCCATGGACTTTGCATCGGTAGGTCGGCGCGGAAGACGCGGTCGTTCCGGACTCGCCAGACGTTGAACCAGACGCAGGCGCGGAGCACGGGCCAGAGGTAGAGAGTCACACACCGTGTCCAGCCTGATATTCGGTAAAACGTTCCTCCTTTAGAGTACGGGCCCCACAAGCTGTGTCACACGCTTGGAACCGCAAACCGTGCAAAGTACTACTGTTAGATAATCAACGTGATCACATGGCCCGTATTAAGTCGTGTCGCTCGAGCCTGTCGCGCTAATAAACCGCCTTGTGAGGAAACCACACGGAAGGCGCCGCATCCTTCTTGAATGCACCGGGGCATGTCGAGGCAGGGATACCCCTGTGTCGAGGCCAGCGCATGCATCGTTGCCTTTGTAGCCATACCATTGCATCTTTGCATCAAGCTCAAATCCATAAAAACATGTATTTACCCCTCCATCACTTCAACGTGATGACCATAAACACAACGTTTTCCATCCTGCAAAGTGTACAATAACTTATCAAGGAGAACTGACCTTCCGCATACGCACAAGGTAACCGGATGGTATTAAATCAGACAAGTCCCCTATAACTAGATATCTGCAATCCCAACAAGGAAGCGATGAGCGCGCCCAAGCGACAGAAGGTCCAGGACGACGACGCGCATCCGTTTGGCTTTCCATTTCCACCCTACTCGATCCAAGAGAGCCTCATGAAGGAGCTCTACGAGACCATCGACGAGCGCAAGATTGGCATCTTCGAGTCGCCCACGGGCACGGTACGCCTTTCCCACATTGCACTTTCTGCAGCGGCAGCATCGTTTTAGGGCAAGTCGCTGAGTTTGATCTGCGGCACGCTGACGTGGCTCGAGCACAACACCGACAGCCGCGGTGTTTTGATCGAGAAGGACGCGGCTATCAATGACTCGGACGAACCCGCGTGGCTGCGGGCGTACGCGACTCCGTCGGCCGGGGCCGCGCACCAAGCCGAGCTCAAGGCGCTTTGCACCAAGCTCGACGAGATCCGCGCCAACCCGACGCACGCACGCATGAAAGACTTGCGGCTCATGCACGGCGGTCGGGACGCGCCTCGCGGCCGCAAGCCACCGGCAGCTGCAACGCTCGAGACGGACGAGAATTACATTGTGCCAGAGTACCTTAGCGACAAGGAGACGGGTGGCCGCGACAACAGCGACGACGAGGTCGACGACGAGGACGCTGGCCGCGGCTTTGACGAGCCTGTCGACTATGGCATCGTGCAGGTAGACACTAGCAGTCTCATTTGGCCAGGCGGATGGCATACACTGCTAATTAGATCTTTTACTGCAGTCGGACGCACTCGCAGCTGAGCCAGTTTATGCACGAGATCAAAAAGACCAAGTTTGGCGCGTCACTCCGGACGCTAACACTCGGTGCTCGGTGCGTGGGCTCGAAAGTGGCGTGAAATTAGTATCCATGAGTAGCAAGTCGCTGTGCATTCACCCGGACGTCCGCAAGCTCAAGACGGACGCAGCGATGAACGACAAGTGCCTCGACTTGATCCAGTCGACGTCGACGAAGAAGAAGGCACCGGGGTGTCCGTACAACAAAAAATCCTTGCAGCGGTACTTTCGCCAGCACGCTTTGGTATAGTTTGACATTTCAAAGGCCGAGATCGTTACATTCCCTGTAGGCGCAAGTCCAGGACATTGAAGAGCTCCACGCACTCGGTGACCAGCTCTCGGCGTGTGCCTACTACGGCGCGCGGTCAGCGCTCTCGGCGGCGCAGGTATCGATCGAATCGTTCCATTTCCATTCTGAAAATGACTGAAATGCCAGGTGATTGCGATGCCCTACTCGATGCTGCTGAGCAAGGCGACGCGCGAGTCGCTGGGCATTCGCCTCAAGGACAGTATCGTCATCTTTGACGAAGCGCACAACATTGCCGACGCCGTCAACGCCACGTACGCAGTGCTCGTCTCGAGCCAGCAGGTACGCTCCATCCAGTGATTCTTACTGGATGCATCCGGCGGGAAATGCAGTGGATTCAAACCCGGCGCCAAGTGTGGAGCTACTTCAAGCGGTATGCCTGCGATCGCGATACAGAGACGCGAGCGATCGAGGCGCTGCCGTGCGTAGATACGAAGGGCGACTGAAGGGCCGGAACGTCTACTACATCAAACAACTTTTGAACGTGCTGCAGAGCTGCCACAAGTTTCTCACCGCCAAAGCCAAAGCCAAGGAGTCGACGACGACGGTCTGGACAATCACGGACTTTCTCTTTGAGGTACCGACGTCGATCCCGCGCCTTTCTCAAAATTATTGCATGTATAGACCAAGCTCGACAACATCAATCTGTTCAAGCTCCACCAGTACCTCGAGCGCAGCCAGCTCTCTCAAAAGGTAGGACCCGCAACGCTCTCGTGCGAGGACCAACCCGTTGATGTAGCTCCTTGGGTTCCTATCGAGCGAGTACTCGGAGGACGGCGAGCGTCTCCAGGAGGCGACGACGGTCGGCGCGACGTCCACGCACATTTCGCCACTCCGATCAATCCAGTCGTTCATGCTGGCGCTTACGACCGCGTCGACAAACGGCCGGCTCCTGCTACACTACCAAGTACTACGTGAACGCTTTAAAGTTGGGTGTTTCAAGACAGGATCGTAGGACAAGGAGGGTGGCGACGGCAAGATGCCATGCCTCAAATTCCTCCTCCTCAACCCCGCGTTGCACTTCTCGGACGTCCTATCGGAAGCGCGGTCGGTGATCCTTGCTGGCGGCACGATGCAGCCCGTGCGTACAGCGTCTTGCTTGTTGGTGCCGTGTTCAAGTTGCGTGCGATTAGATCGACCAAGTGCTGCACCAGCTCCTCCTCGGGTCGTCGCCCGACCGGCTCAAGGTCTTTCGTGCGGGCACATCATCCCGCCCTCCCACTTGACGGGCGGTAGGCAATGCATTATGTTTCGAGACTGACGCGAGAGCACTTAGTGGCGCTGAGTGTCGGGCCGACCAACCAAGAACTGGATTTTACCTACCAGAAACGCAACCTACCGCAGGTATAGTTCAACGTATCAAATGTTATTCTAACATTCTCCAGACGATGGACGAAGTCGGGCGCATTCTGCTCAACCTCGTGCGCATCGTGCCGGCGGGCGTCGTCTGCTTCTTTCCTTCGTATGCGTACGAGCAGCAGATTGTGGGCCACTGGACCGCCAACGGTAGTTTCGGTCTACAGAGTACATGACAATATCGTGGTTGCACTAGGCCAATTGGCGGCGCTCGAGCAAAAGAAGCGCATTTTCCGCGAGCCCAAGTCGGCCGCCGACGTGGACGGCGTCTTGACTGCGTACGCAGCGGCCTGCCACGACGCGGGTACCTCGATTTCTGGTGTCTGCGCGCATACGAAGAAGAATTGTGTGTAGGTGGCTTGCTCTTTAGCGTCGTGGGTGGCAAGATGTCGGAGGGCATCAACTTTAGCGACGACTTGGCTCGGTACTTCGATTCCCTCAGCGCGATCCCCACGGCTTTGTAGCTGCGTCGTCATGGTCGGGCTCCCGTACCCTAACCCGCACGACGCCGAGCTTTTGGAGCAAATGAAGTACATGGAAGCGTCCGGCGCCAAACTCACGTCCCACGAGTTTTACTCCAACATGTGCATGAAGGTCGGTCTCTCTTTCACGTTGAAAGGTTGACACGTTGAAACAAAAAGTGATAAATATGCTGTGTAGGCCGTGAACCAGAGCATTGGTCGTTCGATTCGTCACCAAAAGGATTACGCAAGCATCGTGCTGCTCGATCGGCGCTACAACACGCCGATCATCCGGTCGCGCTTGCCGCAGTGGATTAACGACCGGACGCAGGCATTCGCATCGTTTGGGCCTGCGCTGCCGCACCTTGTGCGCTTCTTCAAGCAGCACGAAGCCTAGCCGCTCGATAGTGTGTTGCATCACAAAGAGACAATATTGTGCACAATACACTATTGACTAGAATGCCCAAAACTACAATTGTATATCGACAACAATACATTTCCATCTTAGCCGTACACGAGGGGCTCGGCGATCCCTGTGACGGTCTGTACATGCTCCACGGTCCACTGGGGTGGCGGCGCGATCGCTTCGTGGCACACCTGCACGAGCGCATTTCGGAACGCTTCGATCTCGACGAGCGCGCTGCAGAGAACCGTGGGCGACAAAGTGATAGAGAGCAGGTATGATGTACGTACGCCTCTCGCTCCCGCTTCTCGTCGTGGAGAAGGCTCTTGTACGTCGACGACTGCGCCGCGAGCTGCTTGCGCTGGACGTTGGAACGCTGGTAGCGCCCCTGGATGGTTTCCAGCTACAAAGGCACATGGCATTCGTCCTGCAGGATATGCGATCTACCTTGGTCTGCATCGCCTCGCACGTCGCGATGAGCGCCCGCATCCGCTCCGCGTTGTGCCGGATCGTCTGGCTGTAGTAGCGTATCCTACGCCCATTGCGTCAACACTGACCACCGCCGTCGCGGCTACCGCGTCTTGTGTTCGGCCAGCATGCTCTGGTCCTTCTCGAGCTGGTCGTTGGCGGCCTCCAGCGTCGCCTGCAGCGCGACCATCTGTGCTTTGCGCTTCTTGTAGTCGGCAATGTACTGTCGCTTCTCCCCTTGCAGCAGATCGCGGGCTTTGAGAGCGCCTTGCAGATCCAGAAGCATCTTGTTGTGCTTGCTGAGGAGCGTGTAGATGCAGCCCTTCCAGACGTTGGCGCGGCGTCGCAGCTATCGTTCGCATGAGCAAAGCCTTGTGGTGTCCACGTACTGTCGCGTGGGCGGCGGTGGCCGTTGCGTGCTGTGCGTGCACCGCCTCGCCTTGCCTACGCAGCCCATCGATCTCGGCCTCGAGGGCTTCGATGCGGTGGTTTTGAGCCGCGATGATCTGCAGGTCCGTGGTGCGAACCGCCGAGACCTCGTACGTGGCCACATCGCTTCGCACAAATGGCTCGGTCATGGTTGACGAAGATGTGACGGCCATCGAGGAGGACGCTTTGGTGGTTGTCTGCTTGGCTTGGAAGGCGTACACCTGTGCTTGCAGGTCGTGGATGGTGTCGAGCTGCTGCTGCCGGTGCAGTTGGAGATGGTCGACAGCTTGCGTCGCCTCGGACCACTGCGCTTTGAGTCGTTCTTGGTGGTGGCGGTACCGTGCAGCCTCCAGCGCGAGGAGCCGGCAGCGCTTGACCAGCGTCTGCCGCTGCTGGTCAAGCTCGTGCATGGCCCGGCGGCACAGCGCGTGATCGCTCGTGTCGTCTTTAGGCTTCGCGCGGGGCGCCTCGAGCGAGAGACGCAAGGCGTGGTGCTCGCGCCGCAGCGTATCGTACTCTGTCTGAGTGGCGTCAGCGCGGTCGTTGGCGTCGGCGAGCGTGGCGCGGAGCTGCGAGATGGTTACGTCGCGCTGCAAAAGCAGCTTCTTCATGGTCAAGAGCGCGTTCTCGAGCTAGCAGCGTCCATGAGCCATCACGCTACCGTAAGGGCCATCACCGTACATCGATGAAGGTGCTGATCGAGATCTCCATGACGAGGTCGTTGTTGTTGCTCTCGACGGCGTCGCGACGCGGCAGCCCGTCAGCCTTGCGCAGCGCATGCAGCTCATCCTGCTGCTGCTCGATGATGCGGCTGAGGAACGCCTCGGTGCGCGACGGCTCTGCCACGTACATCGCGTCGCCGTCGTCCCGGACGAGGTCCTCGAGCGTTGGTGGTCGGTCCATCGGCCGATCGCTCTCGTCTGGATCCAAACCTCCAGTGTTTTAAACAGATGTACAAAACGTGTCGTCGGTTGAAACAGCCGGTGTTTTTAGTTTCGGCACATGCCACTTTCGCCCTGTAGCACAGAGGCTCGTCTATTATGGACTGGGAGCGGAGCGCTATACATCCCAGAAACTACAGCATGCATAGCCGTGCTACCGGTATGCTAATAGTCGGCTAGACTCCACCTAGGGTTGTTTTTATTTCCCTTGGAGTCCATTCACCTCGGTCGAGGTACTCGATTGAACGGCAAGTCGGACTGGGTCGTCCAGCACACGCTTAGTCGATGGCGGCTCACGGACAAGCCTCGCGCGGGGCTTGCGATTGGTCCAGCTGAAGCGACGAGTAGCGTCCTCGCAAAATTTACTATGCATCAACAAGTATGTCGACAAGAGGTCGTCGATGGCTACCTTTTGATGCAGGCAGATGGAGGATTAGGGTCAAAGCAGCCGACCAATCGGTTCGGCGGTTTGATGACGAGGCCTTTTTCATTCCCACGTCTGCGTTCGCTCGTCCTCCATGATACGACATAGTACATGTAGGCTTTCTTGAATCGATGCTTCTCGTTTTGAAATTCGCCGTGCACCTCCTGGCGCCTGCTGGGACACGTGCTGCGCCTGGAGAAAGACGTCCCTGCCAACCTTGCCGCCGCCCGCTTCTTTGCCGCTCCCGAGGCGCCCCGTTTTCTAGGCCGCACAAAGATCACGTTGCCGATCGTCCTGCACCTCGACCTCCAGTCGTTGACGCCGCCTCAGTCGCTGGCGTCTCTCGAGGACCTCAACAAACTGCGTAGCTCTGCCGCCGACGACACAGCTTGGAAGGCCTTTACACAGCGAGTCGTCATGGGCCTCACCCGCGGCCACAAGCGCCCCCGGACGACCACAGAAGAACAAGATGCACCCCCGCGCCGCCGCCTGCGCAGCCACGGCCCGGTGAGCGAATGAAGAAGAAGGAGATTGCTAGTCTCTACGTATGCGAACTCTTTGTAACATATATACCATGCGCCTCGGCCTTTCCCCACGTCAACGCGGTCCAGACGGCGCTCATGCTCCTGGCGGGCGTCGTGACGATCATCCCGCTGCTCTTCTTTTCATCGGCGGCGCAACGCATTCCGCTGAGTCTGCTCGGCGTCATTCAATACGTGTGTCCGAGTCTCCAGTTTCTCGTCGGTGTGCTCCTCTACCACGAGCCGTTCTCGACGTACAAGCTAATCGGGTTCATCTTGGTGTGGCTGGCGCTCCTGCTCTTTACAGCCGAAGGCATTTGGTCGCACCATCGCAGCTCGAAAGCGGCCATCCAAGAACCGAGTGCAAGCCACGTGGAGATGCCGACGCGGCATTGCCGGTGCGAGGTCGCTAGGGTACAGACCTCGGTGTGATAATAGAAAACACGAGTGATTATGCACGGACGTCGATGTGGAATGGTTGCATTTGCGTCGCCGTTCTTCGTGTGGGAAACACCTAGCGTAGCCACCGAAATGTGCTTTCTCCAAGGGACTACACCCACTTTCAGTCGGCAAGGTACCGTGGCATGCGACGAGAATATATGTGCGCTTGGTGTCGCAGCTCCCATGGTTCTGTGCCGCTATACAAGTAGATCTCTATCTACTCACGCCAAACTTGGCAATCGATCGCATCCAGATACGCACCGCGATTGCACGTCACGCGTTTCGTGTCATCACTTTATTTACCCTATCCCGTGCTTCCTTTTACAAAAGCCAGTCCCGGTGACGTCATACACGACCTTGCGACAGAACGACTAGAGCACGACTACTACTCATCACTAGAACACGTGCACGCCGCCTTATCGATGTGGAGCACGACTCGTTGAGCGCGCTTGCAAGGACTCGACCTCCTTGCGTGTCATTTTTGAGTTTGCGCGATGCCCCACATTGGTCTTTTCGCTGCGATCGGGTGCTTTACGCTCTGGGGGCTGTTTCCGATCTATTGGAAGCAGCTCGAGGCCATCTCCGCGGTCCAGCTGGCGCTTCACCGCATCGTCTGGTCGTGCGTGCTGCTCATGGTGTACCTCGTCGGATCCCGCCAGTTGCCAGCGTATCTGCGAGCGATTGCGTCGTGGCGCGTCGTTGGCATCTACACGCTCTCGAGCGTCTTCATCTTCACCAATTGGCTCCTCCTCGTCTGGGCCATCAACGCCGGGTACATCATCGAAGGTAGCCTCGGGTACTTTATCAACCCGCTTCTCAACGTGGCGCTGGGTGTTCTCTTCTTCCACGAGCGACTCCGATGGCTTCAGTGGGTCGCAATCTCGGTCGCAGCGGCCGGTGTCCTCGTTGTCGCGATCGCGTACGCTTCGTTTCCGTGGATCGCGCTTACGCTCGCTACGACCTTCGCGCTCTACGGCTACATCAAGAAGCTGGCGCCACTGAACGCGCTGGACGGCTTGACGCTCGAGTGCATGCTGCTGCTACCGCCGTCGGTCGTGTACCTCGTCGTCGCCGAATGCAACGGATCGGGTGCCTTTAGCCATGTCGACACCGTATCGAACCTCATGCTCGTGGGCGGCGGTGTCGTGACGATCGCACCGCTGTTGCTGTTTGCGATCGCGGCGCCGCGCATTTCGCTCAGCCTCCTTGGCGTCACGCAGTACGTTGCACCGAGCATTCAGTTTTTGCTCGGCGTTTTCTTGTACAACGAGCCTTTCTCGACGTTCAAGCTCATTGGGTTCATCCTTGTGTGGGCGGCTCTACTACTCTACACAATGGAAGGTCTTGTCGAGCTTCGTCGAGCCAAGATCGCAGCAGCCAACCGCGTCCAGACGCCTCCCGTCGACAGCGTCTCGTCCGTTCCTTACTAAATCGACCTGGATCGCTACCGGTAGCTACGAATTTTGAATGAATGATCAAGGATCGTTTTCTCGTGGCTCGATACACATAATTTGTGCGAATCTTATTGCATTGGGTACTTGTACCTGCTGCGCGCCAAATAAGTTATGATAGAACCTCTTGCTGGTGCTGTTGTGGTGCGTACCAGTCTGAGACGCCATCGACGTTGCAGCCAGCTTTGATGCTGTCTTCGCATGGTCTGCCATCGCTGCAGAACGAAATGCAATCGTTGTCGAAGTTGCTAGCGCAGGATACTCATCGTCGCACCCACGTGGCAGCTCCTCCACCACCCACACCGCAACTTCAAGTGCATGCTTCCACGTAGTTTTTCAAGGCCCCACCCCTTGCATACAAAAACCAAGATACTCATTCATTGTAGGGGTACCTCGGAACCATCCGGCGTCGGTGGTGTTCCAGGTGCGCCGACGTTGCCCTTTCGACCGGCAGTGTTCCTCGATCCCCGCCGTCGACCATGCGCCTCGGCATCGCGTACGCGCTCGCGGCCTTTATCATCTGGGGCTTCTTTCCCATCTACTGGAAGCAGCTCGACGACATCTCGGCGCTCCAGCTCGCCATGCACCGCATCGTCTGGTCCTTCCTCGCCCTCAGCCTCGTCATTCTTGGCACTTGCCAATGGCCCGCGTTCCGAGACGCCGCGCTCACGAAGCGCAACCTGCTCATCTACACGGTGTCGGCGCTCATGATCTTTACCAACTGGCTGCTCTTTGTGTGGGCCGTCAACTCGGGCCACGTCGTCGAGACGAGCCTCGGGTACTTTATCAACCCGCTCATCAACGTGCTTCTCGGCGTCGCTTTTCTTAAAGAACGACTCCGGTATCTGCAGTGGGCATCGCTCGCTGTGGCGACTGCCGGTGTTCTTGTCGTTGCGCTCGCGTACGGCAAGTTTCCTTGGATCGCCATCTGCCTCGCGCTCTCGTTTGGCCTCTACGGCCTCGTGAAGAAGAAGGCGCCGCTCAACTCGCTCTTCGGCCTCACGCTCGAGACCGGCATCCTCTTCCTCCCGTCCATGACGTACCTCATTGCCGTGCAAGCGAATGGAACTGCGGCCTTTCTCCACGTCAACGCGGTCCAGACGGCGCTCATGCTCCTGGCGGGCGTCGTGACGATCATCCCGCTGCTCTTCTTTTCATCGGCGGCGCAACGCATTCCGCTGAGTCTGCTGGGCGTCATTCAATACGTGTGTCCGAGTCTGCAGTTTCTCGTCGGCGTCCTCATCTACCACGAGCCGTTCTCGACGTACAAGCTAGTTGGGTTCATCTTGGTGTGGCTGGCGCTCCTGCTCTTTACAGCCGAAGGCATTTGGTCGCACCATCGCAGCTCGAAAGCGACCATCCAAGACCCGAGCGCAAGCTACGTGGAGATGTCCAAGGAGACAGTGTAGCGAAGTATAATATAGTGTCGTGTGGCTCGGTTGAGCTCGTGCTCCGTGCAAATGCTGCGCGGTAGCGGCAAATCCAAGACCGATAATGAAGAAGTTGAAATATTGCTTGGACGCACTGCCACGTCATCATCACGCAACGCTAACATTGGACATGCATTTGATGAGCGTCCATGGCCGCTGGCAATGTCGAGACTTGACGCGCCAACGTCACGCCCTCGACACCTGCATCCAAGTATCCCAGTCAGATGGCACGTCCAAACCCTGCCCTACCGTAGCCTTCGTCGCCTGGACTACCGAGAAACCTTGATATGAGCTCTTCCGTCAATGTCCTGATATGCGGTACGACTAATAGCACCACCGAGAGACGCCTTTTGTTATCTCCAGGACGGAACCGTTCGAGACAAGAGTCCTCAACACTGATTGCTCCGGGTACGAGAACGAGTGGATGCTGTGGACCGCACCCACAACATTTGCATATCCCAGCGTGACCAACTCCCACGTCCAGCGACGTCACTTTCTTTTTGCTATGCCGATGCCACTGCAGCACGGCGTTCTCTGCGCGCTCCTAGCCTTCACCATGTGGGGGTTCTTCCCCATCTACTGGAAGCAGCTCCCAGACGTACCCGACATGCAAGTCGCCGTGCATCGTGTCTTGTGGTCCGGCCTCATCCTCCTCGCCTCGGTGCTTCTGACGTGCCAATGGCGCGCGTACGCAGCCGTCGCCTTTACCAAACGCAATATTGTCATTTACGGCCTTGCGATCATCCTCCTCACGGGCAACTTTTCATCTACGTCTTTGCGACCAACTCGAACCGCATCATCGAGCTCAGCCTCGGGTACTTTATCAACCCGATGGTCAACGCGTGTCTCGGCCGCGTCTTCCTCAAGGAATCCCTCTCCAAGTGGCAGTGGGTCGCGCTCGGCATCGCTCTTATCGGCGTTCTGATCCCGACGATCGCGTACGGCAAGTTCCCGTACCTCGCCATCACCCTCGCAACGACGTCGGGCTTGTACAACTTGGCGAAAAAGATGGCGCCGCTCGACTCGTTCCATGGGCTCACGCTCGAAACGAGTTTGATGCTGCTGCCAGCTGCCATCTACTTGCTGTGCGTCGACGCGGATGGCAGTGGGTCGTTTGGCCATGTCGACACCAAGACGAATCTCCTCCTCGTGGGCACGGGTGTGATCACGATTCTGCCGTTGATTCTCTTTGCCAAGGCGGCGCCGGTCATCCCGATGGCACTTATGGGAATCTTGCAGTACATTTGCCCGACGATCACGTTCCTGCTTGGCCTTTTTATGTACGACGAGCCATTCACGACGACCAAGCTGATTGGGTTTATCGTGATTTGGATTGCGCTCGTGGTCTTTACGACCGACAGCGTCTTGACGTACAAGCGCCAAGACACCAAGCCGATCGAGTGCGCGACGCCAACGACCGAATACAAGCGCGTCGACGAGTCGCACGTGTAGGTGCAGTGCGAGACGTGGCATTTTAGATTTTAGATTTTTGATGCGATTTGTTTGATTTTTCTGGTACATTTTTTCTTTTACGTGGCGCCCATGGGTTGTCGACTCCACATATTTGTTGATATACCTGGGGTTTGAACGGCAATGTGAGGCGAGCAGCATGCGCTGGCAAAATGATATGACCTGAAACCGCCAGCAACGGCGTCTGTCCATTTCTGCTCTGGTCGTTTCATGATATATGCTGTTGTTGAAGTGGGTCGTGAATTGAATCGTTTTACCCTAAACGAGATAATAATGTCGGACTTTTATAGTTTTCATTCGGTTGTGAGCAAGGGAATCCCTTGATTGTGAGGAGCGTGGTGTAGGCAGACCAAGCGAGACGGGAGCGCGATTCGCTGGACATTGTGCGAAAAGCTGGAAAAGCCGAAGACGGTTGGGTGCCTCGGGCTCTTGAACGAGGCTATGGACCATAGCCTCATTCAACTGCATATGTACCATAGCCTATGGTACATATGCAGTTGACGGACGGCATGAGGTGTCTGTCGCACGTGCCCAGTTCGAGTGAGTGAAGGTGCACATGTCCCCTCTCCCTACCGCAACGTACACTCTGTAACGTTTGTGAATGAAGGTCGCATGTCAATGGACCTTTTCTTGGCAAGCCCACGATTCCTCGTTGCCATAGTTGCATGGCCAACTTTGGCAGCACCGTGCTCCAGCAGCCCGAGCTTGCGTCCGTTATCTTTTGCTTCCAGTCTGGCGTCTACGCCGACGTCAAGAAGGCCTTCCGCGCCATTAACTGCCTCGTCGGCTTTGCCGGGCACCAGTATGTCGTCGACCCGTCGTTCCACTCTCGCTTCACCGACGGCCTCGCGCCCATGACCCACTTTGGCGCCATGTTGTACGGTCTGAGCGGCCTCGAGCGCGACGCGCGGCTGCCACTGCACGTGGCCATCGCCCAAGGCTGTTTGCGCCTCACGCAGCGCATCCTGAAGTGTCTTCCGATGCGCATCGGAAGACGCCATCATGCTCGCGTTTACCAGCAACCGCACCGAGATCGCCGAGTTTTTTTAAACGAGCGAACAAGCGTGCCCGAGCTCTGCCGACCTGTCAACGCGCTGGTCGAGAGGCAGAGTACGCAAATGCGATGGGCGCTCGCGCAAGCCTTGCGCAGCAACGACTCGAAGACCCTCATGCTGCTGCTTCGCTTTGGCGTCAGCAACAATGGTATGCTCTCGTCCGACGTGCGGTCGGCCATGAAACAAGGGACGCTGACCAACGTCACGCTGGCCCTCGAGCTGCTTCCGTGGCTCGCGTACCCGTCGCTTCTGGACGACGCCGCCGCACGAGGGTGGCTGCCGCTGGTACGGCAGCTCCATGAGCACGGCTTCTCTTGCTCGACAGAGGCACTGGACAAGGCGGCAGCGAATGGGCATCTGGCTGTCGTCGCTTTTTTGCATGTGCATCGAAGCGAAGGCTGTACCGTCAAAGCCATGGACGAGGCGGCGGCCAACGGCCATTTGGAGGTTGTGCAGTTCCTCCATGTCAACCGGACAGAAGGCTGCACGGTCAAGGCGCTTGACGAAGCCATCGCGCTCGGCCATCTCGACACTGTTCGCTTCCTCGCCGAGCACCGGTCGGAAGGTGCGTCGCCCGCCATGCTCGATTTTGCGGCAGCCAACGGTCACCTTGAAGTCGTCCAGTACCTCCACAGCCTTGGCACCTATGACTGCACTGTCTTCGCTGTCGACGACGCTGCTGGCAACGGCCATGACGACGTCGTGCGCTTCCTCTTGGCCCACCGAAGCGAAGGCGGTAGCCGAACGCGCGTCGTCGGCATGGCACTTGAGAACGGCCATGCGTCGATCGCATGGTACTTGCTCTCGCTCGGGTATCCGTTGCCGACATTTCAGCTTGCGATCGTGCGCTACACCATCGGTGCCATCCAACTTTTGGTGGCCCAAGGTGCTCCGTGGAGCCCGACATGGATGGACGAGGCGTGTACTGAAGGCAATCTCGATCTCGTCCAGTACCTCCACAACCACTCGCCTGCTGGCTGCACCACCGCCGCGCTTGACACGGCCGTGAGAAGCAAGGCGTGGACGATTGTAGATTTTCTATTGGAGCATCGACACGAAGGCGGGTCAGTATCGGCCGTCAAGGACGCATGGTGCCATGGCAGACCTGATGTCGCGATGCGTATCTTGGAGCGCCAGCCCGAGCTTGGCACCAGAGACGTCCTCCACGCTGCTCTGGCGCACGCTGGTCCCGACACCATTGAGCGGATGCGTCCGAGCATTGATGACGTGCGAAATGAAATTTGTGCGATCGCCGGCGAGCCGCAGCTTGCGACCAAGAGCCAGCGGCTGCTGCCGCTCTGCATGCACCCGACGGACGCCATCGACAACGTCCTCTTTCTTCTCGACGTGTTTGAGCTCTCGGATCGGTGGCGCCCAACGCTGCTCGAGCTTACCGCGCCCGAGCTGCTGACCCAAGGACGAAAGGCCAACTTGAAGCTACTGCCGTCAGTGGAAGCGCACGCAACATCGCTCTTGCAGCGCGGGGCGGTCGTGGACTGGGCACTGGCCAGTGTTTGTAGTCATTTCTGGTACAACGACGCTGTTGCCAACGCCCATCGATGCGCGAAATGGATCGCTTCAGTCCAAGATGCCCAGCTCCAGCGATGGCTCACACACGATTGCATGCGCTAGAGTCAATAAACAATAACATGCGTCAATTGAGAGGTGGAAACACTGTATAAACTCTGTTTTATGCCTCGGTCGTTTCGACACGCGCGGTGATCATCTCACTCTTTTGAACGAAACCAATGCGTTGGTACGCCTTGTTGGCCGCGGCGACAGTCGCGTCCGCAAAGAGCATGAGGCGGCTTGGCGGTCCGTCACGCAGAGCCAACAGCGCGTGGCAAATGCTCGCCGTCAGCGCTGACGCATACCCGTTGCCCCGATGCGCTTCCGGCGTGAACACCGTCATGATGCGATGCAACGCAAAGGATCCTAGTCAAGACAGACATGTCAGACAATGTGTCCACGTTTCGTAACGCATCGTACCATCGGGGGCAGGCACAGGGGCCGAGTGCCCGGCGCAGGCCACGACATCGCCGTCGACGAGCCAGACGTACATGCCGTGGCGTGCCATCTGCGCGTCGAGGCTGGCTTCGATCGCACTTGGCGTCGACGGCTCGCCGACCTCGTCGTAAAAGCGCGTCATGAACGCAAGAAGCAACGACTTGTGCTCCGCTGTCGCCAGCGCCGCGGCACCGGCAATCGTCCGACCACCAATGACGTTGACGTTCGTCGGCAGCGCCGCCGGGTTGAGCACGTAGAGCAGCAAGTGGTGGTGGGGCGTCACCTTGGCCGTCACGTGCTTGGAGGTGTAGCCGTCGAGGAAGGCTGGGAGGCTAGCTTTCGGCCCCCGTGCCTCGGGAATCAAATCGGGTACGGTCGAGGCGACGAGGAGGCCAAGCGCATGGGCGTCGGCAGCATCCATGGTCGGGCACATGATGAGCCCGCGGCTGGTGACAATGGCACAGGCGCGGACGTCGCCGGTGGTTGCGTCGACCGAGACAAAGTGGTGGTTGCCGGTAGTGACGCGCGCAACGATGCCAATGAGTTGCAGTCCCTCGGGGTCCGCGATCGTCAATGGCACAATAGAGTCCAAGAAGGTAGCTGCAGTCTCAATCGCTTGGATCATGACGATGCTAAAGTGAAAATGAAGTGGCTTGGGAGAGGAGGCGTCACGCGACAGCAGGTATTGGGACCCGGTGAGTACCAGACTACGTCGTCGAGGTTACCCGACTCTGTCACGAGAAACGGAGCACTGCATTTGGGTGCCACAGCCCTTTTCTCGTGGCCGCTGCTCGTTTGGTCGTGTCGTTGGAATGACGTTGATGGTTGCACACTCGTCCTGAAAATTATAGCCGTGGACCGGATGTCGAACCGTCCACTCGATTCCAGCCACCCACGACAAAAGTTATGCTATCCGAATTGTCTAATGTTCTGCAACATGGGTTATGTGGGTTTCAAAAGATCACCTGCGATGTGACAGAACTTGGTCTTGGCGACGTCGGAACAACGGCTCGGAACATCGACGATCATTCCAGCGACCAACATGCCACGTCCAGTGACACGCCGGTGCACGAAGCTCCAACTATAAAGATAAGAAGTCTAGTGCATTCGAATGAACGAGTCTACCGAACGTTGTCTACCTCGGTAGGTAGATGCATGGACCCTTTGATTTGGTTGGAACCGCCTGGGCTGTCGGGTGCTGCATATAGTATGTGATTGGACAAAATGATCTTAATATCTGCGTTCTCATTGGTCAACCACAGAAGGATATGTGCAACTGGTGAGTGTGATGTTGGCGAGGCTCTGTACATCGGTGATGCTGCATCATAAAAGCAGTTGAACCTTCTTACGCGGAGTAGGCTCGATCCATACTTCAATAATGCACTTTGACTAATAGAGTGCGTATATTTATTTTGGATTTTGGCTCGCTACGAGGCGTTTGTATCAGCCAACGAACTAGACGGGCGACTTGTCGGCCTCGTGCTTGTAGTCGGACGTTGGTGACGCGCACTCGTCGTCGTCCGTGACGGGGGCGTGCACGCTGCGCTTGTACGTCAAGACGCTGTCGGTCGTAAAGACGACGAGCGCAATCCAAATCACGATAAAACCCACGAGCTGCGTGCTCGTAAACGGCTCGTCATACAGGAAAATCCCAATGAAAAACTGGATCGTCGGGCAAATGTACTGCAAGATTCCCATAAGTGCCATCGGAATGACCGGCGCCGCCTTGGCAAAGAGAATCAACGGCAGAATCGTGATCACACCCGTGCCCACGAGGAGGAGATTTGTCTTGGTGTCGACATGGCCAAACGACCCACTGCCATCCGCGTCGACGCACACCAAGTAGATGGCAGCTGGCAGCAGCATCAAACTCGTTTCGAGCGTGAGCCCATGGAACGAGTCGAGCGGCGCCATCTTTTTCGCCAAGTTGTACAAGCCCGACGTCGTCGCGAGGGTGATGGCGAGGTACGGGAACTTGCCGTACGCGATCGTCGGGATCAGAACGCCGATAAGAGCGATTCCGAGCGCGACCCACTGCCACTTGGAGAGGGATTCCTTGAGGAAGACGCGGCCGAGACACGCGTTGACCATCGGGTTGATAAAGTACCCGAGGCTGAGCTCGATGATGCGGTTCGAGTTGGTCGCAAAGACGTAGATGAAAAAGTTGCCCGTGAGCAGGATGATCGCAAGGCCGTAAATGACAATATTGCGCTTGGTAAAGGCGACGGCCGCGTACGCGCGCCATTGGCACGTCAGAAGCACCGAGGCGAGGAGGAGGAGGCCGGACCACAAGACACGGTGCACGGCGACTTGCATGTCGGGCACGTCCGGGAGCTGCTTCCAGTAGATGGGGAAGAACCCCCACATGGTGAAGGCCAGAAGCGCGTACAGAACGCCGTGCTGCATCGACATGTTGCAATGCGGCGAAGCGCGCAAGTTGGAGTATGCGATGGACCGTGTTCGCTCCGAGGTCGTGGAAAATCTGTTTTTGTGAGTTACGACAGATGGATCGAGTGGCGCCGCGAGACAACCTTCGGCGGCATTCCTATTTGCGGCAGATGCATCGGACGATGGCAAATCTAGAAGGTGTTGGATAGAGTCGATGAACGCAATGATGGCGGCGAAGCGTAGGCGGAGGTTGCGGCGCTGTCGACGCGGGTGAGGACGTCTTTGGCACGGGATCGGCTTCGGCCGGCTTCGGCACGGAGGTCGCGGCATCCAACTTCAAGCCGAGGTCACGACAGTGGCACTCGATCGGCACAACGAGCTCGGCTGACGTGGCCTTTTGGTCTAAAGAAGAATTGATCTCGATCACGTGGCACATTTTCCTGGCGTAGTAGAATGTACCAATGCAGTCTGGGCGTCCAAGACAAATAACATCGCTGCTACAAGGTATCTCTGTGGACAAGGGATGTAGGGCGATGCTTTATCACGCCAGGCGACGGCAAGAAGAGAGGGCGCGTTGTGTTGACGGTGATTGAAAGCGTGGTATCGTTGACGCTATTGGTACCTGCAACGTCATTAAACAGATGGTATCTCGCACGATCATCCACGTCTCCTCTGGTGAATCACAGCCACAAACGGCCACATGCAGGATCTGCCAGACGATCCTAGCCCGCTCGATGCATCCAATATGAGTGGTCGCAATGTGTGATTCATTTATAGAGGGTCGGTGCCCTACATTGCACTTCTAGCCCGTTTGACTCGAGTCCTTCGTGCCGAGAGGTGTGGTCCCGTCGGCGTCTATGCAGAGCCCACACCACTGAAACAACACACAGCTGAACTACAACTGACCTCTAGACAAAACATCCCCACCAACTAGCTCCACCAGCTATGATAGAGATAGCTCTAGGGGTTAATAAAGCTGTCTAGAACTTGTACTCGTGTAGCACCCGCACACTCTCGATGCGAATTGCACCGGTCGTCGAGTCGTTGGATAGATTTCGGATCGATCCCTTTTACAATCTTGGAGTCGATTTGTCTGTTACAGGACTTGAAACAACCTTCTTGGCGACGGGCTGCAGTACCATGGCAGCGACCTTCCGCCGCGCCGTCCTCGACCAGCCCGGGATCGCATCGATGGTTTTTGAGTTTCACTTTGGGTTGTATGAAGACGTGCGCGTGGCCTTTCTCGCCTGCGACGACTTCGTGGAGTTCAACGCCGAATACGAACGGTACTTTTTCGATGTGTCGTTCACAAAGACATTTGCACCAGACGTCGTGTGGGCCCGCAAAGGGAGCGAGCTCCACGCCCCGTACTACTGTCTGCTTCCCAAGCAGCGCGATGACCGATTGCCCTTGCATGTTGCCATTTACCAAGGCTTCGTGGAGCTGACGAAGCGCATGCTTCGCTGCCGACCAGACCTCGCCACCAAAGACGCGATTGTTTTGGCCATGCAAAAAAGCCGTCTCGAGATTGCCGCGTTCCTCTTGGATGAGCGAGCGACCATGCCCGCGCTCTATCGCTATTATGTACCCCTGTCCCTGCCCAACGTCCAAGGTATCCTGGACAAGTGACACATTTTCCAAGCCCGAGAAGCGTCGTGTCCTCGAATTGTATCTCAACAATGGCGGACAATTCAACAACGACTGGGTGCAGCTCGCCTGCGCTGGGAACAACTTGCCGCTCGTTCAGTTTCTCCACGAGCACCCGCTCGCTCGCTGCACCTACAATCCGCTTGGGACGGCGATCAATGTGAAGGCGTGGGACGTCATGCCGTTTCTCGTAGCACACTGCACGACGGCCATTTCGTTTGAGACGTTCCAGTCGATCTTGACTTTGGCGACCTCGACATGGCGACGCATCTCTTGCAGCGGCACCCCGAATACGGCCTCAACCGCTTGCTTAAAGACGCTGCGAACGGCCACTACACCGACTTGTCGGCGGTCACGCGATTTCTCCTCGCGGCTGGTATCGGCAATCCTCGCAAGTGCCTTTGCGACGTTGCCGGTCGTCGAGAGTGCGTGACGGCAAGCAAGATTCTGCTGCCGTACTGCATGGACCCGACCAATTCTCTCGCCAATGTCATCTTTCTTCTGGATCTTTTGACGCTGCCTCGCCGCCGCCGTGCGACCATACGCCAGTTGATCACACCCGAGCTCACGTTCCAAGGGCGCAAGGCTAGCAAGCATGTTCAAGTAGACCCTGGCGTAGCAGCACGTGCGACGACGCTCCTGGATTCTGGCCACGTGGTCGACTGGGCGTTGGCCAATCTGATTGGGCATCTCTACGCGACTGACGAGACGGTTGCCATGACGCGCCTGAAGGAAGGGAAAGAGTTGGTCGAGGATGCTGAGCTCAAGGCGCAACTCAATCACCTGCTCGGACAGAAGCGCCCGACTCGCTCAGATTAGTCGCCCAAGACGACGTGATATAATCTGAGAGCTTATGTCTTATCTGAGAGGTAGTGTGTGATATTAGACGTCACCAAGAAGCTACCACAAAGCAGCAGATACCAAGGAAAGTGGTTGGGTGGAAAAAGTTCGCGACGAGGACGCATCATAAGGAGAGGGACCTCACAAACGATATCGATGATCCAGTGGCCAATGAGACTTTAACGAAGAAAAGGGCATCTCATGTACTAGTACATGCCTGGTTGGAGTTGCTCGCACAACGCGCCGTCTCACTCTGGACTTGCATCGCTGGGATCAAGTTTGTGTCCAAACTGCTCACCAATATACCATAGCCGATACCGGATTCCTCGTCGCTACTGTTGCTCCTGCTAGGAGTTGAAAAGCAAGTATTCCGTTCTCTGGTTTCTTATTGTCAAAGTAGTATTGGTCGACTGCTGCCCAACGAATGCACATTGCAATAGCACCTTGTGTCGTGCAACACAAACCGCACAGTGAGGGGCATCTCCTTGGAAACACGCAATTCCATAGCGTTATGTCAGGGCGCCGATTCGCGCCCGAAATCGAACGATAATATGCCATGTGCCCGATCCACCAAGGCACTCCAAATGGCTTCCATACCGAATCATATCGCTCTCATCTCGAGTAGCATAAGATCCAACGACCAGGGGTCGTGCTCGTATCGATGCCACTGCAAGGAGCGTCATGTAAGCAACGTTTCACCACGACGTCCTCGGCCAGCCCGAACATATATCGACGGTCTTTTAAAGTTTCAGTTTGGCGTGTATGAAGACGTGCAGTCACAACCACGTCGTTCGAAATGCGCTCAAAAGCGGTCGTCTGCCCACGGTAAAGTACCTCCGCTCGCTCGGGTACTGTACCCGTTTCCGACCACAGTATTCTTTTCCGTCGTCAGCCGTGGTGCAAGCCCGAAATAGTTGGTGTCCGTCGGCTCCTTGTCACCCACGGCTCGCCTTGGGACGAAGACGGAATGATGCCGCAAGCCTGCGCTTTCAACAGCGTACCGATTGTCGAACTCATGTTTCAAGGAAAAGAGGCTATCCCAACGATGAAGCTTACACCCACTGTGGCAGTGCAAGCGACAATATGCTGCTGCAGACTGGCGAGGTTCACGACTGGGCGCTTGTTGTTGGGCATCGGATTGCTGCCGACGCGGCGGCCAACGCGACGGGCGAGAGGCAAAATGGACTGCCTTGACCTTCCACAGTGAGCTCCAGGCGCAGCTTGTCTCCAGAAAACCCACGCGCACGACCTAAAATCCAACGCACGATAAAACCATCGACAGCAAATACAGTCTTGGACACTCGTGTGACGTGGCAGTGGTAAATGGATTTCATGACATCCGGATATACACAATCGCTCGTGTGATTGTCCGGATATTGCGTCCGACTTGCATTTGCAAAAGAGCGTCATGGCCGCCACGTTCCACCACGTCGTGCTCCACCAGCCTTCGATCGCATCGATGGTGTTTGAGTTTCATTTTGGGCTGTATGAAGATGTGCGTTCAGCCGTCCGCGCCTGCAAGCAGCTCGTCGCATTGGACGCCGCGCGAGGCGTGTACACGTGCGACGCATCGTTCCCGACGGCGTTTGCGCTCAACGTCGTCTGGGACGGTCCCATGCATTTTCGCGCGTCCTCGCATAGTCTCCGCAGTGGGAAGCGCGATGACCGCTTGCCGCTGCACTTGGCCATTGCCGAAGGCTTTATGCAGCTGACCCAGCGCATGCTACGCTGCCGACCGGACCTCGCTTATGAAGACGCCATTCTCTTGGCCTTTTACAAGAATCGCCTCGAGACTGTCGAGCTTCTACTGGAGCTGCGATCGAGTGTGCCAGAGCTCTATCGACGCTTCGACGCTGGATCCCCACGTACGATACTCGTATGCTCCGATATTCTTGGAGAGTTGAGCCATGACGTAGCGGGTTACGCGCGACGTCCCAATTTTATCGTGCGGTCCATCTTGCCCGCTATGCTAGCCCGAGAAGACTCCAAAGGCGTCGAGCTGCTCCAACGATTTGACTCGCGCCCCGATATCTTTGCACTGGAGATCGTCCGCGACGCCATTCTGAGCGCGACGCTGGACAACTTGACGCTCGCCGTCAACACATTTTCGCGGCTTGTGTACCCTGGTCTCTTGGACGATATTGCGGGTCGAGGTTTCTTGCCGCTCGTGCGAACGCTGCACGAACGCGGCTGCAGCTGCTCAGAAAGAGCCATGGATTACGCTGCTGCGAACGGTCATTTGGAGGTCGTCCAGTTCCTCCATTTCAACAGGACGGAAGGCTGCACAACGTATGCGCTCGACCGTGCCATTTACAATGGCCATTTCGACGTTGTCTGCTTCCTTATTGAGCATCGAATGGAAGGCGCGTCGCCCAACATCCTCGACCGTGCTGCTGCCGACAGCCGCATTGATATCGACCAGTACCTCCATCTCAGGACTTGGATCCTGGCACGCCACTGCTAAGTCTGGATAGCTGTGCTACGATCGTAGTTCGACCCTGGATTATCCAGTCTTGGTGTTTACTCAATACACACATTACATTTAGCTCCTTACGACACAAGTCGCTGCCTCGTGCGCCAGCACATTTCTAGACCACAGAACGCGCTTCAGGGTTTTTTCTGTCTCGAACGACGACCTCGCACCGCTGGCCGCCAAGCGCTGGCTCAGTACACTCGACGGCGGCGCAACCGCGGTCGTTACTGCCCGCCGCGCCGCCGGTGCTTTGATTGCTCAGGAGAGACGTCAGTCTGAAAGCTACTTTTCGACAAGACATCGGCGCAGGTACGGGCGTATGCCCTTGTACTAGTACTACCACGAGTCGAGCTACCACACGTCGTGAACTTGCCCTTGTCATCGTGGTCCTGTGAATACCTAATGCTTCGTATCGATCTACACATTTTGTACATCGCTGCCAAGTGGCCCTGGTTGATGAAGATATTGGTCGGCACGTGGTGTCGTTTTGGCTCCGCGGTCATGTCCAGCGATGTACGTTTAAGTGCTGTGTGTTGTGTGTTGAGGTAGCAGCTGCTCCAAGCCTCCCACAGAAGAACAATTCCTGTCAATCCAAATGAAGAGCGACTCGAGCCTCATTAAATAACTGCGTCTGGCAGCACGTTTGCGTGCAATGACGACGCTTGGTGCTTTGCCAATCGCTTAGAAAAGCGCCTTCGATGGCTGCTGTGAGACCACCAAGCATTGGAGCTACTAGCAACGACACCAGGATCGATGCTTCCAAGCCTTGCGTCTCCAACGACTCAATGTAGTGTGTCTGTTCACCACTGTCCTTCTCGATGGTTGACAGGACGGGAACTCGAAACGGTCGGTCCACCTCGGACCTCGGTCGACAACAATGGGTCTGCAACTGCACTCGAGGCCATGGGCTTACAGCACGTTTGATTGTCTTCTTTAGATTTAGTCGTTCCTCTCAGCGTGCAAATGTGGCTTGACGGTCTCGCTGGGTTCAATTTTGGATCCATCTTGCTTTTCTTGGTTTGATTCAAGATTCTTTATGGCCAATCAAAAGATGCCACTCATAATCCACGGCTGCATGCATTGCGACGTCTTCGCGTTGTGAACTGGACATTCCAAGTCTCCTATGTCGCAGGTGTCAAAGACGCTTCTGGGAGCTGCTTCTGGGGAGTTAAAAAACTTAGTCGCGTCGCCGTTCGATGCAAGAGAAATTCCCACTCAACGATTCCCGGTCATCCGGATAAAATCCATTGGCCCATTTTTGACACGGTGCAGACAGGCGGAAGCGATGGCCACGACCTTCTCCAGCGCGGTCCTCGGCCAGCCCGAGATTGCATGGATTGTGTTTGAGTTTCAGTTTGGCGTCTACGAAGACGTGCGTCCCGCCTTCCGCGCCTGCAAGGAGCTCATCGCATTTGACACTGTGCATGCCGATTACACGTGCGACGCAACGTTCCCCTCGGCGTTTGCGCCCGACGCCGTCTGGGACGGTCGCATGCGATTTTTTGCGTCCTCGTATGCTCTCCGCACCGACGAGCGCGACGATCGCTTGCCACTGCACTTGGCCGTCAAGGAAGGTTTTGTGCAGCTGACCCAGCGCATGCTACGCTGCCGACCGGACCTCGCTTATGAAGACGCCATTCTTTTGGCCTTCTTTTATGATCGTCTTGAGATTGTTGAGCTCCTCTTGAACGAACGTGCGACTGTGCCAGAGCTCCACCGACGCTTCGACACTGGTTCCACACGTACGTTAGGTTCCTATTCCTCCGACAGTTGAGAGTCCTCACGCCGCATGTTTCGTAGCCGGCGACGCACGACGACGTATCTCGTCTATTATGCGGGCTTTCTTGCCCGCTTTGCTGACCCGAGACGACTCAAAAGGCATCGAGCTCCTCGAACGCTTTGGCCAGCATCCTGACGCCTGTACACAGGAGACTCTCTGCAGCGCGATCTCCAAGGCGACGCTTGACAACCTGACGCTCGCTTTGAATTGCTTTCCGTGGTTGTACTACCCAGGTCTCTTGGACGCCATCGCGGGCCGCGGCTTCTTGCCGCTCGTGCAAATGCTCCACGAACGCGACTTCAAGTGCTCAGCGAGAGCCATGGACACCGCCGCGTCCAACGGCCATTTGGAGGTCGTTCGCTTTCTGCATTTCAACCGGACCGAAGGCTGCACAACCGACGCGCTGGATGGAGCCATTCGCTATGGGCACCTCGATGTTGTTCGCTTCCTCATTGCGCACCGCACGGAAGGCGCGTCGCCCAACATCCTCAACTACGCTGCTGCCAACGGTCACCTCGAGATCGTCCAGTACCTCCATTCTTTTGGCACGTTTCACTGCACGGTCTACGCTGTCCACGATGCGGTGTGTCGCGGGCACTTGGAGGTCGTCCAGTTCCTCTTGACCAACCGAAGCGAAGGCTGCAGTCGCGATCGAGTCGTTTACTACGCTGTTAGAAGCGGGCATCTGCGCACGGCCGAGTACCTCCTCTCCCTCGGGTACCCGTTTCCGACCGCCGAGATCCTGTTTGAGAACGCCATGATGCGTCAGCCCGAGATGGTGGACGTCCTGCAGCGTCTGGATGCCCTCGGCGGCTACTGGGACGTCAATGAAACGATGTTGCGAGCCTGCGCAGCTAACAACGTACCGCTTGTCGCGTTTCTACAAGACCACTCGGAGATGAGCTGTGACCCCGACGTTTTGCTCATGAGCGCGGTCGAGAGCGCGGCGTTGGATGTAGTGATCTTTTTCTTGGACCAAGGCACGACGAATACCTCGATCGATGCGCTCGATGTAGCACTTTCCGTTGACAACGCTGAAGTTGACGAGCCCACGATGCAGCATTAAGGAACCGCACACACAACGCCTAGCAGCAGCTAGCTTTTACATGACATGCATTGAGGAACACCATTGTACATTTTGAATGACAATCGCTTCTATTGTGTTCCCGGTCAGGTGTTTGGAGTGTGGTTCGATGGCGAATCATAAGCATTCATGAGTGATCGATTTTGGCTACGCAACTTTTAAGCAGGAACGAGAAGGTTGAAAACATCTTATCCTGCGACGTCGCTATGGACTCCACAGCGACGTCGCAGGATAAGATGATTTCATTGGTATCCGTTGAACTGATACCAAATGCACGCGATTCTAGTAACAAGCGAGCTACGTCCAAGCAAACTGATGGTCTGGTTATCGCTGCCGATTCAAGTGCTGCCGCATTCACGTTCTGGAGGCTGAGAGTTGTTGGTGAAAGCACTTTATGTGTGAAGAGTCGAGGGTTTTGATCGTCGACAGCAATTGAAAAAATTCAAAGAGTGCGGTAAGCGATGGCCGCGGGATTAACATGCAATGGCAACTCGTAAATGAAGCCGGCGGAGTTCAGGCGGCTTGGAATCTTGGACGTCTTATAGTGTAGCCGAGCAACTCGACGAATGCGTTGAATGGGGCGAGTGTCATTCGTAAAGTGAGGCTCTTGGCAAGCTCGTGCGACAATTCCATGGCGATCCTCCACCAGTACCCGGATCACGACCACATCCGGATGCACAACGCTTAACATCTCGTCGCGGGAGGGTTAAAACATCAGTTGCAGAAAAGCCGGACGATGGCAACGAACTTTCAGCGCGTGCTCCTGGGCCTGCCCCAGATCGCATCGATGGTCTTTGAGTTTCAGCTTGGTGTCTACGAAGACGTGCGTCGAGCCTTCCGCGCGTGCAACGAGCTTGTCGAGTTTGGCCGCCCGAAATAAGGCATGTTCATGGTGTACGACTGCGACGTGTCCTTTCCAATGGCGTTCACACCGCACGCCGATTGGCGCCGCTCGCAGTTTCGGACCGAAGACCTCTTACTCGACAGCAATCTATACGACGCCAAGCTGCCGCTGCACTTGGCCATTGCCAATGGCTGTGTGCAGTTGGCCAAGCGCATGCTTCGCTGCCGCCCGGACCTCGCCTCGGAGGACGCGATCGTCTTGGCCTTTTGGAAGGGCCACCTCGAGATCGCTGAGCTTCTCTTGGACGAGCGCGAGAATATTCCCGAGCTCCAGAATCTCGTGCGGGTCGAGGGTACGTTCTTGTCTTGCTTTCATGATGTGACGCTATGAATGCAACGTAGCTGGCGCGAGAGTGCGCAAACCAGCTATCTTGTCGAGCGTTCTGGCTCAAGACGACACGAAAGGCGTCGAGCTGCTCCAGCGCTTTGGCCCATGCCCCAGCGACTTTGGTGCCGACGACAAGCAGATTGCCATTTCGGAAGCGACCTTGGAGAATGCGACGCTCGCACTTGACGTCTTTCCGTGGTTGGACTACCCAGCTCTCTTGGACGATGTTGCAAGCCAAGGCTTCCTGCCGCTCGTACGCTTGCTGCACGAACGCGGTCATGAGTGCTCGACGAACGCCATGGGCATGGCAGCGGCCAACGGCCATTTGGAGGTCGTTCAGTTCCTCCATGTCAACCGAACAGAAGGCTGCACGGTCGATGCGCTCGACGGCGCCGTTCTCTTTGGTCACATCGACGTTGGTCGCTTCCTCATTGAGCACCGCATGGAAGGCGCGTCGCCCAACATCCTTGACGAAGTTGCTGCCAACGGCCACCTCGAGATCGTTGAGTACCTTCATTCTCTTAGCTCGTTTGACTGCACGGTCGACGCTGTCAACAAAGCTGCGTCCGGTGGCCATTTGGAGGTCGTCACGTTTCTCTTGACCAACCGACGCGAAGGCTGCAGCCGCGATGAGGTCGTTGAAAAAGCTCTCGATGGCGGTCATCTGCGCACAGCAGAGTACCTCCTCTCGCTCGACTACCCGTTTCCGACCAAGATCAAGCTTCACGGAGGAGGTTTCGACAAGCCCGAGATGGTTGGTGTCCTTGAGCTTCTCCTCGCCCACGGCAGGCCCTGTGACCCAGGTTGGATGCGCAGCGCCAGCGCTTTTAACAACCTGCTGCTTGCGCGCTTCCTCCACGGTCACCCGAACTATTGCTGTCACCGCGACGAGCTGAAAACAGCGATCAACTGCGGGGCGTGGGACGTCGTGGACTTTCTCTTGGCCCACTGCACGGCCAGAATCTCGGTCGATGCGCTACAAGCTGCACTGAGTTTCGGTACTGTCGATGTCGTGTCGCGCATTCTGCAGCGCCGGCCAAAACTTGGACACGATGACCTTCTTGATTTGGCAATTCGACGCCACAACACGGAGGCGATCCAGTGCCTCCTCACCGCCGGCATCGGCAAGCCCCGCGCCTGCCTCATCAAGATTGTACGTCGTCGAGAGCACTCGACGGCGAGCAAGCTCGTACTACCGTACTGCATGGACACCGTCGACCACCTCGACAACGTCCTCTTCCTTATCGAGCTCTACGAGAAGTCGGACCGCCGGTCGCGAACGCTGCAGCTGATCACGCCCGAGCTCACGGTCCAAGGAACATGGCTGCCGAAGCTAAGCCGTTTGCACCAAGTGTGGCGGCGCGAGCGACAGCGCTGCTCCGGTCTACCGAGGTTGTCGACGGTGCTTTGGCGCTCGTCATTAGTCATCTGCATGCGACGAGCGCGTCGGTGGCGCGACTCATGCGCTTGGTCAACATGGTCACTGACGGCGAGCTCAAGACGCAACTCAATCGCCTCGTCGCTCACAAACGCAGCCGATCGGGACGCCCTGCGTAATGGCCAATACATTTCCGTATACCTTTCTTTGTATTTTATCCGATCGATCAAGCCAAGTCGACAATCATGGCATCGACCTTGAGCGTTGTTCTTGGCCAGCGAGAGATCGCATCGATCGTTCTTGAGTTTCAGTTTGGGTTGTATGAAAACTTGCGCCGCAGCTGTGAGCTCGTCGAGTTGGATCCTGCGCGAGGACTCCTAGGCCAACGTCGACGAGCGCACTGATTAACGATATGCAATGAAATCAGAAATCAACTTTAAAATCAGTCCCATACGTCAAGTCCAAGGCGTAGTGCATCGATGTTGCTCCACCTTCTCCCCCTACCGATGAGCCAGCGCGGTCGACTTGGTCGTTGCAGGTGAGTTGAAGACGCGTCGCATCACACAATTACACATTATTGCAAGCGGTTGGAACCTAGTCAAAGTGATGATGCACACCTCTCTTATTGATTTCATAGCTACCATTGACGATCCAAGTGTTGAAGCGGCGAACCCCCCGTACCGCGCAGTTAAAGCAAATGAACAAACAATGTCCAATTTGGACTATGCTGTCCACAACAATTCGACCTGCACGACGAGCTCAACCGCCTGCTCGCAATCAAGCACGGACACTCGACTCTCAAAGCGTAAACTGCAATTTGAATACGATAAATGTACAAATGGGATCGTGGCACGAACCCGATGCCTTTCTGGCGTTGCGCGACGACTTGTCTATCTGTCGCTTACTAAAACCGTGTCCCATGCAATGAAACGCAGTGCTTGAGGGCCACGACATCCATGTTCTACTCTTCGCATAAGAATGTCAATCAACCGTCCTATGGGCATCTGCCCATCGTCGATGCACAACTCCAAGCGCACTAAGAGTATGGCGAAATTGATTAGCCATCGACAGGTAAGATCCCCACAACCAGTACGGATGGATTCCAACGGGCACATCCGAATACACTGGGCAGTCGCAGCAGAATCGGTCCCTTTTTCATTTTGCCTTCTGGAGAGCAACGCGACGATGGCAGCGACATTCCGCAGTGTGGTCCTCGGTCAGCACGAGATCGCAGCCATTGTGTTTGCGTTTCAGTTTGGTCTCTACGAGGACGTGCGCCCAGCCTTTCGCGCCTGCCATCAGCTTGTCGAGTTTGTCGGCAACGAATACGAATGTGACGTGTCGTTCCACACGGCGTTTGCCCCCGACGCCGCACCAGAAGGCGGCTACACGCTATTCCGAGCCTCGTACTATAACCTACGCCCACGTCAGCGCGATGCTCGCTTCCCGCTGCACGTGGCCATTGCCGAAGGCTGTGTGCAGTTGACCAAGCGCATGCTTCGCTGCCGCCCGGACCTCGCCTCGAGAGACGCGATCATCTTGGCCTTTATGAAGAACCGCCTCGAGATTGTCGAGCTCCTACTCGATGAACGTGAGAAGGTGCCCGAGCTTCATCAAGGAGATGACATCGCGCGGACCAACAGTATGCTATTTGCTCTTGCCATGGGCCTCTACTAACATGACGTAGCTACCACCGCGGAGCGCGACTTGAGACATCCGAGCAACTTCTTGTCCGAAATGCTGGTTCGAGCCGACACGAGAGGCGTCGACCTGCTGCAGCATTTTGGCCCGCGCCCCACCGACTTTGGCACCGTCAGCAAGATGCTGGCCATTGCCAGAGCGACCCTTGAAAATGCGACGCTCGCTCTCAACGTGTTTCCGTGGCTCACCTACCCAAGACTCTTGGACTATGTCGCGGCACGAGGTTTCGTGCCGCTCGTCCAGTCGCTGCACGAACGCGGTCTCGAGTGCTCGACGGACGCCATGAACGCAGCGGCTGCCCACGGCCATCTCGATGTCGTTCGCTTTCTGCATTTGCATCGACGCGAGGGCTGTACCACGAACGCCATGGACATGGCGGCGGCCCTTGGTCATGTGGAGGTCGTCCAGTTTCTCCATGTCAATCGCACCGAAGGCTGCACGAGCTATGCGCTGGATTGTGCGACTCGGAATGGCCACCTCGATGTCGTTCGCTTCCTCGTGGAGAACCGCGCCGAGGGTGCTTCACCCAACATCCTCAATGATGCTGCTGGCAACGGCCATCTCGACGTCGTCCAGTACCTCCATACTCTCGGCTCGTTTGGCTGTACCGTCGCCGCTGTCGACGATGCGGCCAAGAATGGTCATTTGGAGGTCGTCACGTTTCTCTTGACCAACCGAAGCGAAGGCTGCAGTCGCGACGTCGTCGTTCGAAATGCGCTCAAAAGCGGTCATCTGCGTACGGCCGAGTACCTCCTCTCGCTCGGGTATCCGCTTCCGACCTCGGTGTTTGTGACTGGAAAAAAAAACTTGCGCAAGCCCGAGATGGTTGGTGTCGTCCAGCTTCTCCTCGCCCACGGCGTGCCTTGCGACCAACACTGGATCGTACAAGCCAGCGCTGTCAACAACGTGCCGCTTGTGCGCTTTCTCCACGCTCACACCGACCCGTCTGCCCACCCCTATGCGATATCAGTGGCGATCCGCGGCAAGGCGTGGGACGTCGTGGACTTTTCTTGGCCAATGGCACGGCCACAATCTCGGTCGATGCGCTAGAGGCGGCACTGAGTTGCGGTGCAGTCGATGTCGTGTCGCGCATGCTGCAGCGCCAGCCAGAGCTAAGACACGACAACCTTCTTGATTTGGCGGTTCCAAACCACAACACGGACGCCCTCCAGTACCTCCTCACTGCCGGCATCGGCAAGCCTCGCGCCTGCCTCGTCAAGATTGCAGGTCGTCGACGGCATTGGACGGCAAGCAAGCTCGTACTGCCGTACTGCATGGACGCGAGCAACCATCTCGACAACGTCCTCTTTCTTTTGAAGCTCTACGAAGAGTCGGCCGACCGCGCGCGAACGCTGGAGTTGATCAAGCCCGCGCTCGCGTGCCACGCACGAAAGGCCAGTCAAACCGTCGAATTTGCGTCGAGCGTGGCGGCGCGCGCAACGACTCTGCTACAGACCGACGGGGTTGTCGATGGTGCTTTGGCGCTCGTCATCAGTCATCTTTGCGCAACGGACACGGACGTCACTACTGCGCGACTGACAAGCTTGGTCGACTTGGTCGTTGACGACGAGCTCCAGACGCAGCTCCATCGTCTCGTCACTCGCAAGCGCAAGCGATCGACTTCTACGTAATGGCCAATACAGTTTCGTACACCGCTCCTTTCAATCGTATCTCATAGATTCGCTTCGCCGAGATAGCAAACGAGCTATGCATAAACTCGTAGTGATTTAGCATTGTCTTTCCAGCTGCGATAACCGTTGCACACGGAAGGTTGAGCTTCTTATGAAACCATTCTGAGTGTCCGTGCACAGATTGTCCTCCGCTCGTGCTCGCTTTTCCCACGTCGTGCTCGGCCAGCCCGAGATTGCGGTCCTTGTGTTTGAGTTTCAGTTTGGCGTCTGCGGCGACGTGCGCCAAGCCCTCCGCGCGTGCGACGCGCTTGTCGAGTATGACCGCAGCAGCTACGTCTCGTTTCCGACGGTGATCGCGCCGCACGCTGCGTGGGAAGGCTCTACGCGAAGTTTTGGCGCACCAGGGTATTGGCTATGCAACTGCCAACGCGGCGCACGGCACGTGCCCATCTACGAAGGCTTTGCGCGGCTGGCCAAACGCCTCGTTCTGCACAGCCTCGCGACCGAAGGTGCGATGGTCGTTTTTGCTTTGCTCGAGAACCGCTGTGCGGTCGTTAAGTTTGAAATGGAGCAGCGCACAAATGTGTCAGGGCTGCGTCGAGGTGTCCACACGCAGAAGCGTACGAGCCTCCATGCCAACCACGCCGAAGGCGCCATCCTCTGTGCACTGCTGCACCCATGTCATAGATGATTCCACGTCGTTCCAAGAAGCACTTGGAGTGTTGCCTTGTCGACGCACGCGACCTCTTCTGTGCGACTCGAACGTGCGTTTGGAGTTTTGGTTCGACGAGCTCTTCTGACGCAGAACAGCCCTCGGAACACGACGGGTCTGCTGTCCCAACTGGCATATCCGAATAATGAATGGCCTGTCGCAACGGTCCATGGTGCATTTTTCTTTTGCTCGTTGGAGAGAAGAGCAACCATGGCAGCGACGTTCGCTAGCACAGTCCTTGGCCAGCCCACTATCGCGGCCATGGTCTTTGAGCTGCAGTTTGGCATGTATGAAGACGTGCGTTCGGCCTTCCGCGCCTGCGACGAGCTCGTCGAGTTCAACAATACTGGCGCCCAGTACAAGTTTGACGTGATGTTTGCCAAGACATTCACATCCAGCGACACCGCGTGGGAGCGTCCCGGGCCTTTCCACGGCCACTTGTACGGTCTACACTGCCGCCAGCGCGACCACCGGCTGCCTCTGCACATGGCCATCGCTGCCGGCTCGATGCACCTCACGAAGCGCATGCTCGGGTGCCGGCCCGACCTTGCTTCGAACGACGCGATCCTCGTGGCCTTGTCCAAGAACCGGCTCGAGATTGCCGAATGGTTGCTGGACCACCGAGCGATGCAACCCAAGCTCTATCAACGCACCGACCTCAACGAACATGGTACGCTACCCTCTGTTCGCGAACGGTGCTAACTGTAGCCTGTCTAGACCACCGATTGCGATGTGTCTACAATGCCCTGGACAGCATTTTGCCCGTCGTCCTCACACGCGACGACACGAAGGGCCTCGAGCTGCTGCAGCGCTTTGGTCCGTGCCCTGACGGAATGGATCACGGGGCTCTCCGACGCGCCGCGTACATCGCCACGCGCGAGAACTTGACGCTCGCACTGGACGTCTTTCCGTGGTTCCACGACCCGCATCTTATGGACGACATTGCGGGTCGAGGTTTCTTGTCGCTCGTCCAGTCGCTGCACGAACGCCACTTTGAGTGCTCGACGTACGCCATGGACAACGCTGCTGCGAGCGGTCATTTGGAGGTTGTCCGCTTTCTTCAAGTCCATCGGACGGAAGGCTGCACGGCCAGCGCGCTCAACAGCGCGATTTGCCACGGGCAACTCGACGTTGTCCGCTTCCTTCTCAAGCACCGCACGGAAGTCGCATCGCCCTACAGTCTTGAGAGTGCCGCCGGTCGCGGTCACTTGGACGTTGTGCAGTACCTCCACAGTCTCGGGACCTTTGCCTGTACGGCGTTGGCCATCGAGGACGCGGCGGAAGCGGGCCATTTGGAGGTCGTCAAGTTTCTTTTGGCCCACCGAAATGAAGGCTGCCGCCGCGACCGCGTCGTGGCCAAGGCTCTCGAGGGCGGGAGTCTGCGCGTGGCAGAGTACCTTATGTCACTTGGGTACCCGCTTGTGACGTCTGGTATCCTCTGGAGCGAGGGTTGCGACGTCTTTCGCAAGCCCGACATGGTTGGCGTCCTTCGGCTCCTCGTCGCCCACGGCGAGCCCTGGGACGAGTTCTGGCTGCTGGAAGCGTGCGATTGCAACAACGTGGCGCTTGTCCAGTTTATTCACGCGAACTCGGACGCGATGTGCCACCCGGAAAATTTGGCGCGAGCTATTGAGAACGAGGCGTGGGCCATTGTGGACTATCTTTTGGCCCACTGCACGGTCGACATCTCGGACGAGTCGCTGCAGGCAGCGCTACGCGGCGGTCGCGTGGACCTTGCAACGCGGCTACTGGAGCGCCAGCCCGAGCTCGGACGCAACGGCTCGTTGCTTTTGAACGCGCTGAAAGGCCAGCACGTGGAGGTGATGCGGTACCTCCTCGCTGCTGGCATTGGCAACCCGGCTGAGTGCCTCGTCGACGTTGTGGGTCGTCGAAACTATGTGACGGCGAGCAAGCTCTTGCTGCCGTACTGCATGGACCCGACGAACCCTCTTCAAAATATGATCTTCCTCTTGCGCGTGATTGCGCTGCCCGACCGCCGCCGCAAGACGACGCTCCAGGTGATCGCGCCCGAGCTCACGTACCAAGGGAAGGTGCTGAGTTTGAGCGTTCAGCTCGCACCGAGCGTGGCCCTGCGTGCGACAACACTCTTTGAGGCGGACGAGGTTGTCGACTGGGCGTTGGCGCTCGTCGTCGGTCATCTCTGGGGGACGGACGAGACGGTCTCCACCGAAGACCTGACGAAATGGACGGCTATGGTTGAAAACACGGAGCTCAAGTCGCAGCTCACGCGTCTCCTCGCTGGCAAGCGCAAACTCTCGAGCGAAGACCAAGGTTAGACAAGGCAGCATAAAGTCAATCGAGTCGATTTTCTCTGCGTTGTGTTATGTTGTTGATGCCTTTTAAACCCAGACATTGTGCTCGAAAGCCTATCCCAGCTTGGATATACATACGTGCATGGCCTGGTCCACGACAACGAGCTCCAGAAAGAGCTCACGCGCCTCTTCGCAAGCGAGTACGAGAAACTGACACGCAGACCAAGACGCCTGTGGGGATCGATGCCACGCCGACGTTGTCCGAGTGAATCACGACAACTTGTCTTTTTCCTACGAATAGTTGACATCGCTTGACAGATAGTAAACGAGCCAGATAGACGGCGTGCGACGCGGCGAAGGACAAGCAACCAATCAATTGATCACTTGAGAGGCCGCCGACCGTTGATAGGACCCGACCACAGAGGTTGCCTCGACCAACTGGCGCATGCGACTACACAGCTTGCTATCGGTTCAAAATCTCATTTGCATTTGGAAGAGCCATGCCCGTGACGTTCTGCAGTGTGGTCCTCGGCCAGCCCGAGATCGCGTCGCTGGTCTTTGAGTTTCAATGTGGCTTGTATGACGACGTGCGCTCGGCCTTCCGCGCCTACGAGGAGCTCATTGAGTTTGACGCCACGCGAGATCGATTCGAGTGCGACGTGTCGTTTGCCAAGGCATTTGCGCCACACGCTGCGTGGGAAGGCGGCTTGACGATTTTGCCTGCCGACTATTTCACCAAGCACGGTGCCAACGACGCCCGTCTCCCACTGCACATGGCCATTGCCCAAGACTTGGTGCAGTTGACGAAGCGCATGCTTCGCTGCCGGCCTGACCTCGTCTCGGAAGATGCGATCGTCGTGGCGTTCTACAGCAACCGCCTCGAGATGGTCGAGCTCCTCCTCGATGAACGAACGAATGTGCCCGAGCTCCGTCGCAACGCTGAGAACAGCGAGAGTACGTAGCTTCTGAGAATGCTGGCGCTATCCTATCCCTAAACCAACGACGTAGACGACGTGCGCGTACAGGGCAATATGTGCCGCATCTTATCCGACATGCTGTCTCGAGACGACGCGAGCGGCGTCGAGCTGCTCTGGCGCTTTGGCCTGCGCCGTGGCGACTTTGCTCGGAGAGTTGTGGTCTTCAGCAACCGTTTACCCACGTCCGAGAACTTTACGCGCGCACTCGCGTACTTTCCATGGCTTCTCGATCTGCATCCACGTCTTCTGGATGCCGTGGTTGCGGCGGGTGGTCTCTTGCCTCTTGTGCGCTTGCTGCACGAACGCGGTGTCGTCTGCCTCCCGGTCCTCTGGTACCAGCTCGCGTGGGTCGCACCGGACACCACGACGGCCGCAATCATCGACAAAATGATCCTCCAGTTCATCAACGGCGAGCCGCCGGTCATTGGCGCGGGTGCGCAAGGCCACCGGCTCCTCCATCAAAGTATCGTCTTCGCGCCAAAACACCAAGCTGGCCTCGGCCTCAAGCCGGCGCTTGTTACGTGGTCAGCGCGTCACCGTGGCCACTCGCTACGCTACATGCAGGCCGCGCTCACGACGTCCCCGGTTCCGGCCTGGTCGTCGCCAAGCATGGCTGTCGTTGCCAACGCATACGCGCCGTGGGGCAACTTTGCCGACCTCGCCTTCGCCGACCCGTCGCTCCCCCGGATCCGGCGCCTGCTTACGTCCAAGGCAGTGCCCGACCGGTTCAAGTTGATGCTCAAGTACTGGTTCGACATTCGCGTGGGGCCGAGCACGCTTCCGGCGCCGTCGCCGCTGGTCCACGAACAACCGCTTTGGTCCAACCAGTTTCTCCCGGTAGATAGCTGTAGCTACGTAGAGAAGACCACAAGATGGCACACTCGGTACGCCCGGACGATGGCCAAGATCGGGATCACTCAAGCCCAACACGTCCACACCTTGATGCTCGCCGCCGCCCCGATGGAGCCGCTCGCGACAAGAACTCAACGCCTCATCCAAGCAGTGACGGCACAGCGCCGCGGCCGTGACCTCGGCCCACACGTGATACCGACCGACAAGTGGCTCGGCTGGCTCGCTACGACGGTCGACGCCTTCAAGTGCGGCCCTGTGCCAAGCCCGACTCCCAAGCCGCCATGGCTGGTTCGACTCCACAAAGTTACCAAGCCGTTGACCCAGACGACGCCTGCCGAAGCCCGCCGACGTCGTGCCCCGCCAAGGACGCGCTTGCAGCTACCGACCCGCCACCTGGGCGTCGAGGAAGACTTCTACGAGGCGCCTGCCGCCGTAGCCGCCGCAGCTGAGCTGAGCTCCGGCTACCCGACGCTATCTTACCAAAGTACGCCGACTTCGTCTACGAAGTGATGCTCCGCGCGGTCAAGTTCCGCGCACATTTGCACTGGCTCGACAGGGCCGACCAAGCGTGCCTCTTCTGCCCCGCGCACGAGACGTACCGCCACTTCCTCGTAGACTGCGACTTCATCAAGGACGTGTGGAGCACGCTTCACGCCGTCACGGTCCCTTTCGGTGTGACCTTGCCGACTACG